TACACTTGTACATGCATAAAGTCTATATAATTGACATTTATTAAAATTTGGTTAAATAAAAACAACTCATTGAGCAGACATTTATTTGATATTTATTCACATATTGATGAGAATGTGAGAAGCTCACTCAATAGGAAGAATGAAAGCGCTGATGTGCATTAACCGGACAATTGAAGTCAGGCATCGTCTCCGTTGTTGCAATGCGGAGTACTACTGCAAGGTGGTCATCAGTCAATCGGAGAGCCAATTTGCATCATTCAGCTGTGGGAAATCCGAATCTTTTTGTTTCATGTCCAAAAATAAATCAATCTCTGTTCTCAGTTCCCACACTCTTTTCAAGACCTTTCTTAAACTAAGCCATCTTACATTCGTGTGATACAGAATATCCGTGTACTCAGATTCCAATTCCTCAAGCAGAGTGAAATTACCTGTGGTTTAATCCTCTTGCTCAAATGTAGTCACTTTCGTAACTGTGTCCACGACATTGCTTAGTTTTAGAACACTTACAGAGGACCTCTTGGTGGATAATGCAGTGTAGAAAAACAATGTTCTGTTCTGGATTTGTTTCTTTGACTTGATCTTGAATTCTTTTCAGTAACCCACCATTTTTGCCTGTCAGATTTGGGCTTCCATCAGTGGTCACATTCACCAATTTATTTCACTCCACTCCTAATTTTAAAATACACTTATTTACTGCCTCCAAAAAGTCTTCTCCAGTTGTCATATCCTTCATTGACTGCATTGATGCCAATTCTTCTGTGAGCTCAAAATGTTTGGTGATACCTCAAATAAAAATTATCAACTGGGCTGTGTCTTTGACATCGCAACTTTCATTGAGTGCCAGTGAAATACATGCAAAATTGCTTACTTTAAATTATAACTCTACACTTTTTATTTTATTTTAATTTATTTTATTTGTTTTATTGTTCACCCACACTGGTAAAAAAAAATTTAGAAGTCCATTCTTTGTTGAATATTCAGCCTTCGGCGTGACTTTCCGCTTCTTTGATAAACTCATTTCGAATTAACGTCCTCTTCAGTGAAAAATATTACTGCGTGTTTGAAAATTTGCCGATCTGTACATTTCTGACGTCAGCCTGATTCAACACTTAAGAGAGCGTGCGCACAATTAAACAGTGTGATTGGCTGATGTTCCCGTTCTGATTCAAATGCGAAATTTAGCAACTTTCTGGGACTGAACAAACTATATTTTTTCTATTGCTAGACACAATGACAGGCCGGATAGAATCATTTGGCTGGCTGGATATGGCCTGCGGGCTGTATTTTGCCCACCCCTGGACTAGAATGATGTCTGAATAATGTGATAAGGCTAGAACCCACAACCTTCTGACTCGATTAGAGGCAAAAGTGCTACCACAGTGGCACATTAACATTGCTAACAGTGATGAAGAGAACAGGAGACTATAGGCAGATAAAGGCAAGAATTATTATATTATTTATTGTATTTGTTTATATTATATATATTTATTTTCAGGCGTTACAAACAATGTGGCCAGAATATGTTTTGCCCACAAAATAAGCAGTCAATTCACTTTACACTATATTCTGCGCAGTACTTTTAGACGTCTAAATTTTGTGATAAGGCGCTATATCAAAAGCAAAGATTATTATATAATATATCACCAAATTGGTGTGTAGCTTGTATCCTATATTTTTAGTTGTTTGATTGCAGCAAATCACTGCACAGGCAAGGGAGCTCCAATACCAGGTAAGTTCACAGCATTTACATCATTAAATGTTGGGTAGGGGGAAAGCCACTTCTGATTTTGACCCTAATATTCACAAATATTAAAAAAAAATTAGGTAATGTAATAATAATCCATACTAATACAATTGGCCACTCACTATAACTGTTTGTGGACCATTGCTGTGCACAGATTGGCTGCTGCGTTCCGTCTGCAAAACAGTCACTACACTTTACAGATACCCTGTGAAACACTTTGGAACATGCTCCTGGTGTGAAAGGTGCTATGCCCAATATAAAGATTATTATTTATTGTTATAGGTCTACCAACAACAACAACAAAATTACAACAAACAACAACAAAGCTCCCCTTTAATCTTCACCACTCCCCAAATGCATTCTGGATACCCCGGTAAATAATGATACAAGATAGTCCATTTTGAATTTTTTCACTTTTTTTCATCTTGAAGTTGCCAACTGCCATGGAACTTTACCCTAATTTGAGCTGTTACAATTGGAAGAGGCATTTAAAAGCAAAGTATCTTCATATTTTGCATACATTGCAGAGAGAGGTATTCAAGGATCCAATCCTAATTTAAACCTGAATAATTTATTTGTACTTGATGATAAATCCATTAGTAAAGGCGTAAAGTATTTGAATGGGTTTACTGATCATTCACTGAAACTATGTAGCCAATGTGAAACTGTTACTGGATACTGCAAAGCCGTTCAAAGGCATTTAATTACAAATCGAGCCAATTTATTGCTGCATTTTAAAAGCTCAGTTGGTTGAGCGCTGTGATTGGAAGATACGGAGTTCAAATCCTGATGAATCCTTCACCCTTTCAAGTTTAATGGCTAAGCGGCCAAGAACGGACCTGGAACTCCCTAATAATGGAAAAACTTCAATACAGCCAAGATGTGTAAAAATAATAATAAAAAATAATAATCCTTGCATTTGATACAGGGCTTTACATGTCTTCTAGACGTCCCAAAGCGCTTCACAGAATATACTGTAAAGTGAATTGACAGTATTTGTGGGCAAAACATGGCAGCCAATTGTGCACAGCAGTATCCCACAATCAGAATAAACAAAGTTGACCATTTATGTAGAAGGTGAACGGCTAAGATACCACTATTTTTTGAATAGTGCCATGTTACCTTTAAACATTAAAACATCTGTTTAAGATCTCATCTTAAGGTCACCACCTCTGATGGTGCTGTGTTTCTTTGGATTGAGCTCAAGTTTGAACCTGAACCCACAATATGTGTCCAAGAGAAAGAAAGTATATAAGAATCCTTGCATTTGATAGAGCACCTTATCACATCTTTGAGAAGTCTCAAAGCACTCAACAGAATATACTGCGAAGTGAATTGACTGTATATTTTGTGGGTGAAACCCAGCAGCCAATTGCGCACAGCAGTGTCCTACAAATGGTCGCGAATTGAGTGACCCCATTTTTTAAGAAAGGATTATAGCCCCTGTAAAAGCAATCCGCCAATCAACTTTCAACCAGGTTCCTACTTACTACTAGGTGAGTAGCGGTGTGTGGAGTAAGGAAATTTGCTCGTGAGCGAGTGCTCTAACCGCGAATCTACAGGACTCCACTTCATAAGCTATAAAAATGCATATGATTTATTTGAATAAATTACTATTTCTCGCAGGAAAACGAACAGCCCAAACAATACAGCCGTCTGATTCCAGAACGCTATAACCTGCGCATCTCCGTATCAAACCGACTGGAAGGAGATCGGAGCCGTTGTGTACTTTAATAAGACTGTGACAGTGTCAAAACCGCCTGCCCCGGCCCAGTCCCATTTTTATTTTACAGCAACAGGAAGATTACACTTGTGTAAGCGCCTTTCACGTCGGGAGGACGTCCCAAGGCGCTGGACGGACCGGGTGCAGCATTTTACTTTTGCCTTTCTCCAATAAACATGATTGGAAAGTGGATTCGTCTGTACCGCCTTTCATTTTTTTAAAAAAAATTAAAAAATTATATTTAAAAAAAAACACGATTCCTTGTGATCTCCAGCGACGGAGCCTTTTCCTCCCCCTAAAAAAAAGAGAGAGAGAGCTGCTTCGGTCAGGTGGGCGTGTGCACATTTGCACATTTTCAGAAGGTCTTAAAATCGCGATGGCAAATAACCTATTAATGGCACCTTATAAACACGGCCACCTGTCTGCGGGGGGAGCGCAGCGTATCGCTGGGGATACTCTCAGCACAAACCCACACTACACAAACTCGACACATCTGGCGCATGGGCACTGTACAGTAACCCACAATGCAGCGGGCGCCCTCATCATGACATAATCCCCCCCCTCCTCATTGGTTGCCTGCGCCTTGGCGGAGTTGACCAATCCAAGCGGGACGGGTAGATCACGTGCCTCGAGCTTGCGCGTCCGAAGCTTCGTTCGGGTATTTCCGATCTCGGCTCGAAGGGCCTTCGGCGGTAATCGCCAGCAGCCGAAGCAGCACTCGGGCCTTTCCGTCAAGCGGCCGAAGTGTCTTTGGTGATTTCCGTGAGAGAAGCCGAAGGGCCGGGGTCCTAGCCCCGCCTCTCCCTCTCCCCGTTTGTCGCTTCTCGGTGGACGGAGCGTCAGGAGGAAAAAAACTTTAAGATCAACAGCCGCCATTTTGGTGGAAAATTTCTTCCGAAATTTTGGAGGAATTGAAGGCCGTCGGGAGCCGCAGTTTGGAGCCAGAGGCCCCCAAAGCTCAAATTCAGTTCCGAAATCCAACCGGGCGTCAAGATAGAGCGACTAGCGGCGCGGCTAACCGGGGAAATAGCTGTTCGCCAAAGAGGGGGGGGGGGGGGGGAGAAAAGAGAAAAAAAATCCTGCGTTCCCTATAACCCCCTCGCTCTGCCGCACGAAGACTCCGGGTGAAGTATTGTTTTCATCGCTTCACTTAGCGGCGGCAGTCCCCGTTGCAGCCACGGCGAGATGAGGCCGGACTAACCGAGAGGGTTATTTCAATTAATTTTTTTAAAAAAAAAAATTTTTTATTTCCCTTCTTCCACCCCCCCCCCCCCCCCCCCACGGCCCCCGGTCATTTTTTTTTCGCGGAGTTCGATTATTTTCTAGAGGGGAAGAGGGTTCCGGAATGGCGACGCTGGGGATTGCGGTGGGAGAATGGCGCTGTGGGTGAGGAGGAGCGGGGTGGTGGTGGTGGTGGTGGTAATCTGAGGGCCCCGGGCCTGCGAGAGTCGCTGCGTCCCTCTTCCCCTCCCCCGTTTCTCTATTCTGCCCCCCGTCCCCCCCCCCTCCCGTCCCCTCCCTCCCACTTTGGTGCCCGATGTGTATGTGAAACGCGTTTGAGGAGGAACAAAAAATGGCCGAGAACCTGCTGGACGGGCCGTCGTCTGCCAAACGGCCCAAACTCAACTCGCCGGCGCTCTCCGCCAGTGACAGTACAGGTAAGGGAAGCGGGGCCATCGTCAGGGACAACCAGTGTGTGTTTAAAGGCAGTTGCACGGGTTCTCGTCCTCCTTCCCTTCACTGTGGGACGAGCTCTCGCCTCTCTCTTCGTGCAAGTCTGTGCTTTTTAAACCTAAGTCACAGTTACGTGCGAGTTGTGAAGCTCTTTAAGAGTTCAATATTAGCGCCCCAAACCCCAACATTTTCGGGGGGTGGGGGGTTACACCGGTAGTAACCGTAATCCTTGGTGTTTTTTTCTTCGTAAAAGTAATCGTCGTTGTGGTCCGTAGTGTCTGGGCGTGAGGAATTTCACGTAGAAATACGACTGCTTTTCCTAACTGTACGTGTTGCAAAGATGCCCTGCAACCCCTGTGTGTGTGTGTGTGTGGGGGGGGGGGGGGGGGCAATACTGCGATGAGGGAGGCTGTTTAACAAATGCTAACTTGGTGGCGTAATTTGTTTTAGTTTATTTAAGGTATCTCGCCTCGCAAGAAAAAAGAGTGCGAGTTCGCTCGGTGTATCGATTGTCCCTTTTTATTTTTTTTATGTATATATATATATGTGTGTAAAATAAAAAAAGAATCGGCTTTTAGCGGGTGTCAGTAAGTTTGCTTTTGGACCTGTCCCCCCCCCCCCCCCCCCCCCCATCGGCAAACTCTCCACTTTTAAGCGTTTCGCAAAAAAAAATAAAAAAAAATATTAAAAGAACATCACCGGGGGCTGTCCTGTTGCAGTGCAGATGGAACTCGAGAAAACGTTCCTGTATCTGGCAAAGCGAAATGGTACCCCAATGCTTACTTTGTGAACGTGCACGACATCAAACAAATGTCACAGACTCGAAAGGGTAGGCACATTTGATCCTGACTTTCTAAAACTTAGCGTTCAGCGGTGAACCTTTCAGAAGTGGCCAAAGCGCACACAGTGCGTTGGGTTTTATTTTGTAAATAGAAACCTGTAGTAACAAATTGATTCACAGCCGTTGCCGGAAGCACGGGTATTTAAATTCAGTTACGTGCTTTGCAGTGGGAAAATTACGCCTTGAAGTTCCAGTTCTGTGCAATCTTCCGAACAACGGGCAGTATTTGCAAAGATTTCCGAATATTCACTCGACGAGTATTTATTCAATTAGCTTCTACAGTCGCCCATTTAGCGGAAAGAAAACTATGCAAAAAGCAGTTTGTTGGTGTGAGTTTGGTGTTCGGAGAATTCAGGTGTAACCGATGTTACATACACGTACAGTGTTAAAAGTTTTACTCACGGGTCAAACAGTAGAGGGTTGTCATGATTGATATGAATGACCTTTTAAAGTTATACTATATAGTATACACTATGATGTGAAGCTAAATTGATATTAAACTTGTGAAAAGTTGAGCGTGCAGATAATCTTAAATAGTAAACAGAAGTTGTTAAGTCTGGCGTGCTATATACAGCTGCAAAATAATTAACCGATGGAATAATTAATCAATGAAATAAGAACCTCACCTGTATCCTTGGACACTTTTCGAAGTTTTGTTTCGACTCTAGTATTTGTTTAAATGACATACATTTGGTAATTCAGCAATCGTAGTGTAGCATACTAACAGTGTTTAACCAAGCCAAAACAAAATATCTTTGCAGGAACGCTTAAAGCGGCTTTAAATCTTTATGACTAAATGTTATCTATAATGTGAACCCCTCGGGCAACATGTGAAGCTGTGTAACTTTCTAAATCGGTGTAAATAATGCAGTCTTAAATAATTCACAGCCACGAACGAGATACATGGGACATTCGTTTTTTAAATTGCAACCTGTACGTGAAGTGTGATTGCAGAGCTTATGTCGTACAGCATGACAAATAATATAAATTGTGCCTCAGATACATTGATTGAATAAACTATAAATGTATCAAAAGATTCATAATGAAGGTTATACAGTTACTGTGAAGCCAGTAATTGCCTTCACTCAAGTATTGTCTTGACGTGGAGTCCTGTAGCTCAGTGGTTAGAGCAGTTGCCTCGCAAGCAAGAGACCTGGGTTCGATTCGCGGCAGGGTGAAACTGTGGGCAAGTTTCCTTACTCCACACGCCTGATAACATCACCTCAAGAAAAAAACAATAATAAATTGCTCACTTCAACTGTTTGTGGGACACTGCTGTGCACAATTGGCACCGCATTTCGCCAACAAATGTACAGTCAATTTACTTTACAGAATATTCCAGAAGATGTCTAAAAGCGCTATATCAAATGCAACGATTATTATTATTTATAGTTTAAATAGTGTATCACGCTCCAGATTTTTTTCTGTTCTGGTTTATAAAGTTATCCTGAAATATGTTTAAAAGACGAATCACTGGAGATGCTTCCACTTGAAACTCATTCTCGTTGCACGATATTGCCATTTATTATTTTAATCACACTGTATTTGAGTCATCATGGGCTCTCAATATATCATTGCTGAGATCAAAAAGTTTTAGTTTTGATACAGATGTGTTTCATAGATAAGTTCAAACAACAGTTTTAAAGCCGAAATATTGTTTAAGGAACTTATATATGATTTAATGCGAAGACGGGATTTCATATCCTTTTTATAAGGAGTGATGGGTATCAAGCTGTTGGGCAGCACTAAAGGATTTTTGCTCGGTAAATTCAAATTCCGTGACACACGCTGTTTTCTGCAGCCTGCGCAAAATTCTAGTTGCATTTTGCAAGATCTATTTTAAAATATATGAATGGAGGAGTGGAGAAGACAACAGTCGGGAATCAGATGGAAGTGCATTAACTAACATTTCAGTTTGTACAAATCTGAGTGGGTGTGCGCGAATGCAGATGCATTACTGCTGCTTTTACTGAGTATGGTTTGATCATGTTTGCTTTTTAAAATGAAAGATGTGCACATTCTTTTTTTATGGAAAGGAGGTTGAAATCACTACAATGTAATGCAAAGTGTTAATTGTATCTGTGTAGTTGAGCATTTTCCCGTCAGTAAGCTACAGAATGGTTGATAATTTGAGCAGTTGTGGAGATTTTTTTTGTAAGTCTTAAATTACCAATGAAAGGTTAACATTTTACTTTTTATTTTAGATTTCGGATCGTTTTTTGAATTAGAAAATGATTTGCCTGATGAGTTGATCAGAACGTCCGACTCTTTAGGACTGCCCAACGGTGGCCAAATGAACAGTGGTGGCAGCATTACCCCGGACGTTGCTTCCAAACACAAACAGCTCTCGGAGCTTCTGCGAGCCAGCAGCAGTTCTAATCTCACCGGAGGGCTAGGCAATGTGAATTCGAGCAGCAACGCAGGCAGATCCATGGACAGTCCTGGCCAGAGCCAGAATAGCTCCAGTGTAAGCAGCATGGGCAAGAGCCCTCACAATCAAGGGCTAACTTCACCTCCCAGTCTGGGAATAGCATCTAGCAGTTCAACTTCTTCAACTCCTGGAACCCAAGCACTGAACCAACAAGCACAAAAACATGGAGAGCAGAAACTTCATAACTCTGCAGCATCAGCCATGGGACCTGCCAACAGCAGTCCTGGTACTCAGACTGGACCAGGAGGAATGAGCATCAATACAAACCTCAGTCACACACACCAGGCTCTGCTGAATAGCAGCAATAACAGCCAAGGGTTGATGCAGCAATCACAGCAGGGGCAGGGACAGGTGCTGAATGGATCATTGGGTGCTGCTGGCAGGGGTAGAGGAGGCATGCAGTATTCAAATTCTGGACTGGGTAACTCAGGCAGTGTGCTAGCAGAGACGTTAGCCCAGGGATCAACACAAATGAGTGCACACACGGGTCTAAATGCATCGCAAGCTGGAGCTATGGCGAAAGTAAGTACTCGTTTTGTTTTTTTAAAAAAAGAGAATTATAGTGATGACCTTGACATGCTTATGTTTATTTTTATTCAGGTTAGAACCTTAATCTATGCTAATGTAAGAGTATGTGCAGTAAACAGACTACTAAATGGCATTTATACTGTAGTAAATATATCATCAGAATAAAATTTGTCTCAGGACAATGTGATTTGTAGTTATAGATGATCTCATAGTGCCTCAAGCATAAATGGATTTCCAACCAAAGTTTACAGCCGTTTTAACTTTTGCACTGATGCTGAGTAGTTTCACTAAATGCTTGTTGTTAAACTGCTGGATAAATTACTTCAGAAGTTCCTCCCTCCCCCAGATATTTTGTAATTCATCTAAAATATTCTTTAGGTTTATGACTGTTGACATTTTTAAGACTACATTTCAAGCATTTCAGACTACATCCTAGACTCTTTCTCTTTAAAGTGCCCATTTTATTATTTGCCCAAATTATTTTAAATTCTGCAGGATGAGAACATAGAGGTTACTATTAAATGACCGTATATAGTAGGGATTTTGTGGGGAGATGGAAGAAAGTAACAGCAGAAAGCTCCTTATTCAATAAGCAAAATTTGTAAATGATATGTTCTTTACAAATTCTGGAAATTCAGTTTGAATTGTAAAATTGGTTCATCTGGTTTACAGCTTTGCAGTAAACTGAGTTTACTCGTCTTAAAAAGTAGTAGTGCAACTAAAGCTGTGAAATCATAGAATTATACAGCACAGAAGGAGGCCATTCGGCCCATCGTGTCTGTGCTGGCTCTTTGAAAAGAGCTATCCAAATCAATCCCACTCCCCCGCTCTCTCCCCATAGCCCTGCAAACTTGTCTTCCCCAAATAATTATCTACTTCTTTCTTAAAAGTTGTTATCGAATCGGCTTCCACCACCCTTTCAGGCAATGCGTTCCAGATCCGAACAACTTGCTGTGTGAAAACGTTTCTCCTTGCCTCCCCTCTGTTTCTTTTAACAACTATTTTAAATTGGCAATATAGCATACTGCATGCACTTCAGTGTAAAAGCACATTGGTAATAATAAAAATAATCCTTAACATTTGATGCAGCTCCTTTCATGTAGCAGGAATATCTCACAGAGCTTCACAGGATGTACTGCAAAATGTGTGTGATTGAGTATGTCGTAGGTGAACGGGGCAGCCAGTTTTGCACACAGAAATATCTCACAAACAGCCATGAAGTGAATTAACAATTTTATTTGTGGAAATTTTGGCCAGGACACTGGCAGCAACTCCCTTCTCTTTTTGAAGAATGCCATGGGATCCTTAAGATTCACCTAAAAGGGGAGTTGGGACCTCAGTTTAACAACTCATCCGAAGGATGGCACCTCAAAACAATGCAGTGCACCCACAGCCCAACTCCACTGGCTTCCCATCACACAGAAGATACAGTTCAAGATACTGGTCCTCACCTTCAAAGCCCACCATGGACTTGCTCCCCCCCCCATCTCTGTGACCTTCTAACCCCTACCAATCTGCCCATGCCCTCTGCTCAGCAGGCTCTGGCCTGCTTCATGTCCCCCGCCTTGCCCCCCAGGCCTTCTGCCCCTTTGCCCCCACTCTCTAGAACTCCATCCTGCAGACCCTCACCCTTCTCACTGTACCTTCGGTCACCCTCATTCTCCCCCCCCCCCCCCCCCACTCTCCCCAATCTGAATCACCAGCTTGTGTCCGAAGCACTAATTGTCCAGCGCCTTGGGATGTCCTTCTGATGTGAAAGGTGCTATTCAAATGTAATTTTGTTGTTGGTCCCACAACATTCTGACTCAGTGGTGAACTTGCTACCAACTGAGCAAGAAGTAGTGAGGAAGAGGTTTCTGAATTTCTACTCCTGCAAATGTGTAAAGTTACTTGGTCTTTTTCTTAAGGTGGACAAATGAAATGCCACTATGGTAGGTGAGCGGAGATTAGTGAGAATGACTGTGGGTGTGGTTCCGCTGGTCTAGCAGCTACTTGTAGTGTTAGTTCTTAAGACCGTGTTGTCAAATTGCACACAAATCAAACAATCTTCTGTGTGTGTCAATAGATAAAGCAAATGTAATATCGGATTGGGGCAGAGAAGCTCATCTTGAATAAAAGTGCATGGTTATATTTTATAGGAGCTTTTCATGTTTTAAGAAAATCCTTACTTCAGGAAGTGACCCTTTAAAATTTTGTGATAATTATCTGTACTTTGATCTTTGCAACATCGAAAGCTGAACAGCTTAATATGGTGACTGTGCATGTTTATGTAATTTAAAGGTGAATTACTATCGACTGACTATTCATATTCAGAAAATTGGATGAATGTTGTGAAATGTTGCCTCTGAATTTTTTTTAAAACAACATCATTTTTGATATTTACCTCCTTCCTGGGAATTATGCTATGCTGTGGAGGAGTTTCATCCATTTCTAGTTATCTTACTGTAGTGCTAACAGCACCTTTCAGGAATGTAAATTACCCCAGAGATATGATCCACAAAAGTAGCCGTGCAAATCTGAAACTTGAAACAGTTTGCTTTTGTGTAACAATTTGAAATACGTGCTAAGGGTAAGGCCCCAAGAAGTGGAACAGAATTTACAACACATGATTTAAAATGACATGGCAGATCTTCAATTGCTGTGCGTTGTTAGTGATTCCTATAACTGTTCAGATGGTTTAAAAAAAAAGCTCAGGAGTTGTTACATTTTTAATAAATAATTTCAGCCCATTGTTTTTGAGTGTGTTGAATGCCCTGAATCCCTAAATGTAACATTAGTTTGAATTGACTAAGAAACATATACACTGTAACTGAATCTTTACATCAGGGGTAGCAAACTGTTGCCTCTCCAGATTTAGAAACAATCTTTATTTTATATTATTAAGTGTGATCAGATAGTTTGCTTCTATAATAGGTTTTTTGCAGCACAATGTATCGCAGCAAAATGTTGGCTGAACGAATCCATTGTTCTGTGGATTCTGATTTCAACAACGTTTTGAGGTGGTTTAGATTTAACTATGTTAGAGAAGATTACAACAACAAGATTAGGAACATAACAATGCATGAAAATGGATAGTGCCAATGCATTCAGGTAGGAACTAGATGGGTTTTGGAGATAGAAGTATTATATGGTATACTTTGGGAACGCAATGATCGTTGTAGTTCGGAAAGTTGCTGTGTACTAAATGGAAAATTCCATAATTACACGTGAAGTGACGTGAGTATTCCTCATTATGTTTAGTTGATTGTCATCATCAGATGGAATTTTTTTGTTGTGAGCTCTTGTTTTTCCAATTATTAAGGCAGAATTGTTTTTATTATTTGACATTAAATTAATGCGTCTAATATAGCTTCTGTGTATGTGAGACAATGTTACCTCATAAGTACTTTTTTTTAACTAGCTACAGTACTTCCCATTATTGAGTTGTTCTGAACTGTGGGACATTCACGGACCCGGAATTTTTCAAATTTCTTTTCGAATAGTCCATGGGATATTTAACGTCTGTCTGAACAGGCAGATAGGACTCAGTAAGCATCTCATTGGAAGGACTGCACTTCTGATTAGGCTATGTGAAGTTCAAAGTTCCAACTGGGGTTTGAACCAACAACCTTCTAACTCAGGCGAGATTGAGACCTGACTGAACCAGGCTGACGTCTAACTAAGCCAGACTGATGCTTAAAACCTGAAATAATGGACTCCTTCAAGTTTGTTCAACAGGCAATTGGCATATTGTTAAAAAAGCATGCTGGTTGTATTTTGGAAAGTGTTGAACAGATGACTCGGAGATGGTTAATTGTGACCATCTAAGGGAAATAACTGTTTTTGGGTGAATACAGCTGCCAGCTTGTGCACAGCAAAGTTGCACAAACAGCCATGGCATGCGTAACCAATTTTATTTGGGTGATTTTTAGCTAGGACTGAGAGAAGCTCCCTTCTCTTTTCGAATAGTCCATGGTACCTTTAATATCCCATAGACTGTGTGTGTGTGTGTGTATAATGTGTATCAAGTGCCCGTTTGAAGCATGTTTTGTCCATAGCAGTATTGTGTTGGGAATTCTGAATAATTGCTATCAGCAAAGAGTGTCTGTTTGCCATGTAAAAGATTGAAATAGAAAGCTATCATTGCCTGTCAAAAGCACATTGAAGTGGTCACTTGTCTGAATGACACGATTGTCTTGGTGACACGATTGTCTCCTTTTTTGACAAGTGTTTTAAATGATGCGTAAATTAATACTTGCTATCCCCGATTCCCTTCTGCCTGAAAAGGTTCTAGTGTGTTTCATCATAAGTATAAGTGAACATCAAGATCAATCTGTTGAAATTGAGGAATTGCAGAGCTGTAGTTTGCATCAGCTGTCAATTATATTGAAGACAAGCTCAAACTAAACTGTACTCTTAAAATTCAGCCTCTTTAAGCAGTTCAGGACTATTACGAGCAGGTTTATTGTTGTGAGATTTATATAACACTCTTACAGTTTCAGTACAAGATCCTTCTTACATTTGATGTAAAATATTTATTTTTAGTTGACTTGCTTTGCAAATATATTAAATGAATAATAGAAAGGGAATGAGATTCTGTAATCAAGTTATATTTTGTAATTTTTCAGGCAAAGCCTTTTTCACAAACAAGGTACTCAAGATATTTACGATTTCTTGACTGATCCATGAATGGAGTTAAATCGTGTATTATGTTCAGGAGTGACTTTTTCTCCACATGTTAAAATGTATCACACGGAGCACTGGGCTCCGTGACCCCATCACTTCCACACTCACCCGACGCCACTGGCTTCCCATCCCTCAGAGGATCGAATTCAAGATCCTCGTCCTCACTTTCAAGGCCATCCATGGCCTTGCCCCCTCCTACCTCTCTGACCTGCTGACTCCCTACCAACCTGTCCGCTCCCTCTGTTCAGCGGGCTCCGGTCTGCTCCATGTCTCCCGCCCGACCATCGGTGGCCGGGCTTTCAGCCTCTCTGCCCCCACACTCTGGAACTCCATCCCACAGTCCCTTCGCCTTGCTTCTTCCCTTGCCTCCTTCAAGGCTGGTCTCAAGACCTTCCTCCTCTTCGATCGTGCCTTCAGTCGCCCTCCCACCTCTCTGCCTTCCCTTACCACCCCTACCCCACCCCTCCCCCATGCTCAGGTCCTGACCCCTGACTGTCCAGCGCCTTGGGTTGTCCTCCCGACATAAAAGGCGCTCTATAAATGTAATTTTGTTGTTGTATAAGCATAATAATTGCTGTCGAGGCTCACACTTGGCTACTTGGGTAAGATATTCGAGGGTCAGCATGGAACCATGCACTCACATGAGTCAGCATCTTCAGGAAAGTGCAGAAGGATATGATGTTGGTTCAATATGGCTCTTTCTGAGATTGCACAGGAAAATGGAAATATTATATACTAGGATCTTCCCATGTCTCCATAAGTGGGATTTCTGCTGTTTACCTGTCTATGTAGCATTGCACTGGCGGTTCTGGTGGTAGCTCAGTGGGTTTGCTCACTCGGGAACACACAAACTGTATTCTTAATGTTCTGTGCTATGCTGCATTTCTGCATTTGAAGTTTTGAACTTGGCATCTGAATAGCTCATTTTCTTAATGAGGGGTTTCATGTCCTCAGACTTTAGATATTGTAAGAGTCTGTGGTTCTGTACAACCAAAATGACTTGTGCACTGAATTCGTTAAACATGAGTTTCAGCCATATACTTGGAAGGTTTTTCCTCTTTAACAAAGGACTGGCTTTATTTTTTTAAAAAATGGGAGGGAGCATTAGGTTGCATTCTAGCAGGTACTGCCCAAATAGTTAATGCAAACAGAACTAAAAATAGCTTGCAAGCTCTAGATTTGCAATGACCTGGGCTATAAATGTTTGGGCAAACAGCTTGATTCTTGGAACATTGGGAGTTTAGAAATACACTCCACGTCTGAACTTCAAGCCTTTCCTTTCTGATGGATTAAATTTTAAAGGGTAACTGTTTGGACATGTGTTTCATGAACTGTTAATCTACATTGCTGTTCCTGCTGTTACATCAGGTAGCAGAGTTTACAAACAGATGGTGATGGTGTTGAGTACAATCATAATAAAATAATCTTGCATTTAGTACAGTGCTTTTCTTGTCAGGAGGACGTGCTTCATCTGATGTATTGTGTAGCGAAGTGACTGCGTTTATTGGGCGAACGTGGTGACCAATTTTGCACATACCAATGTCCCACAAACAGACATAGCATGAATGACCAATTTTTATCAGGGGGATTATTGGCTCGTTTTTTGAATAGTGCCATGGGATCTTTAGCTTCCAACTAACAGGCAGATGGGGTCTTGGTTTAATGTTTCAGCCAAAGGATGGCATCTCCATTGTTGCAGCACACCCCAAGAACTGAATTGTATTGTCATCGTAAACATCTAAGATTGTCCTGTGAGTGTGCTTTGGGACATCCTCCCAACGTACTGTACTGTATTCTTTTAAAACATCCATTTAGTTTAATAATAAATAACTTGAGGCAGAACTGGAAGAATTTTGAGGGTCTAACCAAGTTTTGCAAGCTGAAGTAATAGCTCACAAAGCAGCAAACAGAAGCCAATTAAGTTTCCATTTTGATGCTATAAATTAACGTCACAACATTTCACTTAAATGAAACCCACTTTTTGGAATTTTTCCTAAAGTGTGCAGCTGGAGAAATGACTTTTGACTGATGCAGCCAAAGCAAAATGTCTGGTGGCCAAAAACCACAACTGTAAACAGCCATGCCTGTCTGAACCCTCTTGCTGTTTCTATTACTACAATAACTTTTTTGAAGAGATCTAGCACTATGACTGCTGTATTTTTATTGGGCTTGATTTATTGTGAGGGGATTTTTAAAAATAAATCAGTATTTTTTTTGTGGTACATTATATACAAAGTAAGGAATTGGGTACTGTTAATTTTTTACTTTGTACCTCTCCTTTCAAAGTGTATGCTGACTACCTCAGATTCTTGGGGAATCTGGGCAAATCCTGGCATTCAGCGCAACTTAAAAACTGAAATATTAGTGCCTTTATTAGTATGAGAAGTTGTACTATTGGCTATTGGAAGTTGTACAAATGTCAGCCTGAAGTGGTCACAAAATGTATCTAAACTTGCACTTCGATTTGGTGTCAATATGCTACAGTCAGTCAGACACATGTTGAAAAATAGCAAACTATTTTCCATCAGCTACCCTGCCTGTACAGTGAAGATATAGACGAATTTCAGGAAAAAATTATTGTAATTTATCATGATTAACAACATTTTTAAGAAGGATAATTATCTCTATGAAACATGACAATATAAAAACGAATGTATATTTCTGCAAAGCAGGGTTGAATAATGTATGGATAGACACAAATCATGGTAATGTGGAATACAAGGGTTGAAATGATAGTGGGAACACGTGGGCCATCCGAGGAATACAGGTGGTCAGAGTAGTAAATGTGGGTTGTACAGGTTATTATTCTTTTTTTGCTTGATTACCTTGTGGTTGTGGAGAGATTTGAGAACTTGATCTTGTGGTTTACCTGTGGTTGGTAACTTCACCAGATATTGTGTAGTTCATGGTGGTGAAAGTTTGTACATTATGATCTGATGGGTTGAATGAGTGTTTCTGGTTTCATACTTTTGTTTTTATACCAATGTATGAATTAACCACTTAGTTAGATTATCTGTACGGCCTGTGGCCTCTCCTGCACCAAGCTCTGCACACTTTTAACCCCATCCTTGCTCGGGTCAAATGGCTCCCCATCCCACAGAAGATCAAATTCAAAATCCTTCTCCTTCTCATATTCAAATTGTCTATCCTCCTCTCTGACCTACTAACCTGGTTACTCCCTCCATTCAAACTATTGCCTGCCTGATCTGCCCATGTCCTCTGCCCCACCACTGATAGGCGGGCTTTCTGCCCGCCATCTCTGAAATGCTATTCTGGAGTCCATCTGCATTCCCTCCTCTTCTTCCCCACCTTCAGTCAGTAATATGAAGAGTTTTGAGATGCACTTATGATGTGAAAGATGCTATATAAATTATTGTTGTAGTGATTTCTGCTGGCTAAGAAGGAGTATTGGCAATAGCATGTTTTGCCAAATACTGCAAAACCTGATATTTTCATCTTTCAAGTTCAGGTCCTTAAAGGCATTTTTCAGCAGAGCATCAGTTGTGCGATGTATGCATCATAAATCTGTGTAAATTTTAGATTGTGTCTACAATACGATTTTGTACATCGGATAGAAACCTCAAACCTGATAGAAGTTCAGATCAAAGCTGCTATGATTTCTGCAGTTTGTGGAAACTACTTGTTCATGAAGCAGACCATGCTTCTGCTTAATTTAAATTTAATTGAAATGGCAAAATGGTACTCTATTTTCAGGGCTTCGAAGGTATGTGTGTTGGCACTTTTCTTTCAATAATAAATAAGTGAAGTTGAGTACGTGATTAGGTCTGCAACAGGAACAAGCCGTATAAGTTGGTATTTTCTTGTTCCGTTTGTTCTTATGGATTTATATACTGGATATGGTATGTCAGTTATTGCTCTAGGAGTGCCTAGAACTGCTAGATTGTGAAGATGATAAAATGGCGGCAGGCACATTAGGCATTATTTTCCAGTAAAAGGCCAATTTCATACATCTTAGGAAAATAGCCCAGCTGTGATTCTAAGGGTGTTTCTTTTTAATATCAGTAGCTCAAATCTTGCTACTTGACACTGTTAGCCTGAATGAGGCTGCTCAGCTACTTCTTACATGAAACCATTCTGTGAGCTTTCATTGTGCCACTTTTAAAAACATAAGAAAAATCGGAATTTCCTAGACACTTATTTCAGCAGTTGTGGAAATTGATGAAAATCTTCCTACCTGAATTACGGTCACATTTTAAGCATTTTTCTTTCGCAGATGGGGCTTTCAGGTAATGCAAATCCATTTGGACAGGCATATGGTCAAGCTGGTGGTCAGCAATTGGGTGCTGCAGGTGTTGGATCTCAATTACAGAACAAAAGTGGTCTTTCCAACAGCCTGTCTCCTTTTCCAGCTGATTTAAAGGGTACTACAGTTACAAATGTGCCAAACATGGTAAGTTGGTAAAACTGAACAGATGTTCAAATGTAGCAAAAGACTACATTTTATCTTCACTACATAACAACAATTTGCATTTATATAGCGCTCCAAAACACCACTGAAACGGTGGTGTTTTGGAGTGCTTAACAATGGCATAGTTTGATGCCCGAGCCGGGGAGAATGGGTAGGTGACTATATGCATTGTCAAAGAGCAAAGTCTTCAGGTGTAATCTGAAGATGGGCAAAGAGGGGGAAAGACGAAGGGATTGAGGCAGGAAATTCCAGAGGTTTGGGGCATAGTGACTGAAGGCACGGCTGCCGAAAGGGGAGTGGAGGGGTCAAGGGATATGCAGAAGAGGGTGGATAGAGGAGTGTTGTATGAACAGTTGGGGATTTATAGGTGAGAGTGAGGATCTTGAAATCAATCCTTTCTGTGACGGGGAGCTAGTGAATCCTGGCAAGACTGGGGTGATGGGGGTGCAGAGTTTGATCCGGGAAGCGGAGTTTTGTATCAGTTGAAATTGTGAATGGTGGAACTGGGAAGTCCAAAGGAAAAATCTAGGCGTGAGTTGGATTGAATTGCATTATGCAATCGAGCCATTCAGCCCAGCTCATCTGTACCGGTGGTGTTTTCCACGTAAGCCTTCACCCCTCCTAATAATTGCAATGAATAAGCACTTAAAAAGAAATTCTATGAGTTCATGGGCACACGTGTCGCTGAGAAAATATTGGATATATGCATATTACCATCAAAACTGTATTTTAAAATGTTATTGCTTACAAGTATTGTGCTTTTGTGTAGAAGTGAAGTGTTTCCTCTGAAAAATGAATGCTCAAATTTTCTTGATTTTAGCAGTTTTTCCACTTTCTCTTTCCTTCAGTCCCAGCAGCAGCCCCAGATTCAACAGGTACCATCACAGGTACCAACCCAAGGAATGGGATCTGCACCGACTGCAGACCCCGAGAAACGAAAGCTGATACAGCAGCAGCTGGTCCTACTGCTTCACGCCCACAAATGCCAGCGGAGGGAGCAGGCGAACGGTGAGGTACGGCCCTGCTCGCTACCCCACTGCCGAACCATGAAAAACGTCCTGAATCACATGACTCACTGTCAGGCAGGCAAGTCATGTCAGGGTAAGTGCACTTAATTTGGCCTTTTTGCACACTTAAGTATACCTAAATGAGCCTGGTGGACAGCAATTTGAGTCTGGTGTAGAGTAGAAAAAGAGAACCCATAGATAATTACCAGAATCTGTTTCCAGTGTCTTATTGAACCCTTTGGATCATGCTTTTGATTTTCTTCTTTCAAATGGTGAAATGACATAAAGTGAGCTAAGATGGTTTGATATGGGATCAGAGTACATTAGGAAGTCATATACAGTCAAACCTGTCTTTAACAACCTTTCAGGGGCCAAAGTGGCCTTCATATAAAGATGCCCTCTGAATAAGAGTCTGTTGATATGTGTAGAATTGTGTCCAGGCTGTAATTGCATGCATATAATTGTCTGAATTTGTAGGCAAATGTGGCAGCCAATTTGTGTTAATCTATATTGAACACAAAGCACTGACTGTGAGGCTTAAACCCACAGCCTTCTAACCCAAAGGAACATCACCTTCTAGTGGTATAGCAGCAGTCGGTCAATGGAAAGTAGAACTCATTACTACATTTGAAGTTTGGTGCAAATCTTATAGGTTTCCTTTAAAATGGTAATCAGGATTTTTTTAAAGTAATAAAGTTGTAGCTATTCATTGTGGTCTGTCTCTGTGTTGGGTATATTGTTCACACTATACCTCCGGCTATTTTGTTAAGCAGTTGCTCACTGTGCATCATCAAGACAGATCATCTCTCACTGGAAAAACTGCACTCGACATGACTGTCCGGTATGCCTACCCCTGAAAAATGCCAGTGACAAAAGGAATCAACAACGTAAGAGTGACACAAGTGTTATTTATTTTATAACATTGGTAATCAAGAACATTGTGGGCTCAAATCTGCAGTCAATGTGATGTCACATCAAATGAATTCTTGTCACTGTTCACAACAGTAAGATCTGAGAAAGTGGGATTGTTGCATTGGATATCCATTTCATAGATCACTGCATTCCATTAAATACTGACTATTTTAGTAAACAAAATTGCCACAGGCTTCACCTTTTAGAACTGTTGTGCATCTCCAGTTCATTTGAATGATAAATATCACATGGATACAAATATGATGTCCACTTTTGTTGTCTCTCGTAAAAGCTCATATTAGCGGGACTTGAATCTAAAACGTATTAATAATGCAATAGAAATGCATGCATTTCTTTGATAACTGACTAGTGACCCATATAATGTGCCAGCTTGTATCTTTGGAATGTTACTGTTGTGATCTTGCATTGTTTTTAAGTCTAAAGGCATTTGGCATGCAAATAGTGGTAGATTGCACTTGGTTATAAAACAGGAATCACCATTTGCCCAATTCAGATTCCTTAAATTAATCCCATATAAAAGAAACACCACAAATTGTACCCAAAGTGCTAATTTTAGGTTTACATGCCAAGTACCCAAGATTGGTGTTAAATACTACCTTGCCCTGCTTAGGTATCTGATATGTTTTCCATGATATGAAATATGCTAATTTTTTTTATTTGTTTCTATTATATGGTACTACTCCTTATTCAGATTTTGGTCTGTCATCCTTCGCACGCAAAGAATTAGGTCTGTAGCCATTTGTTTTTAAGTTTTATGTAACAGTTTTATTTTAGTAAGTACTGTGAGTTGCACAGTTGTTGAGTTTTGTACAAATGCAGCGTTTTCATTATTGGTCACTACCAACAGCTTTTTTCATTTAAAAAAAAACATTTCTTACGGAGATTTTTTAAGGTTGAAGTCCATTTCTGAAGCTCAAAGCTTGTGCACTTACACTACAACACTTTGTCTGCATCATTGGATTTTGGCGGGAAGTCGAGGCAAAGCAATGAAGTAGAATGAGTATCCAATCTATGTGATTCTTAAATGCTACACAAAAACTTGAACATCTTTTTGTAACTGGCTAAATGAGAAACCAGATTTTTAAGAAGCCTCTTTAGCTGCTCATTTATGTAAAGAAGATTGGTGGGGACTAATTTTGGACACTACAGTTTTAAAATGGTATTTTAGGGCAGGGAATGCTAATGTAAGATCCAGAGACCTATTAATGTATTTACCTATGACGAAACGGCACTTGTCTCTAAACAATTCATTTCTTTGAAGATCAAAGTAGTAGTTCCTGTGTGGAGTTTAAAAGTGGTACACTATTGGACTTCAGTAGGGCATGTTGTAGACAATATAATTGAAAGCTAGAACAAGTTAAGATAATGTTATTTGTGTCATGAATCGGTAAGTTGCACGCATGATTTATGCAATAGATTTAAAGTGGACAAGCAATACCTTTTTCCACTCTAGAAGCTAATATCTTGGTCTTTTAAAGGAAAAACAGAAATATACAGGAACAAAAAAATGATTGCAGTCCATCTGGTCAGTCGGAAGTTAAAAAAAAATGACTGCTCTGTCTCTTATGCTCACAATATTTCTTAGCCAGTTCCATTTTGAGCTAATTTCATTTTGAATTTGCTAACACAATCTGCATTCCTGTCATGCTGCATTGGCTATTCTACAAATTTACCATTCTCTATAGCAGTGGAAATTTGGGGTGAGCCCCAACTTATGGTGGACGAGCAGTGATCAACTGATTTAAAACAATTAAAGCCCTGACCTGGTCATTTGAAATTGTAACCAATTAGTAAATTAATTGAAAGTCAGTAAATTACTTACATTGCCTCTTGACTCCGCTCCACCTCTCTGTACTGCCTCATACCTCTCGCTCCGTCTCTCTCCATGCATCCTGCAGAGAGCAACAGGTGGGCCTGGATGCTAACACCCCATGGCCACGCCTCTGTTCTGTAATTAAATTTGAAACTTCTGTCACCTACTCTTCTGCGTTCGAGTCCATTGAAGAAAACCACTAATTTGCCTTAAACCAGATCAATCTATTACTGGGAAATAATAATCCAATACCTGCAAGTTCATTTTCATTCTTCTGACAGCTCAAATGAGTATTCATAATAGCATTTAAAACAAAATGTGTTCATATATTGACTAGTTTGCCAGATGAACAGCGGATGGCAGTGGTCTTTTCCCATTCTGCACATTCCTGTGTTTCCATCAATATTATCATAACTGCTCTGTATTGACATTAACCTTACTGTACAATGTTATAGTAGAGTTTTCATATTTTTTAAATGGTTTTCAGTTGCAATGCACAAATAACAAATAATGATTATCTGATTTATAGCCTTGTTGGGTTCTCCACCAAGTGGGTTGTCAAACACTGTCGGTGCGGTGGGAAGTGGTCCACAAGGCACATCCAGCAGCTCTAACCCAATCGATCCCAGTTCCATGCAGAGAGCCTATGCTGCACTTGGACTGCCCTATGGTAATCAGTCACAAGGGCAGTCTCAGGTACCAGGTCAGCAGCCAACACCGTCTCACGTCCACCAGCAAATGAGACCAAACCCAATGGGTAAGTACAGCAGTAGCCTGATGTATCTGCAGTTTAACGATCTTTGTTACTATGCTTAATTTGTTGCCGATTCTACCTGTTTCATGTCTCAGCGTGTGGAATAGCTTGTGATGTTTAGTTTGATGAGTATCTTTTGCTTTTATCCCCCTCTCCTTAGATATCATGTCAATTGGGGTGTTATTTATTTTGGTCAGCTGGGTGTCTGACACATGTGGAAACCCATCACCGTGCTTAAGAGTACAAAACCAAGATGAGATTTCCATGCATCCCGCCTACACTTGGAAATCCAAGAAATAGATTAATGGAATGTGCACTCTCTCCCTGGTGGGACGCATCCTGCTTACCCATTTCCGGAAATTATTAGGTGCAGGTTGGCAAGAGCCAAGGCTTGGAGACCCCAGAGTGTACTGCTGGAGTCTCACCAGCTAATACTGCATAACTTGCCACTAGTATTGCTTTCCTTTCAGGAAAAACAGCAAAATTAATCCATTACAGAGAGCAGTACTGTTTGAGTTGTCAGAGATCTGGTTAACATAATTAATTGAAAGTTCTAATGATGCGTTTAAAAGAGTAGAATTCCTTTATTAGTTGTCTTCTTTCTTGTTCCACTGACCTCTATTTAGACAGTTGTTAAGAAGCATTGTAAACTGTTCAAGCTGTTACTGATGAATTGATATTTTTCTGTTTATCACAGCAGGTACTAACCAGATGAACATGGTTGGTGGAGGGATGAGTGTCCCGGCCACTGATCAACAGTCAAACCTGATGTCCGACTCTGCTCTTCCATCCGCCCTTGGTACACCAAAGTAAGGAACTTGTCATCTTTTAAAAATAAATACAAATTGATGCTACAGTGTGGACATAATGATGTCTTGGATGGTGGTTTAGGTCTCATTTCTGTGTGCAAGTGAAAGATAGAACATGTTTGAAGTTACACATTGACTCTTTTAAAAAGGAACCATTTCTAGTAAAATGTGGTCCACGATCTTTGGTATTGAATGGCACATACTTATGCATTTAGTCTTTACTATGGAAATTGTTATGCACTCACCAAAATACACATTGAAATTTATAGGTGTATGATCAATTTCAACCTAATGAAGTAAAATTTATTATACTAAAATATAATTATTATAATAAAAGTTCCCTCTCCTAACTTAGATTGTTTATAAAGAATCTGGTCACCTTGAGTCACTTTTTAAATAACTTTCTTCTTCTCTGCTTTTCAGTCAAATGCTGAATGATGGCACAAATGTTGGCAACATTGGCACATTGCCAACAGCAGCACCTTCTACTAGTGGTGTGAGGAAACAGTGGCATGAACATGTAACTCAGGATCTACGTAATCATCTGGTTCATAAGCTGTGAGTATTTAGTCAGTTTTTTTTTGTATAAGTAAAATCTCTTAATAGGTGTCAGCTTGGTAGGCACGCTCACCTCTGGGTCAAACGATTGTGGGTTCAAGCCCATGATGGTGTTTTGAACTCGTGGACTAGGCTAACAGTGAGGCATGGCTGAAGTACTTATTTTAAGAAACATCTTTTTTTAAGAAAGGCAAAGCCTGCGTCAGTAGTGAAAACCTGGTAAATGGGTATCGAACCACAAAAAGGTTTATGGTTCATAAACATCGTGTGAACAGCAGTTGTCAAATGTCAAATCCAACAAGGGTCATTTTTACTTTCTTATTACATGACTATTTACGATCTTTGTTCTTTCCTCTGTTCATTCTGTTTGTTTTTGCAACACACACATGTTCACGCACATGTAAAAGTTGCTTTTTTGTCAAATGGCCTTGAATGTTTGTTTTCATTTCTGATAGCAGCACCATAGGCTGTACTCGCTCACAAAACACAGTCACTCCAATTTACAGTATATCATGTGAAGCACTTTGAGATGTCTTGACAATGTGATAAGACCCATATATCAAATGCAAGGATCAAACTCTGTCCTTTTATCAATATTTCCGAAATGTGTGCATCATGGTAGTCTTCACATACAAATTGTGAATATTTAGTCAGTTTTTTTTGTATTGTGAATCTTTCTTAAAATAACTAATTCTAGTTTTATAAAATTTGTATGCTTTTTCTACAGTGTTCAAGCCATATTTCCAACCCCTGACCCAGCAGCATTGAAGGACCGTCGTATGGAGAACCTTGTGGCATATGCTCGGAAAGTAGAAGGAGATATGTATGAATCTGCTAATAGCAGGGTATGTAGTCTGAAATAGATGGAATTGATGGACAGCCTTAGCAGGCGATCAGAGTTTGAAAGAGAAAAATGGCTTATATTTTGGGTACAATCCTGTGCAAATTTATCAATGTACATCAGCCCATAGGAATCCCATATATTGCTGGCTCAAAAATGTTTGATATCTCTTGAATTTTATTGTTTAACAGTCATTCATCTTGCGGGCACAGTAACTACCTCCTTTACCTGCAGAAAGTCGTTACACTTGATAGTTGTTACCCATGAAACGCTTTGAGAAATTTTGATGTGATGAGGCAATTTAGAAATGCAGGTTTTTCTTTGACATTGATGGTCCAAATGTGATCATTATTTGAAAATTTTAGATTCAACACAAAGAGGCTACCTCTTTCAAGCTGAATATGTGGAGTAATCCCAAAAGGTGCTCCTAGCATGTGCATTGTGTCCTTAACCCACTGACCTTCTGGCCAAGTATATTAATTCAAAAAAGCACTACCCCACCATTCTCACTTGAACAGTCCCAGGGATCAAATACAAATAATTAAATCAGTCATTTAATCCTGATGTAATAACAGTAAAATAATAGTTGTGCATTGTACCAAAGCATTAAATATTGTATAATTAGCTTGAGGACCAAGACTTGATGATCTCATCTGTCAATCAGACTGCTGGAACTCCATTCCCTGGTGTAGAACACAAAAGGTTCTTTATTGTTTAATTATGTCTCAGCACCCGAGAGACCTACAGCATTAATGGAGTATTATTCTGTACAGTTGAAACCTCATACGGACCAGTCATCCACATATTAATATGAAATCATCCTATTTTTTCACACTGTTGTAGTCCCCCACCCCCACACACAAACAGATATAAATTACCATGTTTTGAAAAAAAGTAGTAGTGGATTATATATTCTGATGTGTTACTTTTTTTAAACTTGCCCCTTTTATTTATCAAAAGTCTAAAATAAGTTGAATATAGTGTTAGGAATATAAAGTTACTTTGGCTACTTTGTTTCTAATACTCAGCCTGGCCCAATACAATAGATATTGTAAACCAGTAATGAACATAATTGCTGGGACATTGCACTACGCCGTTGGGCTTCAGGGCTCACCTACAAATACTCAGTTGCTTCATTCCACAGTAAATCCTATGAAGAGCTTTTGGATGTCCTGAAGTGAGATGTGCTATACCAAGGATTACTATAATCTTCTCTCGTCTGGTTTAGCCCAAACACAGATGCGACTAATTTTGATGGTGTTAAAAAGATCTATTTTTCCTCCATTTAGGATGAATACTATCACCTACTTGCAGAAAAGATTTACAAGATTCAGAAAGAGTTGGAAGAAAAAAGACGCTCACGGCTTCAAAAACAGCAGCAGGGAATGATGCCAAACCAGGGAACCATGACTGGTCCAGGGACCCAGCCACCTGGCATGTCACAACCCCCAAGTATGGCCCAGGTCCCGCCTGTTCGACCACCTAGTAAGTTATTTCTGTAAAAAATTTATGATGAAATACAGTATAATTGCAGGAGCACACACAGTTAAGAGGGCAGATCTGATGGACATTTTCTAGTCATGAAAGTGTTTGAAAAAGAGTTTCACCCACAATGTATACAATCAATTCACTTTACAGTGAGTTGTGTCAACAACGTGATAAGACTCAATATCAAATGCAATTATTATTATTAAAAGAGATTAAATAGTGAAAGATGATTTCCACTGTTGGTGAACTAAAAACAAGGAAACATCAACTCATTATTACTAAAAGCGTAAAGGTTAGAACATTTTATTTACACATTTAAAGTTGAATGAATATAATATTTTAAACAAATTGGATAAACACTTGATGAATGAAGATTTTAAAGGGCATGGGGAAAACGAGGATTTGAACAAGTGGTTCAAATGTAGTGCTGTTTGGTGCAGGCTTGATGGGCTGAATGGCCTTCTTGAAATGTTCACTGTCCACACTGATATTTCCTCTTCCTTAATGATCCATCAACAACCTAATGAACTACCAATTTTGGTGTGTGGTTATTTTGTAAAACGCTAACCTTTCCAGTAGATAACAGTAATTCTACCGCCCTTAATAATTCAAGGAAAGCTTTGCAAATTCTCTTCCAGATTCTCAGATAATTGAGAAAAATCTACTCTTCACATCTACATTTACATCTGTTTACATCTGGCGAGTTGCATTCCACAGATTAACTTTTCATGTTCTTAGCATGTCTTTGTAGTACGAAGTTGTTCTTTGAGGAGATGTAAGTTTAAACATCTTTCAGTATTGACATCCTTGACATCCATTTGTTTGTTTTAGATGGACCTTTGTCTATGCCGAATGTGCCAAATCAGATCATAAATCGCATGCCAGTGTCTCAAGGCAAGTACATCACTTCATGGCAGTTTGTGGGACATTGCTGTGTGCGAGTTGGTTGCATAATTCTCTAACAAAATACTCTATGAAGCTCTTTGAGGCATCTTCCCGACATGAAACTCACTATATCAAATGCAAGGATTATTATTATTTATAGGTTTTGCACAATAATAAAGGGCAACTGGTATTTCTTTAAAATTTCAACCACTATTTCGAACCTATAAGACAACTAGCCTCCAAATTATCAAAGCAATCTTGAGTTCTCATCTTTCTCCATTTCTGGGGCTCCCGAATGACTGTGTGTAAACTGCTTGGATTTGATGCAGAATATACAAACCTGGTTTGATTGCTGGTCTAGATTGTTAGCTGACTTCAGGTTGAGAGACACTGAATTGGTCTTAGTCTAGGGAATCAGCTTGGAGGAAGATGGTTAGAGGCAAATTTATGTAGTTTCCACTTGCATTGTGGAGTTACATTGAAGACTGGATTGTGGGAATTTTGTACCATCATTTCATATGAATTGAAATCCTTAATCAGATCAATTAAATACATTGATGAGAGAACTTTAATTCCTGTTACTTGAGGACCTTTTAGGTTTTCTCTTCCTTACAATACTCTCTCATACCCCACCTCCCAGCCTATGCTAACATTTCCTGATGGGAAACTGACTTAAATTAGTACAGACTCAACTGATCTAATGGGAAGGATTCATTAATCAACATTAATTAATTATTTCAGGTATGAATCAGTTTAGCCCAATGACTATGGGAAATGTGCAAATGGCGCAAGGGCCCATGGGGCCACGTGCAACTCCTCCCATGAACCATTCTGTACAGATGAATAATATGGGATCAATTTCAGCGGTAAGTACTTTCTGTTTGGATGTTTGATGCAAGGCAAGAGAATTGCTGTTTCACTAAATGTATTGTTTATTAACCGAAGACTGAAGGATTTCAGATAATTTATGTAAATCCTAGTAAAAATAATCAAATGGCAATGGAGTGTCAGTGGCTCCAGCTCCTCCCCTCAGGTTATATGTACTGTTTGCAAAGAAGATGAAAGCGATACTAACATAAGAATTCATCCACACCAGAGAAGCTTTGTATTTTGTACAGAGGTAATTTAGAAAAGCTTATCACTTTTATCTGTTTTTGATATCTGTGATATTATTATGGGACATTGACATTTTACAAATACTCCCACGTGGTGTACAGGGCATCTGCCTTGTGTGAAATGCAGTTGCATCTTTTCCTCTTTGACCATGATCATTGACTGAAGTGTTTGCCACATGAGGCATGCTTGATATTCTCACTGCACCAGACAGAACCACCTCCAAAGATAATAGCTTGTTTCTTACTAGCATTGTTGCTCACTAGCCTGTTTGTTGGCAGGTTAATTAACCATAGTGGATTGGAGAGAGTCTGCAATGCCGTATCACTTACAGAATCTGTTCAGTAGGTCCTCTGTACATCCAGGTTTCTTGTCCAGTGCAATAATTTTCCATAGGAGACACTTCAACATTCACAAATTGACAATGTGAGCTCACTAGTGCACACTGCTTCTTAAAAAAAATCTAAATTTTCTAATGCTTGCTATAAAATGTGACTTGTTTGACCAGGATGTGGTTGAATTATCCATCTCCATTGGCATATCTAGTACTGCCTGTCTAATAAAAACTGTAAATTACAAGGAAATATCTGTAGTTTAGGCCCTTCTCTACCGAGCTAGAGTTTCCCCATTAACAAGTGGCCTGTTTTATCTTTTCCATAGAGGTTGTTTCTTTAACCAGTACAAATTGTAACAGCTGTTTCCAATTGCATCCAGATGGGAATGTCGCCATCCCGAATGCCACAGCCCCAGGGTATGATGGGTGTGCATGCCAATAACATCGGTCAGCCTTCCTCCCAGAGCCAGTTTCTGCCACAGAACCAGTTCCCTCCAGCGTCTGGTGGAATGAATGTGAATAATGTGGGCATATCTCAGCCTACAAATCAGCCTGGAATGAATCAGGTAGAGTTAGCGCAAAAAAGTAATTGTCTTGAGGGGGAGCAGTAATAGTTTTGGTGACCGTGCCCATTTGGGTTCCAATAGCGCTATTGGCTTGGTGCTAATAATAGCACCAGAATACCTAGGTTTTCTTTTTTAATCCTCACCTCTTCTTCCTTCTGCCCCCCTCACCACATACACACACAACATACTCTTAATGTGGCATTGCTTCAGATTTTTAAATTGTTTTGAAAACAATTTAAAAGTTTTAGTGGAAGGGATCTTTATGTTTATTATTCACTTGTGTGTTTATTTTAATCAAATAACTGAGGCTGTGTTTTACAACTGAATGTTTCTACACACAATGAAGCTAGCCTACACTGGTTCAGTTTGTGGTGTATGTTACCATGGTTTTGAGTTCTGACTGGATGTGGTAACTGGATGTGGAGAGAGAGAATGTGAGAAATCATCTTTATGTGGTATGATAGTTTCAATGTATTAAACAGTTGCTTCACTCACCTTTGAGCAACTTCACTACAGAAAAGAATTTGAAGNTTTTTTTTGGTAATCCGGGTGTCTGAAACGTGGCAGTCCGTCACCGTGCTTAAGCATTTCTAAACCAGATTGAGAATTTTACGTGGAAATTTACCTGCATATGGAATGCACATTCTCTCCCTGGACACAACAGTTTACCCTACTTTGGAGAGTATTAGGCACAGATTGGAGCCAAGGCTTGGGGCAATGATGGTGTTTAAACTAGCTAAACCACATAGCTTGTCTTACAGAGTACTAATTTCCTATTACTTGTCCAGCTAGGACCACCCTCCTCATTAGAGCTTTGGCTTGCAGGGTTAGCAGGACCTAAGAGCTCCCAGTGATCAGTTGGCCCCTCCAAGTCCATCTGAGGATTCAAGCTGGCTCTTCTGTATCAGTGCCCTGGATTAACTGCAGACCATCTGGTTTATGAACCATATTCACGAGATTGTCACAGGATTGACTCGATTCTGATATTCTGTTGCCAAGCATGCCACCTTACAACTAGCTCAGCTCCAAGGAGACCCTACTTACCTTCTTCTCCCTCCTCCACGTATTGAACTACAGTGGAACTTTGCTCTTTGTTGCTTCCTGAACAATGATCCCAAATCCTGCTTGCATTCATGAAGAAGCTTTCTCCCTTTGAGTTCCCTTTTGCAAACCGTCAGCCATTTGTCATCTGACTACTAATATGGGAATGAATTTGACAACTAGATAATCATGTATGTGTCAATTATATATAATATTTTTATACAGTAAAACTCACTTAAGTTGTATCAATCAGGACCATAACATTTAATATGACTTACGCAAAGTTCAAATTGCAGGTAAACTGTATAAATCATAGAAAATCCTATTTAAACAATAATCTACGCTGCCCATGTGTAATTTAATGCAGCCTGTGAGTGATTAATATGAGTAATGCAAAGAAATTATGTGGTTTTGATAGGAAACTGAATGGGACTCAGGTAAATTTACAACTTAGGCGATTATATGATTTATAAAGATGAGATCTATGCGAGTATTACTGTATATTATGTATAATGCGTGTGTATGATGTATATATATAACTGCACATATTTTTAAAAAGCTATTTTGTGCTTAACAAACCACGATTATCAACCAATTTCTACTGTCTTAACAGAAAGTACCCTCCATTATGGCAGATAATTATGGCTTCACTCTATTTTAAAATCTTGTTTCCCTTTAAATTACAACTTTAATCCTCAGTGTCTGCCAAGTGAAATATTTAATGAGCTAGTGTTTCTTATCTTAGCAGGCACAGGCTCCCAGCACTTCGCTTCCTTTGAGCAATTCTGTAAACATGATTGGACCGCCCAGTGGTCAAATTCATTGTCCGCCAGTCTCGCAGCCAGCTCTCCGCCAGACTCCGCCACCTGCCTCTGCCCCCGCTGCCACTGCTTCTGCTCCTGGAAATATACCACCCATCCAGCACCCTGCCCCGTCTGGTATGACTTCCCCTCAACCTGCAACATCCCAGTCTCAGGCCTCTACTCCAGCATCCTCCTCAGGCCGGGCCTCAACGCCAACACCAACCCCAGCACCACCGCTGAGCACCACCCCAAATCAGACTCCATCTCAAGCTCTGACTCCAGGACAGCCTCCAACTCCAATACAATCCCAACAGTCTGTACCAACTCCACAGCCTTCCCAGCAGTCAACTGCACAGCCTCAGCCTTCCACTCCAGTAAGGAATACAATCTTGCTTGAAATAATACAATACTAGTTTTGAATTTATAAAACAGTGATACAAGGTTGTAACTTCTGATATTAAAAAAACGCAAAAATGCTGTAAATGCACCTGGAAGAGAGAGTCAGGTGAGTGTTCTGCGTATGCCTCATTGTTCTCTTTCAGGTGCTCCCCAACCTGCATTTCTTGCAATCCCAGTTTTTCATATTATAACGTCTGCTGATTGCTATTGGTTTGCTATTCCACTTTAGAAAGCAATATTTAGCTAGGGCCCATGGGCATTGACCATTTCAGAGATATTTCTAATTGCTCCATATGGCATACCCACAGTTTATGCTGCTAAGAATCAGTTTCAGGCAGGAGGGGATCAGGATTGAGTCCTTTCCTTTGTTATGCCTGTCTCGTTTCCTAAATCCTCGAATGCTTTTCATTTTCAGAGACTTGTTTAGTTCTCTGACTTGGATGGCTGTCGGGTACTGGGAACATCATCCCTTTACTGTTTTTAAAAGGCAATCTTCTGTACTTGCCAATTAGATTAACATGTTGCTACTCCTTTTTAAAGTCATTTTTCATTGAATTGTTAATAGTCCCAAGTTCTCCACATGCAGTGAAAACAGCACATCACATAAGCAGAAAAATGTCACTCCTTTGATCAAGATTAATAAACAACAACAAATTATGTTTATGTAGTGCCTTTCATGTCTGAAGGACGTCTCAAGGCACTGGACAATCAAGATTTTGCACCCGAGCTGGGGGTTGGATACAAGATGTGTGGGGACTAAAGTGGGGGAGCTTGAGGAGATGACCAAAAGATCAAAGAGGAAGGCCCTGAGATGGAGTTCCAGAGAGTTGAAGCAAAACACGACCACTGATATTGGGCAGGGCAAGGCTGGCGACGTGAAGCAGGCCAGTACCTGTGGAGGGAAGGGTTTTAAAGATCAACAAAGTAGGATAGGGCAAGATTTAGGAGGGCTTTAAAAGTGAGGACAAGGATCTTGAACTTGATTCTTTGGGACATGGAGAGCCAATGTATTGGGTCTATTTTATATCAAATTTGATTATCAGAAAGGACAGGGGCCGGATAAATTGCATCCAGGGAACCTTAAGGAACTAAGGGAGGAAGTCACAGAAACGGTGGCACAAATCTTTAAAAAATCACTGAATACTGGAGAAAGGCAAATGTTACTCCTATTTTAAGAAAAATACCAAAAGTGAGCCAGGAAACTACAGACCAGTAAGTTTCACATCCATTGATGGTAAAATTATGGAGATGCTTATTAAGGATAAATTCATGGGGCATCTGGACAGAAATAAAATCATAATTGATAGCCAATATGGGTTCATGAAGGGAAGGTCTTGCCAATCTAATTTACCGCTTTTGTTTGACGGTGACAAAGGAGCTTGATAAGGGTAAGGCTGTGGGAGGCTGATGCAGCAAGTAAAGAAAGCGTGAATCAGTGGAGATCCATTACAATGGATATGCAATTGGTTGACTAGAAGAACCCAGAGGTTGGTGGTACAGTGAATATCATCAGACTCGGAAAATGTTACCAGTGGGGTTCCACAGGGTCTGTTTTGGGACCTGTTTTGTTTAATATTTTTATAAATGATCTGTAACTAGGAGTCGCAAGCTTGCCACCAAGCTAATGAAAATGGTAGATTGCGAAGCTATACAAAATAGGTTACAGGAGAATTTGAACATACTTGGGAATTGGGTAGATCGGTGACGCATGAAATTCAATGTGGAGAAATGTAAAGTACTTCACATGGGAACAAAAAATCCTGGAAGGGACTATTTGAACGGAAGGAAAATAATACGTATGGAAAATGAAAAGGACTTGGGGCTCCTGATTGACAATAAATTGAAGCTCTCCCAACAATGCTCTGTGACAGTGAGTAAAGCAAACTAGATGTTGGGATGGATCTAAAGATCAATAGCAAGCCGAAATAGTGGGGTAAACCTGTATAAATCATTGGAGTACTGTGTTCAGTTCTGGTCGCCGCAGTACAAAATGGATATTGGAGAAATCGAAAAGATACAGAGGAGGGGAACCAAAATGATTGAGGGAATGGAAGGATTGGACTATGAGGAGAGACTAAGTAAATTGGGCATGTTCACACTGGAAAAGAGAAGATTGAGAGGCGGCATGATTGCTGTCTTTAAGATTCTAAAGGGACAAGACAGTATAGATTGTGACAGGCTGTTTCAACTTGTCCAGAATAGTAGAACCAGACGACACGGCCTGCGATTGAAGGGAGGTAAATTTAGAATGAATCTACACAAACACTATTTCAGTGAGTGAATAGTGAACCTGTGGAACAGGCTCCCTAGGTTGAAGCAGTAAGTGTTGATTCTTTCAAACACAGATTAGATTTCTTTGGGAAAATATTCGCCCACAAATATACAGTCAATTCACTTTATAGCATATTCTGTGAAGTGCTTTGAGACGTCTAGAAGACGTGAAAAGCGCTATATCAAATGCAAGGATTATTATTATAACATGGGATATAGTACATAGGTAGTTGGGACATATGTGCATGCAGCCACCAGGAAGGTGAAAGGCGAACTAGATGGACCTTGGTCTTTTTTTGTTTAGCATTTTTAAGTTCTTATGGCTTCAGATTAATTTCTGCATCCAGCCAAAACGTGATGAAAGCTTCACCTCCACAATGTACAGCTCCATTATGAAAGCTTGCAGTGTCAGGCCACAACCTGGAACAGATGTATTCACAATTTGTCATTAAATTGACCATCTAATCAGAAGGTCACAGAGTGTCGTCTTGAGAAATGATCAAACTGGGTGCAGTGTACAGTACTGGAGGATTTATTCAGTATCTGTCTGCATTTTCCTGGTGAAAGAGTGTTTGATGACACTTGGTACCCAAAATGGGAAAGTCCCACTCCCTAGCACTTACATTTTGAGATGAGTTAAGATTACTGTGGTTTGTTAGATTTTCTAATTGGCTTTAAAAATCTACCATTAATGCCTTTCATTAGACTGTCTTTCATAAGGTGAGACCAGTTTTTCGTGCTAGGTTGTTTAATTCAGGTGTGCATACAATGATGCCCCATGAAATATTTTTGCTTCTTCAAAAAGATAACAATCAAGAATAGATAAGGTAACTGTGAAGCTACTCCTCAATATGCACCTGTAAAAGTTCATATTTAAAATGTAAAAAGTTTGCTTTTTATTCAAAAACAATCTGCATGCCACATAGACATGGTTTATGGTATATCTTTGCTATTGACCTTACTTAACATGGCATGTGATATCTTTGACACTGACCTTAACTCAGAATTGAAGCTGCCATTGAGGTCAGCCTGGTTATTTCTCATGGCTTATTCTGCATCCTCCCCGTTGCTTTCTTTACTGCAGTACAGAAATCCAAAGAGATTTATTTTATTTCCTCTGACTTTTTCAGCTCTCTCAGTCTGCAGTGAGCACAGATGGCAGAGCAGCTACCCCTGCCTCTGTTGCTAGTACTGACACCAACTCTCAGCAACTTACAGCGGAAGCGCCACTATCTGAAACTAAACCAGAGTGCAAAGTGGAAGAGATGGAATCGGAGATACCAGAAACTCAGACAGATGTTAAAGCTGAGGTAAAGAAAAGTTGTGTCATTTCAATCAATTAATAACCTAGGAAGAAGAGAAGCCCATCAAGCCTGGTGTGTCATTTTATTAGATCATGCCAGGTCTTTTAATTCCATTCCTCACCCTTTTTTCTCCATCTCCCTTAATGACCTAATGTGTCAAGCATCAGTCAAATACAGAAATATATGGTGCTTCCCAGGATATACTGTAAAATGGTATGACTGTTCTCTGGCAGTCGATTTCTGCACAAGTGTCCCACAAAAAGCCCTGAAGTTACTGACCAATTTTATTTAGGGGGTTATTGACCAGGACCCTGGGAGAGGCTCCCTTCTCTTTTTGAATAGTGCCATGGGTTCTCAAACACCTGCCTGGTCAGACAGAAGGATGGCACATCTGACAATGCACTACACATTGCATCGGAGCATTAGCATATATTCAAGTTCCAAGTCCCAACATGGGGCTTAAACCTGGACCTTGAAACCCACCACCTTCTCCCTGGACCTTGAAACCCACTACCTGCTCCCTGGACCCCATCCCCACTCCACTCCTTATCTCTCAGCGCCACCTCCTTGCCCCACTTCTCACAGACACTGTTAACCTGTCCCTCTCCTGGCTCTGTTCCTATTCCCCTCAAAACTGCCACCATCACTCCCACATTGAAAAAACCCTCCCTTGATGCGTCGCAGCTATCAAGCTACCAGCCCATCTCCAACCTCCCCTTCCTGTCCAAGGTTCTCGAAAGAGTCGTCACCTCCCAGCTGTGTTCTTTCCTCTCCACCCACTCACGTTTCGAACCCCTCCAACCGGGTTTCCGTGCTGCCGATAGCACGGAAACCGCCCTGGTCAAGGTCACCAATGACATCTTGACCATCTGCGACCAGGGCTCCCTCTGCCTCCGCGACCTATCGGCCGCATTCGATACGGTCGACCACTCTATCCTCCTCCACCACTTGTCCTCCCACCTCAACCTTCAAGGCCCTGTCCTTGAGTGGTTTAGGTCCTACCTCTCCCACCATCTTCATTTTGTCTCTGCAAACGGCTTTTCCTCCAGCCCCTGCACTGTCTCGTGCAGTGTTCCTCAGGGCTCTGTCCTTGGTCCCCTCCTCTTCACCCTCTATATGCTCCCCCTGTGGTGACATCATCCGCAGACATGGGGTTAACATTCACATGTACGCGGTTGACACCCAACTCTACCTTTCCTTTTCTACCCTCAACTCCACGACCACCGATGTCCTGACAGCCTGCCTGTCCGACATCGAGTCTTGGACGAGAGACAACATTCTTCAGCTCAATGTGCGCAAAATTGAGGTCCTCCTGATTGGCTCACGTCAGCGCCTCTGCACCTCAGGCGCTGACAGCATCAGCATCCAAGGCTGCACTCTCCACCTCTCAAAGCCAGTCAGGAACCTCGGCATTCTGTTCGACCCGGAGCTGTCCTTTCTCCCTCATATCCGCGCCACAACTGGCACCGCCTTCCACCACCTCCGGAAAATCGCCAGACTACGGCACACCTCACCCCTCACGCTGCTGAAACACTGGTCCACGCCTTTATCACCTCAAGGCTGGACTACGGGAACTCTCTTCATCGGCTTTCCCGGCCCTCCCTCCACAAGCTGCAGGTCATTCAGAACTCTGCAGCTCGTGTACTGTCACGCACCAGGCTTCGCGACCACATCACTCCCACCCTCGCTCGCCTCCACTGGATCGAATTCAAGATCCTAATCCTCACCTACAAGGCCATTAACGGCCTTGCACCCTCCTACCTCTCCAACCTACTATGCCCCTACGTACCTGCCCGTACCCTCTGTTCCTCTGGCTCCGATCTACTCCACATCCCCCGCCCTAACCGCCCTACCATCAGTGGCCGGGCTCTCAGCCCCGAGGCTCTGGAACTCCATCCCCCAGTGCCTTCGCCTTGCTTCCTCCCTTTGCTCCTTCAAAACCGGTCTCAAGACCTTTCTCTTTGACCGTGCCTTCAGCTCCCCTCTCGACTCTCTACCCCCTCCTCGCTCCCTCCCTTCCCTCCCCTCACCCTGACAATTTCCCCCCTGCTCGGGTCCCGACCCAACTGTCCAGCGCCTTGGGACGTCCTCCCGACGTGAAAGGCGCTCTATAAATGCAATCTTGTTGTTGTAAACCTACAAGCTTCTGACTCGTTATTCATTGAAAACTGAATGTGGATCTATGGGTAAAGGATTGTTTCCAGAATTCAGTTCAGTAATTGCTATTTTGTGGAAATGAGAGTGACTGGCCATTTGGTGATGCTCACCATTTCCACTGTATTCCAGCTACTTTTGTCTTGAATGCATTAGCGTGTTGGTTAAAAATGTATATTATAGTTTATGTAAGGCTCATCAGTGAAGTTTTATTTTTTGTCGTATTTGCAGAATGAAGAGATGCCACAGGTGAAAGAGGAGAGCAGTGAGAGTGTCGACACTAAGCCAGGTCCCATGGAGGAGGATGGCAAAACTGAAGTTAAAACTGATCCCAAAGAGGAAGAGGAGGTTGGTGCCAATGCATCTTCCCAGTCCTCTGCATCGCCACCTCAATCCCGCAGGAAAAGTAGGTGTTTGTTGCCGATTGGATGCTGTTACAATGTCTGATTAACTACTTGGTGGTGCTCACCATTTTCACTATCTTCCACCTAACTTTTAATAATTCCTGCAAAACAAAATAATAATAAATTGGTCATTTTCAATCCATGAATTCTGTTTGTGGGACACTGCTGTGCGCAATTGGCTGTCGCGTTTCGCCCATAAATATATGGTCAATTCATTTTACAGTATACTCTGAAGAGCTTTGAGACGTCTAGAAGACGTGAAAAGCGCTATATCAAATGCAAGGATTATTATTTATTATAATGTTCGAAGTTACTTTAGACTTTGGATAAGGTGTAATGACTGCATCAGTGTGTTGTAGCTTTGTAGATAATCACTGAGTTCATTGACTGATTCTGTATATATGATTCATTATCTTGTTTGCTGCCCAGTATTCAAACCAGAGGAGCTAAGGCAGGCTCTTATGCCCACACTGGAAGCATTGTACCGTCAGGACCCAGAATCCTTGCCATTCAGGCAACCAGTGGATCCTTTACTTTTAGGAATTCCTGTGAGTACGGGGAGCAAAAATCTCTTTACAATATTACTGTGTTTTATTTGTAAAGTACACATTCTAATGTGGGTTTGTTTATAGCTGTCATTATAGAATCTCTTGAAGTTTTATTTGCACAGAGGGTAGCCATTTGGGACAGAGTTTCTGTGCTTCTGCTAACTGTTTTTCTAAACTTTTTTTTAAAATTACCAACAACAACAACAAATTACATTTGTATAACGCCTTTCACATTGGTAAGACGTCCCAAGGCCCTGGAGGTGAAGTGCTTGGGGAGCCAATGGAGCCGTGTGAGGGTGATCTGCAGCTTGTGGGGGAAAAGTTGGGAAGTCTGGCAAGCAGGCAGTTAGTGTAGTATGAATCCTACCTGATATGGGGAGTGGAAGCCAAATAGGGTGTGGAGGGAAAAGATGACAAAGTGCAATCAAACGGTATGTCTTGAGGCTGGCTTTGATCGGAGAGAGGGAGAGAGTTGGAAGGTTGGAGTTCCAGAGAGCGAATGGCTGAAAGCTCACCTGCCGATAAGGGGGGAGGGAATAGGGCAGGAATATGAAGCAGTTAACATGATGTAAAGTTTTCTAGTATAAGTCATTAAATGGTGATTAGTCCCACTTGCTTTAACACTAAAGCTGTAGTGAGGTCACTTCAGTTCACAGAACTGCAATGTTGCTTAAAAGTTAATTCTAAATAAATTCAGACACCTTCCAAGACGAGAACAGTTTGCATTATTTTGCTTTTGAGGATTTGATTTGTGGAATAAATTGTGATCTAGTTAAGTGAACAGAGAATAATGCTAACTTTGTTTTAAGAGCAGATAAAATGGTATAAAGTTACAGAGATGGGTAGTATTCAAATTGTGATGGGTTTTTTGCTTGGCTAAAATTGTTGAATGAAGGAAGACTGACTGTAATCTAGAGGCAAAGTGGTTATTCTTCATGTACATTTTTTAAAGAGTATTTGACCACATGTTCTGTAGATTGTATTGTGCTTGAATATTATGTTTTACCGAGATTTGGCACTTACCTAAAGCTATGTTTCCTTATTCTGCTCCCTTTCCCCTCCCCTTTAGGATTATTTTGACATAGTGAAAAATCCTATGGACCTTTCCACAATAAAACGCAAGCTAGATACGGGGCAATACCAGGAGCCATGGCAGTATGTGGAGGACGTATGGTTGATGTTCAATAATGCTTGGCTGTACAACCGCAAGACCTCACGTGTATATAAATACTGTACAAAGTTGGCTGAGGTCTTTGAACAGGAAATTGATCCAGTCATGCAAACGCTAGGCTACTGTTGCGGACGGAAGGTAAGAGTATTTACTAGAATATGGGATACTGAACAACTTATATTTATATAACATTTTTCATGTAAAGGACAATTCCTATTGGGGTTTATTTCTGTCATCTATAGGCAGGGATTCACATTATTAAATACTGGAAAGGTATGTGCGGATATTAATACTGACTTGCTGCACTTGTTCTATTCACAGTATGAGTTCTCCCCTCAGACATTATGCTGCTATGGGAAGCAGCTATGTACAATCCCTCGCGACTCAACATATTTCAGTTATCAGAACAGGTAAGCAGGTGGGGTAAAAATTTGTATTGCTGTGGAAACGGTTAGAACAATGTTGTTTTCTTCCCAGTGGCAAACCAAGTTCATTACTGTGCTACAGATAAACTTTAGGAGACCTCACTGTTTCTGTCAGTTCTTCTATATTCTGGAATTACACATAAATGTTTGCTTAATGCTATTGGAGCTATAGAAATGAGGTTGACCTGTCTGTTGGGGCCATGACCATTTATTTAGTGCCTCATCCTTCTGGACTAAATGTATGTTTGTAGAGTAGGTTGCACAGTTTTTTGAGAGCTTCTTATGATAAAGTATGTTTGCTGGGTGACAATTTGGCAAGCAGAGATTAGGTGTGTATTAGAAATCTGTATCCTGGACATATTGTGGTCTTTTGGAATCTGGTTCTGCAATTTCTGGAACTAAACTATTTATGATTTCCACACCATATTATACTCCTTTTTGAAATTGTGTAGAATCAGTTGTATCTGTGAATCTCTTATCTGTGCATTAAACTTCTCTCCCTGTACAAACTAGGGAGGGAATTGTTTTGGTTCCTATGTGCATCTACATGTGCTATCCATAAATAGATCTTTTAATATGTCTAATATGTCGGATGTTTTGTAGCCTGAAGCTTTCCTTTCTTTCAGCTGAAAGAGCTGTCTGTCAAATGGAGTGGAGGTAAAATACTGAATGGATAAGTTATGGGAAAGGGAGAAAATTGCTGCTTAGTCATTTGATGTCAAAATGTGTCTGAACTTTTTTTTCTTAAACTTAAGTTTCTTTTGTGCTTTTGACAGTTGAAGAAAATGAGCAGTTTCTAGTGTGCAGCTCTTTTGTAGATCTGTCATGTTTTGGCTCTTCCCTGTTTCTGATGTTGACTGCTACTGCTATTAGTGTTGTCTTGTCAGTGTCTTTTTTGTTCACCTGACCAATTTTTGAACAAAATTGTGCTGCATTTTCAAGAACGTTCCCAAACCACTTGAATTTAGAATGGAATATTTGGTTTCCTTTTTTTATCCAGATATGATGATTTGTGGATTGAGATTCTTAAAGTCTACAGATCTAAAGTGGACCTTACATAAAGTATGCATCGTATTATACTAGTCTACTTTGCTTATAGTAGATGGGCTGATGTTGTTGAGAGTTTGTGAAAATGCAACCAAGAGATTTGTATTGCCACACATTATATGTAGTTTACTTGAGGTTGAAATACTTATAAAACGTTGCATTTCTTATAAAATGAAAAGCCCTTTTATAGAGTTGACTAACTAAACCGACATTGAGACTTGGGTATTGTTTAATCCAAAAATATGCCAACTGACCATCCCAAAATATACTTCAGTCAGAAATCACTATCCAGAGCAAAATGTTTGTTTTAAGGACTGAAAATAATGGCACCAAATAGCACGTTGGAAAATGTATACAGTGATTCAAGTGTTTAAGCCAGTAGTGCACATGGTTTGTCACACAAGGTATCAGAGGTTTGCTCTTGAACTGGAGAATGTTATTCTTCAAAGATTGACATGGTTGAACCTTAAAATGTATTGAGTAATGACAGCCTGCTTTTGTTGGTTTGTTGAATTTGTGTGCAAAACTGTGGCTGTATGGGTTGGTGGACAGAAAAATCATGGGCAAGGTTTTAAGTGGTGCCAGCAAGTGATTGAGGACATGCTAGGTGCATATGGTGTTGGGTGGGGAAAAGGCATGTTATCTGAATTTTGAATTTGTGTTGTACATGTGTAATTTTATCTTCAAAGACACATCTGACTGCAGTGAGCATCTTACAGATAAATGGGTAGCGCATTCACATTTTACCATTGCAAATCATTTGCTAAGTTCTCTTTTGCATTAAATGGTGAATATGGTCATCCATGATATTTTAGCTCCAAATTTAAATTGTCTTCTCAAATTACCAAACTTTTTCCCATTTCAGTACCAACGGGAACTTTATTTGCCAAATGAATTGGTATTTTAAGTCACTTAACAAGCATTGTGAAAATTAAGATTGACAATATTTGATATTGCAAGCGTGTTTCACAGTGTTGCAGTAATGCAGCACCATTATATATATGTATATAAATAATATATATTTATAATAATACTCAAAATTTGGGTGTATTTTTTAAAAGCAATCTGTACAAATTTGACTAAATGTCTTTGGCAGGTTTTCACTGTTATGTGCTGCAATTGGATGTGTCACTGGGATGTTTGATTAGAAAGCCTGCAGCACAGCACTAATTTAAAACTCTTGCAGTTATTTTATAGCGATCCACTACAGGTAAGTGAGATGTGGATTAATTGAGAGAATTGACAATTGTTGGTTTTACTCTTCTTATTTCCTTGTGTATATCTAATACTGTTTGATATTTTCTTCCAGAATGTTTGAATCTCTCGTGTGTGTGCATGTGTGTGCGTTTGAACAGTCAGTTTAGTGAACTTGCTCGTGCCATTTAGAACCTTGCAATACAGCAGGAGCTTGGGTGTGTATGAGTGGGAGAGCCAACAGAGGGCACCACCTCACGCTCTTCATCCACCTATTGGTTATTTCTTATTCTTTTTATGGTCATGTGGACACAGTTGAACTCACAGCAGTGCCAAGACTTTACCAGTATGCAGTTTTCCAGCTACAACCGTGGACAGCAATATTGTACTAAGTATGGAATAACAACATGAAGCTGTGGTTCCAGTAAACTTACCAAGAATAAAACTTCCTACAATTGTTACTATTATCAGTAGTTGCACTGACATTTATTTAAAATATATGTACGTACAGTACTTGGGGTGCATATGACAAATGCAAGATTATTTGGGCAGGTCTAGCGCCCTTCAATATTGCGAATCCACAATACTTACTGCTTTATACCATGAGTTTTAAAGCCCTGAGATATTGAAGAGATAAGATTGAGTTCTTGGTTAGAGGATGTTTTTTAAAGCATGCAGTAGCAAATGTAAATCAAAGATTTGATTATAAAATCATCTATATAAATTCTGAAAACCTGTTCCATTTGGTGCATAGTTTGTAAACCTGCACCCGTATAAAATATTGTTGCCAAATTATAATTTTGTTTCAGAAAATTGCTTAATTTTCTCTATCCCCCAACAGTGCAACTTCTGATTATGTACTAATACTGTAAAAATTACATTCTACATAAGACTTCATTTAACAAAAAAATGAGACTTGCTATGCAGCTGAATCTGTTACAGGAACCACACCTAGTTTTGCTTGGATTTAAGGGTGCCACAATATTATAAATATTTATTTGCTGGAATTGTTTGTCATTTTCGATGGAAGGAATTCACTGAGATGCTGGTTAGCAGAACATACTAAAGAAAGCTGATCTGAAGCTGTTTGGTTGAATAGCACATTCTTTGAGTTTACGTTTCATAGGTAGAGGGATTAGTTGGTCATAAATTCTTGCAGTTGTGTATTTGCATGTTCTGCAAGAAGTGTTGCTCATCTGTAAATGTTTAAGTAGAATTTCAGCTGTGGAATAAGTATAATGCCCATCGAGTAACAACATAATCTACTTAGTTTATAACAATAAAATATTCAATTATGCACTGGTGATTTTAAGGACTGTAGTGGTTGCTGTAGTGGTTGCAACTTTCTAAAGGATTTTGTTTACATTTTTCTGTTCTCATAGATACATAGGCTACAATGTGGCAGAGCTTTAGTGGTACTATACAGCAGGACTTGTCTTTTGCAATGTGAGAATATTTCCATGCTGTGTAACGGAGGGGAATTGGAGGGATGAGGGCTCGTGTGACTTATGTCCTGTTTCCATGCTGTATCACTCTATGTAACTATGTGACATCCGAGCACTCGACCTAGTTACTTTGTAAATGACCAACACAGAGAGAGACACACTCCAACCGACACAGAAAGTCACACACCGACTGACACAGAGAGAGATGCACACCGACCGACTCAGAGAGAGAGAGAGAGTGATGCACGCTGACCGACACCCACAAACACACAGAGGATAGGGAGACGCAGACATACTCACACAGGAACTCACAAACAGAGAGACAGACAGACAGCCCCCTCCCCCACACATACACCACACAGACAGATAATCACAAATGCATATAAAGAAATATGCACGCCTACACTCAAACACACAGCGGGGCCTCTGAGTGAAGCCCATTTGTCATTTGCTCCGCACCGCACATTCGTATCCAGAGCCACTCCATCTACAGCGGGAGGCCCGGGGGCCAGAAACATCATTTATAGCGGGTTTGTGGCAGAGCGGGTTGTTTGTAGCAGATTCCGCAGAAAAGATGTGGCTGCACTTTTCTGTTGGCCCAGGTCATAACATGGTGATGTACACGGTTTCTGATAGACAAGTACAGGTATGCACATCCCTTCACAGACTGTTGTCTTTATCGGATGCATGTTACTTTACTTGCACGTGAGCAGGAAGTTGTTTACACGAGCATGTCATCTTCATATGTGTTCCATGGAAATTGCAATATGTTTCTGTAGCACCACTTCCGTCCACAACTGTATAAGAAAAGGTTTAATAGTAAGGCTGCTTTAACTAGCTAGCTCTTTTCGGTATCTTGCTTATTTGGGAGATTGTAAGTACATTCATTTAGTTTTTGTGATTAAAATTAGATTAGATTCTGATTGTGGCATCCTTAGCTCTAGCATAGATTGTACACTGATCTGCATACATCTGCTGTGTAATATTGGTACTGCTTTGTGGATGCATTCACATTCCCTTTGCTCACCCCTCACGTTCAAACTCCCGTGAATCTTTGTCTTGCATAGTTACCCTTTACTTTTACTGCAGGTGACCAGATTTGCTTTTTTCTGTGGCCATGCAGCTTATCGCAGCCCAGCCAGCTTTTTATGTTTTCACTCAATTTTTTCACGTGCATTTGGGTTTTCTAATGGTTCAGTGTGTGTTGTCAGACATAACACAGATTTCAGCAGTATTAATACTGCGATCAGGTGTGCAAAGTTATGGGAAGCTGCCAGTATGATGCAGATTTGTCATTGTACCTACACATTCGCAGGAACACGATAACAATAATTGTAGTCAGTTGAGAGGAAAAAATAAAACAAAGCGTTTTTAGACTTGATTGAATTAAATAGGTAAAAGTTAAACAGATTTCTATTTCAAGCTTGCTATGTTGTGAACTTAAATTTTAGGTTTATCAGGATCACTGTAATCACAACAAAATAAGTGTTTGGGTTTAGTCCAGAGGTAGTGAATAGAAAATATATAATTATGCCAGTGCAGGATAGTGCTGCCTGTTTTAGGTATTAAATGAGCAGGGTGCTGTAAAAGTCAAACTGGTTTGTACCCTGAAAAAGTCCATAGGGTCTTCCCAAAGTCAGAAAATCTTGCCTTTTGAGCTGGTAACAAACAGGCATAGATGAGTCCATGTTTAGCTTTACACTATACGGTTCACAAATGCCAGGCAACTGAGAGACTTTAGCCACCCTAGAACAAATTAATTTTCCCCTGATGCCTTGCTGTTCAAAAATGTTCAGCTTTCTCTAGACCAGTGTGTCCAGAGGAGAGAGAGACATTTCAGAAAACTTAAGTATTTACACTTTCCACATCAGAAGCATCTTGCTTGTTAGGCAAATGTGGGTTAAAGGTAAAACCATCTTCTTAGAGATCAGGTGGTTGCAAGCTGGGAAACTTGACCACAAACCTTTCAACATCAATCTGCCAATTAACTTGAAAATGTGATCCAGTGCCTTAAAGTTTATTTAGGTTTGCAGGGTAGTTTTTCTTATAGTCCAATTCTAAGCTACAGAAAAGGTTATATAATATATTATTATAGACGGCTTCTGCAGTAGTCATTGTTTTACAAAAGCAACAAGCACTCCTGACGATTCAGAAACTCCAAATGCTGTATGTTACATGACATTCAAATATTTAATTGAATGCTGGCGTTTATATTTGTGATTATCTTAATTTTATAATCTGAATACAAGTTCGTTCTATTTTGGCAGATAAATTTGTTTGCCAAGGCATTCAGTTGTGCGACTGTATGCATGAATTTGACCTTTTTGAAGGGAATACTAATTTGAAGGCGACACTTAAAGACAGAATTATCCCCATTTTAAAATGTGTTTATAATATGTAATATAAAAATTTGAACAGCTTAGTCGCAAATCGAATACTCCATAAAATGTTCTGAACACCCATCATACAATTCATCTTGCAGTGACTGCATTTTCTGGATGGCAGCTGCCATTTTGATACCTACCTTTCCTTCTACCTCCTAACTTCTGGTTTCTAATTTTTAAAAATGCTCCTGACTGGGGCATGCTATTCAAGGCAACGCTCTGACTGCAAAATACTCTGTTAGTAGGGACATACATTTTGCAAAATGGTACTAAGATCATTTATTTTTCAACTGCGAAACTAGTCCAGATTGAAGTCTGGAGGTAAGGAGGAAGAGTGCAAAGTGAATTTCTGCACACCACTTTTGTGCTTAATTAGAATATTAATGGAGTATTCAAAATTGTTCAAACATGGGGATTTATTAAAAATCTTAAACAATAGTCGCCTTTTAAGTCATTAACAATTAAGCAAAACATTTAAGTGTTCTGGGTCTAAGTGCAGCAAGTAATCACCCTGCCTTTCCAAAAATGAAAATCAGAACCCAGTCCACAACCATACTACATATTCAATGATAAAAGCGCCAGTGATCCAAACTATTTGCCCAAATCAAATTTTAATGATTTAATTATGTAGTGATTATTGCTTTTTTAACCTATCCAATGAGACCAAATGCTAATCTATGCTTTGCCTTGGCTTTCTGCTCTGTGTTTGTCTTGGTGTTCCGTCTTACTTTGTCTGTGCTGTTTGTTCCTCCCTTTTCTCTAACCCTCCCGTCCCCATTGTCCACATTGACCCGACCCAACCTGGTAAAACACTGACCTGTAATCTCATCAATCAACCAACCAAATCCTCTCGTCGTGGTGATCTGCCCTCCTCTCTGATTGGTGGCTCCATTGCTCGGCTGGCTGTGTTGTGTGGACGAACAGTTCACCCAAATATGGCCTTCTTGCTGACAGGTACCACTTCTGTGAAAAGTGCTTCAACGAGATCCAGGGGGACAGTGTCACTCTTGGTGATGACCCTGCCCAACCGCAAACGTAAGTATTTACTTCATCTTCCATGTTTTTTTGTTTCTGGGTTGCCATTTTTGTATTTGAAATTTCTTTTTATGATTCACATAAAGGAATGCGTGACCTGGGAACAGAAATGTTTTTTGGTATATTGAATCATTAGAGGAATAAAAAATGTCTGACCCTCTTTAAGTAAAATTTGCAGGTTTAATCCCAGATCAGTAACAATGAAAGATTAGTGCAAAACATTTTGATACGGGGAAACTATCTGGTTCTTCGTTTTTGAGGGCTGGAGCTTGGCAGGGGTTGATGGCAATCCAATTAAAATGTGCTCTGAAGCTTTGAGACATCCTTCTGGCATGATAAGGTGCTATACCAAATGTAAGGATTAGTATTATTATTAAGACTTGCAGTATAATGTGTTCTTGCTCAACCATCAATCTGCCATGCTGTTGATTGTTTCCATATTAAAAACTTGGGTGGAAAGATTTTTTAGCTTTCAGCCCAACGTGCATTTGAGATATAAGTCAAAAGGAAGCACTTTTACCCAAGAATTTGAAAAAAATTCTGTAAAGTTCAGCAGATTTTTGCAACATATCCGGCTCACTAAATAGCAATTGTTGTGTGCTGTGCAAATACAATGCATTCCTGTTCTGGAGTAATGTATATTTTGTGAAATGGCACCTCTTGTCATCATTGCATGGCATTATTGCTGCTTTACCTTTTTACAGGACTATTTCAAAAGATCAGTTTGAAAAGAAGAAAAATGATTCATTGGATCCTGAGCCGTGAGTGTTACTTGTTTTGTCTATCTTTCGCGGAGGGTTGGGGGAGATAAGCGGGGTCTTCTTGAAGCTGAACTGGCTCCAAGGTGACATGTTTAGCAATGGAATGTCGGAATCAAGCCCATCCTCTTTGGTAGTCTCGAATGTCCAGTTCCTGAGGCAGGTGGGTCCTGAACACTGTTGATGACAGCACGACCAGACTGGCTCGTCAGCAGGACTTAGAAGGGCAGACCAGTTACTGGGAACTCTTCCCACTCAGCTCCTGTTAACCTTGCCAGCCAAAGCCCAGCTGGTAGGGTGGCCCTAGCTGGACAAGGAGCGGGGAAATCTTGTCAGGCAGTACTCTCAATGGAAAGCCATGTGGTTTTAGCTGGTTAGATTCCAGCAGTACTCCCAACGCACACTCTGGGGTCCCCAAACCTTGGTTCTTGCCAACCAGTGCCCAATACTTTCTGGAATTAGGCAAGCAAGGAGACAGTGCCCATTCCATTTCAATAAATATCTCTGGAATATCCATGTATAGGTGGGATGTATGGAACTCTATTTGGTTTGAATACTTTTAAGCACGGTGATAGGTTTCCGTATGTCAAACCAAATAAAAACCTAATTTCTTCCAACTCCTGGTGTTTTGGATTCTTTTGTTTGCATAATAGCAGACTTTAATGCTTTGATTGTACTTTCCAATTATCTGTTTGCAATTTAAAGCAACTATAGATGCTCAATTCTTGAAAAAGTTAGAAATCTATTTTTCAAGAATATTTGTTTTCACAATTAATGTCTGCTTACTCTTCAGTGCCAGATGAGCTGTATAATACGTTTTAGCTCTTTCTTGAAATGCCAATTTTAAGGTTATGATTCAATTATCAATTCAGTATTATACTAAAATAGTGTTAGAATCTAACACATTATTTTTCATTGCAGTTTTGTTGAATGTAAAGATTGTGGTCGTAAAATGCATCAAATCTGTGTTCTCCATAACGAAACAATCTGGCCCTCAGGGTAGGTATTGCTGTATTTTCAGTTAGAGGGCTTGTGGTTGCTTCTATGTTGCACCTATTCATCTAATCTGATCCCAGAGTTTAACTGTACTGAAATCTGCTATATGCATTGTCAGTAAAGCTAGTAATGTAAATGCTGCTAGGCAGCTTGAAAAACTTAGTTGTGATTTGCACATATTCCTCTCAGTTTCTGCGTAATGTATCTGGCAAAACTTTTTGTTACTTCATTCATACATTTTGCCCTCAAAATATACAGTCAATTCACTTTAGAGTATATTCTATGAAACATTTTGAGATGTCTCAAATATGTGATAAGGCATTATATCAAATGCAAGGATTATTATTATTCTATCTTGTTTTCCGTGCACTAATTTACTAAATCAGAATATTCGGGAAGTCCACAATCTAGTCCATCATTGAGTTATTCAACTGGAAGGGGGAAGAACTCTTATTAACAGTAATACAGATGAGCGTAAATGCAGGAACTGATCTAATCATTTTCAGCTTTTTGTTATCTCAGTCCAGCCTTCCTCAGTGCCTTGCTGATGCAATTCCTTTTTGAAAACTTGAGTTATATTTGCTGAGTATTATATTCAGCTGTATCATCCATCACCCACTATATAAACATTTATAGAAAACTCGCTAGTACCACAAAAGGCAAAATGTTAACCTTGCTGTGGGAATTAGCTCAATGTTTCAACTAGCTTTGTTTCCTTTTAGATGAAAATCCTTAAGTGCAAAACTTCTGTTAGTGTTTTATATGCAAACTCCTGCTTAAGATGTTACATTTCTCTCTACAGCTTTGTCTGTGACAATTGCTTGAAGAAAGCGAGTAGAACCAGAAAGGAAAACAAATTCAATTCTAAAAGTAAGCCTATTTTTTTTCTGTGAGATTTGTTCTTGTCAATAGTATACTTGTTTTTAGCCGTGTCTACCTGTATTTGACAGTCAGATAAAATGATCCATTCAGTGATATTGCTCATTGTCTGTGTAGTGCTACCCTGATTATAAGGAATCTAGTCCGAGCATCTTGCAATCCATTTTTATGTTGCATCTTCACTGTATTCTCCAGAATTGAGCACTTAGTACGCTCATTAAAATGTCTGGATTACAAGACATGTTTGTGCCTTGATTTATCCCGGTAACCATTTGAGCCAGCTTGGATTTCGGAGGTATCTATTATGTCCTACTCCCCTGCCCTTTTATGTATTTTTTCGAGTATCTTGTCTAATTCTCTTTAAAAAGATGTTATGGATTCTGCTCCAACCACTGTTTTTGGAGGGATTTTCATTTTTAAATTAAAAAAAATTTAACTTTGTTTTGGTAAATATATGACATATAGATACTGCCTTACAGACCAGTAGAAATTATTTCTTCCTATTTATCTTACCAAAACCTCTCTTACTTTAGAGCAATATCAGGTGTTCTCTTAGCCTTCTCTGTTCAGCAGCTTGAGACGCTTTTGGGTTAGAGGGAAGACAATCAGTCAGGGTTCCCGATTACTCTTCTGCAGAAAGGTGGATATGGTTGAGGTTCAGCTTGATTGTCCTATTCTCCCAAGGGTAGAATAGCCTGCTGTAATTGCTGTGAAAGGCTATTTGGGTAAGGTACCAGGGTGATCAGCACCCATGAAACAGTTCGTCAGTGGCAAACAAAACTCCTAACACTTTGAGGAGGGAGATGGGAAGAGTGTTTAAAAGATGGAAAAGTGGAAAAAAGCAGCTTGTCTAAATTACAGATTTTCCGATACAATTACTTAATCTGTTCTTCTGGTTCTAGGATTACAAACAACCAGGTTAGGAAATCATTTGGAAGACCGAGTGAACAAATTTCTACGACGTCAAAATCACCCAGAGGCTGGAGAGGTGTATGTGCGTGTTGTATCGAGCTCAGACAAAACTGTGGAAGTCAAGCCAGGAATGAAAAGCAGGTGGGAAAAGGCATAATGCTGATAAGGCGTGTTGCAAGATTTGGTCATGTATTATAACGTGTGTAGATTATGATCTGAGAATTCCCTCAGATTGTTTTCTACAGCTTTTGATTGCATTCTGCTTTGTGCAAGTTTCAGGATTCTATTTAGATCCATGTGTATAATGTGCCATGATCAGGCGCTGCTCTTCTACTGTTTTCGCCCCTCTAAAAAGGAGAAGTAAACCTTGATGAAGTGCAGAGTACTTAAGGAAGTGGCTGTTGAAATTGGTCATGTTCTGGCACATATCTGAAGGGAATGACTGAAAGTGAAATTGGTGTCTGGGATTTGTAGAACCACGAATACAACCTTTACAAAAATGGCCAAAGAATAACTCTAGGAATTACCAACCACATAGTCTTATGCATATTGCAGGGAAGATATTGATGACATCATGAAGAAGAAATGACTGAAGCAGCTAGAGGTAATTTGTAAGAGCCGAGATGGGTTGGCTGAATGGGAAGGATGTAATTCCTGATAAATCTGTTGGAATTCTTTGAAGAAATAATAGTACTTGTGATCTTCTGAAAGCCTCATACGTATACAACTCTTTGGGATTCTTGCAAAGTATGGAAAATTTAGAACTTTTAAAGTATAGTCAGATGATTTATTTGCTGTAAATCTGCTGCACGTAGATATATGTTAAAAGCAGATTAATACATTCACCCCTCTGAACCAAAATTGCTCTGTGGCACACCAGTCACACAATCTGGAAAGAAGCTAATGATATATAACCATGGCACTCAAGGCAGACCTGCATGATATGTAAATTCAACCATATAATCCTCCCCTAAAAGTAATATCCTGTGTTTACTTCATAATGTTGTCATTGTTTGAGGATATTTGCATGTGATGCAGCTCGGAAGAAGCTAAGGTTGCTTGTTTAAATACATTTCTCTTGTTTCTTCTCCACCCTGTTTGTGGATGGCAGGTTTGAGTATGTTGCCCTTTCCATTTTGTTCACGAACAGCCTATTTCTTCTTTTATTGCTCCCTTGAATTGGCTTTAATCCCCAAATTGGATGTCTGTTTCTTTGGAATACACGTACAGGAATGTGGATCTGATTGCCCAACTCCTCTGTTTTCAGGTTTGTGGATTCAGGTGAAATGTCTGAGACATTTCCTTATAGAACCAAAGCACTTTTTGCTTTTGAAGAGATTGATGGAGTGGATGTCTGTTTCTTTGGAATGCACGTACAGGAATATGGATCTGACTGCCCAACTCCAAATACAAGGTACTAGTGTGGTCTCTGCCATGGTGTGTTCTCTCTGTGTGGTATATTAAACAAAACATATTGTTGTGCTCCCCAATGAGATGGGTTGGGGGTATAACTTCACCAGGAGAGACGCATAGTGATGCAACCACAGGAAGGAACATGTTTTTCTTACTTGCTAATGATGATGATATTTCTATTTCATTATTGCAGACGTGTGTACATATCATACCTCGACAGCATTCACTTCTTCCGCCCAAGATGCCTCCGAACTGCAGTCTATCATGAAATCTTAATTGGATATCTGGAGTATGTGAAAAAACTTGGGTGAGTTACACATTGGAAAAGGTGTCAGCCTCACTCAGTTGGTCTCGCCTCTGAATTGTTTGATCAAAACTTATATCGGGACTTTGAGCTCATAGGCTGACATTCCAGTGAAATGCTTCTGTGAGACATTGTAGGTGGAAGACAAAGATTTTGTGGCATTATTTGAAAGAGAAAGAAGTTTCTCCCAGTGTTCTGGCCAACAATCTCCTTTTTATACGGCCTTACCCAAAGGATGGCATCTCCAACAATGCAGCATTCTCTCCTCCCCCCTTAGAATTGTAGTGGGGTGTCAGCTTAGATTGTGAGATAAAAAGTTCTGAAAGTGGGGGATAAACCCACAGTCCAGTTGCTGTAGCATACTACCAATTCTGACTTTGAATCTCAGTGAGTCAGAAACAATGAGGCTATTTCTTACATTTGTCAAGGAACATTTTTGCTCATTTGACTTCTGCATGTTCATAATGGAGTCTATTTTGTGACTTGTATTTTGCCGTGTACAATCACATTACTGTAGTTTAATTTTCTTGAACTGCCTGTTTCAATGTGTGGTCTATTTCCCACAGTTATACGCAGGGCCACATTTGGGCATGCCCGCCCAGCGAAGGGGACGATTACATCTTCCATTGCCACCCAGCAGATCAGAAGATCCCCAAACCTAAACGGCTGCAGGAGTGGTACAAGAAGATGCTGGACAAAGCTTTTGCTGAGAGAATTATACACGATTACAAGGTTTGTCCTTTAATTTTATTATCCACTTTTAGAGAAATTTTAATTACATAACTCCATTGAATTCAGTTTATCCTTTGGTTACATTGATTTACAGTAGAACATCACTAATTCGGTCACTTAAGTGACTGGGCAGAAGTGCCCTACTTAGTTTGGTGACCTGATTACTGAAATAGGTCAGGTGATTCTGGTCACTGATGTAATGTTTAGGGCATTGGTAATGGGTAAGGGTGATGAACATTCAACAACCATACTTTGCAATCTCAATTAAAATAAAGGCATTGCCACATTTAAAATAGATCTTAGATTTCATTATTTAAAGTTCACATGAGAAGTTAAAATCAACAAGACCGAGGCTCTCTTGATTGGCTCCCGTCAGCACCTCCTCACCTCAGGCACTGACAGCATCACCATTTATGGTTGCACACTCCACCTTACTAAGCCAGTCTGGAACCTTGGGGTCTTGTTGACCCTCAACTATCCTTTCTACCCCACTTCTATGCCTTGACCCACTCTGCCTTCCTCCACCTCCACAATGGCACCTAGCTCCGCCACTGTCTCACACCGCAGGCCGCCGAAACCCTCATACATGCTTTCATTACATTGAGGGTAGACTATGCAAACTCATTCCTTGTCGGCCTCCCCACTATTGGCGGGTGGGCCTTACACCACTCTGCCCCCACCCTCTGGAACTCCATTCTACAATCCCTCTGCCTCGATCCCTCCCTTGCCTCTTTCAAGACCCATTTCAAGACCCTCCTCTTCGATTGTGCTTTTGATCTCCCTGATCCCCAGCTCAGGTTCATAACTCTTGTCTGTCCAGTGCCTTGGGACGTCCTCCCAATGTGAAAGGTGCTTTACAAATGTAATTTTGTTGTCTTCGTTGTAAAATCACACAAAATGTTAATTTCTTGGAGAAAGATTCCAGCATTGTTTGGCTGGCTGCTGATTTAACCTGAACTCCCTTGGCCTGCAACTCACCCTCAGCATCAGCCAAAGTCTGCCACGTGTCGAGTTCATGATCAAGGCAAAAGTCCTTCACTTGTCCCAACAAACCCAGTGATTCAGCATAAGTGAGAGGGGGCTTTAATGCTGTAGGTTGCTCTTCCTGTTCCTTCTCCTGTGTGTCTTGTTCCTCAGTGTCCCTGGTAGAAACTCCTCCACTAGATGCTCGTCCCAACCTTCATTCATGTCCTCAGTGGAGGGCACATCACTGTCAATGGCTGCATACTCTTTGACACTGAGGATATGGGTGTCCAGTGACAGGTACTGACTGGCCTGAGACAACAACTGGGCAAATGGAATATCATCATCAGGGTCCTCCTCCACAGGCTCATCCACACTAAAGCCAGCCTGTTGAGCTATGCACCATGTTGACTGCTGAATGACTTGTGAATGACAGGCTTCAACTTGTGAAGCCTGCACACCTGTGGCCATCTCTCCAAGAACCACGCATAGAAGACTCCTCCTGTAGTGAATCTTGACATTCTTGATGATGCCCTGGTCAAGGGGCTGGAGAATGGATGTGGTGTTAGCTGGGGAAAAAAACACTAACTTGACATTGATTAGAGTAGAAATGCTGTGCGGGTGAGCTGGGGCATTGTCCAGTAACAGCAGCACATGCCTGCTCTATGCCAGCGTCTTTCTATTGAAGGTCTGAAGCCACTCTGTAAAAATGGCACTGGTCATCCTTGCCTTTTTGTTGCTCTACCACGTGACGGGAAGCTGAGTCTTGATATTCAAATTCCTAAAGGCATGAAGCTTGGCAGCCTTCCCTATTACAGCTGTCCGTTCAAAATCTCCCTCCATGTTGACGGTCAAAGACATAGTGATGCGGTCTTTGGATTTATTCCCACCAGTACAGCCATCACCACAAACTGAAAAGCTCCAGTCAGGGAGAACCCTGAAAACAACCAGATGTATCCTTATTAAAGATGTCATTGGGTGCATAGCCAGCTGTAATCTCAGAGAGTTTCTCCTTCCAGTTGTCAACAATAGCAGGCTCAATGTCATCCTTTTACTAGACACAGTTGTAAACACAATATTGCGTCTGGACTTGAAACAGCCAAGCCAGTCATTTGATGCCTTGAAGCCAGTCTGGCTAAGTGAAGCTTCAAAGCTGAGTGCTCCCTTTTGAGAATGCATCCAACTGTGTTCTCCCAACACAGATCACAGCTAACTGTCCATGACTTTTGCCCTCACTGTTCTTGATCAAGTCCACTCTCTCACATAAGGACAACTCCTTCTGTGGTGGCATGTTTACAACACTTGTCAACAGTCACTAAATCAAAACAATGTACACACAAATGACTGTTGTCCTGAATAGTGAAGTGCCCGGTTTACTGAAGAAGACAGCCTATGTTTTAACATAGACAGTGAAAGAAACTGCGAAAATGTGCCTGCAATTGTGAAGTGACTGGATTAGTGAGGTGACTGCAAACTGGGTTTCTACAGTACTGTGTAATACTGATGCGAAATAGTGTATGAATTGAAAGTCTGGTTTATTGTATCCTTTATGCTGACGACTAATTTTCAAATGTGTGACCGGTACCCAACATATAATCTAATGATCATAATTGAAATGTAGCTTTCTGAATTTTGAATCTAAAAATTCTGCTGTTGTTGGGAAAATTCTTAACAATTTGAAAACTCCAATGAAGATGTGATCCTTGCAAGGTCAATTGCTGAATTCTAATATAAAAATATTAGGGTTAATTTTATCTGTGCCCTTTAGATCTTGACTACATTATAAGATCTCCACTGAACCTCTCTTCTGTATGCACATTCCCAGTTTCTGAAGCCTCTCATTACTCCAGTATTTAATTGGCCTTCGCTATACTTCCTCTAGTGTCAAGATGTCTTTATTCTAATGTGGCAACCAGAATTATATGTATTACTCTAGATGAGTCATATCTGTGTCCATCTGATTGTAGGTCTGCTGTTTCTGGATCACTAGTCTGTATCCATTATAGGAATTAAGTGATTATTCGCTAGGAAAGTAGAAATGTGAAGGCGAAAGAGTTAACTGAGAATCACACCCCGGAAAGGAAAGAAGTTGGATAAACCTATAACCTCCACTATCTGCTGTTTGAAAAATGCATCTCATTTTATTACGTTAAATTGGGTGGTCTTGCTTCTACATTTTTTAGCTCATTTATACTTTAGACTTGTTAGTTGGAGCCCCATTATATTTGGACAACATACATATAACCTATAGTTAATGGCCATACCATGGACGTGCAATATACCAGAAGAGCGGTACATTTCCAGCTTTTAGCACTGACTGACTGGCTTCCTGTCAGGCCTGTCAGCGACATCTCAGCAACCGCTAGAAATGCTTGTGAGATGACCAGCCGGCTTCTTGTGTGCCTATACTACACAGTGATCACAGCGATAACCTGACAACCCAAAACACTGATCGGTGCCCATTTTTATCACCCGACTCATTATGACCCAGGAACTTATTTCATAGATACAAACCGCCTCAATATAACTGGGTACAGGTGACTTGCTGTATGCAGTATTATAATAGAATGCTGATTGGTTTTCATTTGCTGGCAGGATATCTTCAAACAGGCAACAGAGGACCGACTCACCAGTGCAAACGAGTTACCTTATTTTGAGGGTGATTTTTGGCCAAATGTACTTGAAGAAAGTATAAAAGAATTAGAACAAGAGGAAGAGGAGCGCAAGAGGGAGGAGAACAGCATCCCCACTGAAGCACCTGATGTGAGTGATGGGATATTCTCTTTCATAAGTTGGGGATTGATTCAATTTGTGTGAAATCTTTGGATCAGTACATACATTACTGCAAACAGAAAGTTCATACCAACTGGAGTTGGCCTCTTGTCTTTCATTATTATTACAGTAAATTTCTGGGTATCTGGAATTCCAACCTTGCTGGACTGGACCCCCCAAAAAAAATTCCAAGCATTTGCGTGGAACAATAATTTCCACCAGCCCACATTTTCCTGTCCCCTGACTCTTAGGGCGACAACAGGAAGTTAGTCAAAATGATAATTTACAAAATAAAAAACAGTAGTGTTGCAAGTTGGAATGTCTAAGATACTGAGGCCAACATGTTAAATGCTCTTTTCGTACTTCTTCTAGGGAAAGAAAGGCGACAGCAAAAACGCAAAGAAAAAGAACAACAAGAAAACCAATAAGAATAAAAGTAGCATTAGCCGAGCCAACAAGAAAAAACCTGGAATGCCGAATGTAGCCAATGACTTGTCCCAGAAACTCTATGCCACAATGGAAAAGCATAAAGAGGTACCAGAGTCACCATAAAAATAATTCTGGTACATACGTCCGACCATTTCTCCCCACTATCCTCCTCAGACCACAGAGAGAAATGTGTGGCTTTGGTCCTTTTTACTGACTGGGCTCTCAGAGAAATGCAATTCTTTGTAAAGGGAACGTTTGTATCAATTTGGCTTGGTTATTAGTAGTCTCGTGTCTGGGTCAGAAGTTGAGTTTAAAGCAGTCGCCTCTAAATTGGCGCTCACATTCCACATTGATACTCCTATCACTAACTGGGGAGTACTGCATTGTCAGTTAAGGCATTAAAACAAGTTCGTGGCTGATACTCACACAAACTCCAGGTCTTTGCTCCTAACATAATTGCGTCTTTTTTCAGGTGTTTTTTGTGATACACTTTCATGCTGGCCCAGTCTTAAACACATTACCATCAGTTGTGGACCCTGATTCTTTGCTAAGCTGTGACTTAATGGACGGCCGTGATGCTTTCCTGACACTGGCCAGAGATAAGCACCTGGAATTCTCTTCGTTAAGGCGTTCAAAGTGGTCCACCATGTGCATGCTGGTGGAACTGCACAACCAAGGGCAGGACCGCTTTGTCTACACATGCAATGAGTGCAAGCACCACGTGGAAACACGGTGGCACTGCACAGTCTGTGAGGTAAGGGCACCAGGCCTGATGTTCCTGCTGTGTTGCATTCATCATAAAACTACAAGAATTGGGTGATCATTTAAAAAAAATAAAAGCAGTTGTATCTTTTCAATGAAACTTTTTAACAGGTATAAAAAACATTAAAATCTGGATTAAACCTCTAGAGAAAAAGAGGAAATAATCAGAGGGAATATTTATTTTAAGTACTTCCCCTTGATATAGAGGAGGAAAATATTTTCATATGTTAATAATTAGGAAATTTTGGTTAAATACTTATTGGGAGACACTCCCAATAATGTGCTGAGGTGAAGCAGTGTATGTGTGTCCTCAAGGAGAAAAGCTTTAGGACTTTAACAGCGAGAATTCATTCGAGCAGAGATATTCAAGAGCCAATACAGATTATCTAGGGGGGTGGTTGAAGCCAAGATACTGATTTCACTTATGAAGCAGTTGATTTTGCAAATGGAAAGGTTTCCATTCAGTAGAGTGGGTATTGTGGAAGAATGAGATCCAATGGGGGAAGAGCCTTCTTCATTGGGATGTCCTCCTGACGTGAAAGGTACTATATAAACGCAATTTGTTGTTCTTCCAAAAAAATTATTCCAGACTTCAGAGTGCTAAAAAATATATTGAGAGGTGTTAAGAAAATTGGAATTTTATCTCATGTTTAAAGAATCTGGAAGAAAGATAAATAGGATTAGAACAGTTTGTTCATGTGGGCAGGTAGCACAGTAATGGGCTGATAGGCTCCTGAAAATTATGAATGTGAACAAATTGGAGGAGGTTTTAGTCTTTGTGCCATTCTCAATGTTAAAGTGATTTCTTTCCCTACTGTCCTGTGTAAGATGCCACTATAATATTTCTATCTCTGTAATAGTTCGGTTTCAAATGTAATCAGTTTCACTTCATTTTTCTTATTTTTCCCCTTCCTCCCCTGTTCTCTTCCCTCTCCTTTTTTAGGACTATGACCTGTGTGTCAATTGCTACAACACTAAAGGCCATGAGCACAAAATGGTTAAATGGGGCTTAGGCCTGGATGATGAGAGCAGTAACCAGCCCGATCCATTGTCTAAGAGCCCTCAGGAGTCCCGTCGTCTCAGCATTCAACGCTGCATTCAGTCTTTGGTCCATGCCTGCCAGTGTCGCAATGCCAACTGCTCGCTGCCATCCTGTCAGAAAATGAAGCGGGTTGTGCAGCACACCAAGGGCTGTAAACGCAAGACCAACGGGGGCTGCCCTGTGTGCAAGCAGCTCATTGCCCTCTGCTGCTATCATGCAAAACACTGCCAAGAGAACAAATGTCCTGTGCCATTCTGTCTCAACATCAAACATAAGTTACGTCAGCAGCAGCTCCAGCACCGGCTGCAGCAAGCCCAGATGCTGCGTAGAAGGATGGCCACCATGCAGCGTGGAAATGTGCCGCAGCAAACATTGCCTTCTCCTACCTCAGCTATGCCTGGTACACCAACTGGACAGCAGCCCGGCAACCCTCAACCCCAGCCTCCGCCTCAACCACCACCACCCAATAACTTGTCAAGCGGTTTCTCTAATCCCCCAAGGACTCAACCCTCTACCACTGTCTCGCAAGGAAAGCCCACGAACGAGGTAGCACCACTTCCCCAGGCTCCTCCTGCTCAGCCCCCACTGGCTGCGGCATTGGAAATAGCTCGAAAGATTGAGCTGGAAGCCCAGCAGCAGCAGCAGCTTTACCAAATGGCAAACCTGAACAATGGCATAGGACGGCAAAGCATGATGACGCAGCCAATTGGGGCCGTCAACCAGATGCCAGCAGTCAGCATGAAGGTTCCTCGCCCTCCCATGAACCAGGTGATGTCCAGCATGCAGACTAGCCAGTGGCCACAAGCAACGACACTGTCACAGCCACTGCAGCCTGGCATCCCCAGAACTGGCATTCAGATGACACCACCACAGACTCCAGGGGGACAGAGGATGCCGGGCACCCAACAAACCCCGAGAAGCAACATCTCCCCCAACGCTCTCCAGGATCTCTTGAGGACTCTCAAATCGCCCAGCTCTCCCCAGCAGCAACAGCAGGTTCTTAATATTTTAAAATCCAACCCTCAACTTATGGCAGCATTCATAAAACAGCGAACGGCTAAATACCAGGCCAGCCAGCCTGGCATGCAGCCTCAGCCTGGCATGCAGCCTCAGCCTGGCATGCAGCCTCAGCCTGGCATGCAGCCTCAGCCTGGCATGCAGCCTCAGCCTGGCATGCAGCCTCAACCTGGCATGCAGCCTCAACCCCAGCCCAGAATGCAGCAGCCAGGCATGCACACTCAAGCAAACATGCAGAATACCCTGCAGAATATGAACCCCATGCAGCCAGGTGCCCCCCGGCCTACCTTGTCATCACAGCAGCCAGGCATGAGTGCTATGAACGCCCAGGGACAAAGCATGAACATGATGAACCCTGGACACAACCCAAGTATTGTTCCATACAGGGATCTGTTAATAAGACATCAACAACTATTACAACAGCAGCAGCAGAGCACTGGTATGACTGGAGGGATGGCAGGGCACACCCAGTTCCAGCAGTCACAAGGACCAGCTTACACGGGCATGCCACAACAACGGATGCAGCAGCACATGTCCATGCAAGGTGGGCCAATGGGACAGATACCCCAAATGGGGCAGATTAACCAACTGGGTCAGCCAGTGATGGGAGCTGAGGGGCCTCCAACCATCCAACAGACGATCCAACAGCGGATTCTCCAACAGCAGCAGCTGAAGCAGCAGATGGCCTCCGCAGGCCAGCCAACCCCCATGAGCCCCACCCAGCACATGCTCTCAGGACAGCCCCAAGCATCTCACCTCCAAAACCAACAGATCGCCACCTCCCTCAGCAACCAAGTGCGGTCTCCGCAGCCTGTCCCATCACCGCGACCCCAATCCCAACCTCCGCATTCCAGCCCTTCACCCAGGATGCAACTACAACCTTCTCCGCACCACGTCTCCCCCCAGACTGGCTCCCCTCACCCAGGACTAGCAGCTCCTCAGGCCAACCCCATGGATCAGGGACACTTTAGCAGCCAAGAACAGAGTGCAATGCTTCCACAACTGACTAATCCAAGCATTAGTGCTATACATAGTGCAACAGGTGATTTAGGACTGGGTGCTGATTCCAGCCTAACAAGCTCCACTATTACATGCGACACACTAGAAAAGTTTGTGGAAGACTTGTAGCGTTTTGGGAGCAATTTTTCCTTGGACTTTTTGTACTGAAAATTTCAGCTGTCTGGGGATTAACCATCCCTAGAAGGAACTGCAACTTCTTCCTTCAACCTTAAGGAATGACTTGCTGTTAAATACAAAGAATATATTTTTTGTTCAGACTGGTTGCACAATCTGGTCGTTTTTTTTTGTTTGTTTTGTTTTTTTGTTGCTAATGACTCACGCCTAATTTTTTTTAAATGGGGGGGAGGGAAAGCAAGTTCATTATATTGTTCATATTTTTTATTTTGTATTTTTCAGACTGAGCATTTCTGTTTAAAAGCAGGAAAAGACCTTCCTGGGCAAAAATGCAACATATAATGTATACCAATAATTTTCGGATGTGTTCTGAGAAGACCTTTTTCTATAGTGAAGTCTGTGCGGGCGTTTTCAAGTATTACATTTGTATAGATAGGAATAGACTATTGCACACATGTACTGGCACATGCCAAATTTTGTCTTGCTGATGTAGAAATTGTTGCTTTGTTTCAATGATAAATTGGTTTTAGTGAAATTAGGATGATCACTCATAGACTGTGCTGATTTTAAGAGAAAAAAACCCTTTCTTCATCCTTTATTCTATGTGAGACTTGAAGTGAGAAGAAAGCAATTCTAGTGTAAATCATGCAAGTTATATAATTACTATAAATAAGGAAACAAACTCTCAATCACTGTATAAACTGGTTTAAAAACTCATTTCTTACTTATATACCATATTGTTAAATAAACTGTGTGCAACAGAAAACAGGTTTCTACTTCTTTAGTATTTGTAGATACATTAAAAGGGAATACTTGTTTTGAACCCACACTCCTACTTATCAAAAGTGTTGGGTACATAGTCCTGCTCAAATCTGGGCTTCAAAACTTAATCGAGATTTAGAATTAAAATCTAGCTACTTGTTAAAACATTATCTCCTGAAAGGCAGACTTTTTAAAAAATATATATAGTATATATTATATATTTATATGCATGCATGTATATATAATATATATTTATATATATATATAATATGTGTGTGTTTGCTGTGCAGCTTGAGTCTGCAGCTGTATATTGTTGTTAATGGCACTGATTTGCGCTCCTTCCTTACTTGCTACCGAAAGCTATGCCGGCTGCAAAAGGGTTAATGAGCAGGAAGCTGCCCAGGCTTTGCAAGAGTTTGATCTCTGCTGCAATATTTTCTCTTTCTATCTGTCTCTCTTGCAAATAGTTTTAAGCAAGCACCTTCCTTCCATTCTGATGTTTAAAAACAGAATGCAGCATTCTGGCCTGCGATATCTCATTTAAACATGTACAGTTTCAGAATCTCAATTTTTATGCAGCTTTGATCTTCTCTTCCCAACTGTATAATTCGTGTATACTTAAGCCAAGTGTATAGAAACAAACCAAATGGTTACTGATGGCCATTTAATGCCTTCAGTGGATAAAGCTGGTCATTTCGTGAACTCTTTTCTTGAAGGTTAATCTGAGCTGCCTGCATGCAGGTGTTGGTGTATATGTTTCTGAATTGTATAAAAGAATTAATCAAGTATTGTTCAGCTGTGAAAATTAATGTTGAAATTGGGTGCCCGGAGGTCAGGCATGATAATCTATAGGACAGTCGGTGTGTTATTTGGGGGGATTTCTTTTTGCTTTCGATATGTATTTCTGTTTAATTTTTGTGTAAGCATTGATGCTGTGTACACTTAAGCGGAACAGACAGTACAGCCTTCAGTGGGATATTGTTCAAGTTTCTTTTCTTTAAAATAAGCTTCAAGATCCCTTTCATCCAACTTACTTAGACTACACTTAAACAAAGTATCACAATAAAGACTGCATTATTGTAACATACAGTGTATAAAATGCTGTTACACCTGTGTATTAGTTGTTTCCTCTTTCTTCACTCCCATCCACTTTTGTTTAAAGAATGTTTTTATCTATTGTTCACTTCTCTACTGTCCCTGGTTCCTTTTCTTCTTTCTTAAATTTCTTAGAAATTTTCCTTTCTTAGTTTTAATGTTTTGGGCCATTTTCACTTATTTTCTTTAATCTGGAAAAAATATGTATTTTTTCCCTCTGTTCCCAAAGGCACTAGTATTTGCTGGGATTCAGTAAAAAGGATACCAGTCACTCCAGTACTTCACCCAAGTGATCGTTCTTCAAAACGTGAGTTTGAATGTTGGCAGGTTATTCAACCATCGAGGGTATTATATAATTAGTGTATAGTTTAGCCATCAATATGTACCTTCCAGCAGAACGCACTGAAGGAATCGTACTTCAAATATTACGTATCTGATTTTTAAAGGTCTGTGATACTATTCGCAACTTCACATCCATCCTTCAAATGAGATGTTACACCAAGGTCTCGTCTGCCAGTTCAGGTGAACATTAAAAATCCCATGGAACTCTTTTCGAAGCAAATTTCTCCAGGTGCCTTTCAAATAAAATTGATCATCCACTTCACTGAGGTGCACAAATTGGCTGCCACATTTGCCCACAAAATGCAATCACTACGCTTTGCAGCTTATCGTGGCTAGCGATTTGACACATCCTCTCAATGTAAAAGATACTATAAAAAGTTATTGGGATAAGAATTTATTACATCTCCCAGTTTTGAGATAAAATCATGCAGTAATTTTTTGAGGAATAGTGTGACACTATAATGCTAATTTCCAGTTTAGAATACAAACAAAGTTCCTGTTGGAGTGATGCTTAAAACTGGCAGTGCATTTAATGCATAATTATAATAATCCTTGCATTTGATAAGAGCCTGATCACATCATTGAAATGTCTCAAAGTGCTTTTTAGGATTTACTGTACCTCGTGGTCTATATTGGGGTTTAATTTGCAGTTCTGCATTTCTTAAGATTCCTTAATTCCAAGCGCTCTGACACGCAGCCCGGCATGGAGGGTGCTATGTAAATGCAAGTTGTTGTTAATAAGAAATGCTATTAATTCCCATCAACTGACAGCTGGAACCTCCATTCCAGAAGTAATTGCTTTGAAGTCTCCCTCTTAATTGTTTTTAGATCTCTAGAGAATCGATTTAAAACATATGCTCTCTCGTGTACCCTTAGCTGGTGCAGAGAAACTTGCAAACTTTGGGGGAAGGGGAAACATTTTGATATCAGACGAGCTATACTTATCTAATGTTGAAAGTGCCTCATTAACAGTGCACCTTCAGGTAATGATGTGAGCATTTGTTTTATTAGATTTGCACGATATATTCTGACAAATGCCTTTTGGGAGGAGCAATGACACAGACTTCCAGGCTTTGCCTCTCTAACTGGAAAAATCTGAAGCCTATCTAAGCTCTATAAGTGAGGCTAAAGGTTGATAAGATACCAGAAGTGTGACATGACACATCCTACTTTAAGTCTTTAATAATAATAATAATAATAATCCTTGCATTTGATATAGCGCTTTTCACGTCGGGAGGACGTCCCAAAGCGCTTCACAGAACACACTGTAAAGTGAATTGACTGTATATTTGTGGGCGAACGCGGCAGCCAATTGCGCACAGCAATGTCCCACAAACAGTCGTAGATTGAAAATGACCAATTTATTATTGTTTTTTGTTTTTTTGGAGGGATTATTATTAGGTGTGTGGAGTAAGGAAACTTGCCCAAGGTTTCGCCCTGTCTGGAATTGAACCCGGGTGTCTCACTTGCAAAGCGAGTGCTCTAACCACTGAGCTACAGGACTCCACTCACTTTTTAAGTGACATGGTGAGGACAGTCATTTCTGGGTACAATATAGGTAATGAATGGATAGGTTGTAGTTATGACTACCAGTTTGCAGAGGCAAATCTATTTATTACATTTAACACCTAACTTATTAACCAATTGAGCTGCGTAAAACAAAACCATAAAATAACCTAAATTCTCTCCCCAGGTTGTATAACATATTTAAAGAGAACTGTTGGAATATGAAATGTTTACTACAAATGACTATTGAGGTTGCGTGTGTAAGAATATTTCACACGCAAAGAAAATGCTTTGCTACGAGAGGCTGAAACCATAACGTTTAAATTGAATTTCATCAATATTTACAAAGGAAGAATGTAAAAGCAAAGTAAGTGGTGGCTAGCTCCAGTGGATGATCCAACACTGGCTAAAATGGCTTCAAAAAGGTAAATCTTACCTGATCATAGACTTTTCCAAGCCTATTGATGACATCTCAGATTGATGATGGACTATGGGGTTATGATGACAAGTTGAGAATGACGACGATACGGGGTAGTATACCTCCACTTTCAAAGATAATTGTTACACACAACAAGATTACACACAAGGGACTCATTTACAGCACTTAATTGGATATCAAGAGTAGATGGGCTGAATGGTTACCTCCTGTGTTATAAATATTGGGTGATTCTATAAAAAATGTGCTTTATTTGTCCTGTATAATATTCATCAAATAAACTCTTACTCAGTGCAGTTAACTGACATGCTATTCTGGCCCTTCTCTCTCTCTCTCAAGAGTCTTGCATATCCAGACCTGAGAAGGTGATGGCAGGCCCTCTATTTAATCCATTGCAATCTTTGTGATGATGATGGTGTGGATGTGGAATGACCAATTTTGGGTCTATTGGATCTCTCACCGCTTGAGTCAGAAGGTTGGGTTCAAGCCCCACACTCCCAGTTATAGTAATATTTGAACTCAACAGAGTTTAGGCTGATCCTCCAAAAGCAGTACTTGGGAGTGTGCTGCATTGTCAGGGATCCCTTCCTTTGGATCAGATGTTAAACCAAGGTCTCCTCTACCTGGATCAGGTACACGTTTAAAGATCCCGTGACGCTACTCAAAAAGAAAGGGAGTTTCTCCCAGTGTCCTGGCTAACAATCCCCCAAATAAAACGAGTCTCCCCCTCCTCCCCACCCCCCACCTCTCTCACTTCGTAGCTGTTCGTGTTAACGATGCTGTGCTCCAATGGGCTGCTGCTTATATTAGGGCTATGAACAACAAGTCATCCCACTTGGACGGCACAAACCCTTGAGGCCTTTTTTTATTTGAGATGACTTTCCTGGCGCGAAAGGCGCTAATTACCCCCCCCCCCACCCCCCCCCGCAAAAAAACAGTGCACGGACCATCAAACGGTGCCCAGCGGCTACATTCTCAAGAGGAGAGCAGCGCGTCAACAGTTTGGGGCGTAGGAGGCGCCGGGACACGCAACCGGTGGCGCTGTTGCCCATTACGCGGCACTTCGGCTGAAATGAGTCGAGAAAGGGCGGTTTTTTTAATATAGATTTATCTATTCTCCTGATTGACCTTCAATGTTTTCCCCGCGGAAGGGAGGTCATTGCCCACAGGGCTGGGGGGGGGGGCCTTACTGGTGGCCATCCCTTCCCCCCAACACAGCGAATAACTTTATAAAAGAAACTTATTCCAAATAACATGAAAATGTGACGTGTTTTTATATATATATATATAATATATAATATATATATATAATATATATCCGGCTGACTCTGGTACCGTCCCGGCCGTTTGATTGATTTGAGAGGCTCCGATCCGATGAAAATCAAAATTATTGTTAATGGTCATTATTAAATAAAATTATTTCTTTCGCGACTTTTATGAGCATTGTAGTTTGAGGCAGGCGCTGCGCGGGCCGCCTCCCCCCGGGGTGGGAGAGGTTAGTGCGCGCCGCCGGGGTGTGAAGGCCCCCCCGCTCCCCCGCCCCCCGCGCCGCGTCGCGCTGCGGTGATGTCACAGCGCCGCCGCGGGCGGGGAGACCAGACCGAGAACATGGCGCAGAACAGCCTGAGCCGCGGCCTCTCCCTCCTCCCGGGACCGGCTCGAGGCGGCCTGAGCCGCGGCCTCTCCCTCCTCCGTCACCGGTCTGTGGCTCTGCGCCCGGCGGCCGCCCGCGCTCAGGAGTCCGGGCAACTGAGAGCGGCTCCGGGTAAGTGCGTTGCATCGGATTTAATAATCATTTGCTCAGGTTCACTGCCCCCGAGTGTATCGGGGGTGTGTTTCATCTTCATCCGATTAACCCCCACCTTCATCCCACCGTCCAAGGCGTCCTCATCATCATCATCATCATAAAAATCGTGCCTTTGGTTTTGCTCCTCACCACGTTGTCAGTGTCTTGAAACGCTCCGCAGGTACTGCTGCGAAGTGTGATTGTGAGCCGCAGCTGAGGAGAGGCGGTGTACATTGGGGCTAAGATGCCTTTTGTAATAATGCCTCATATCGATGAAGCGCCTTGGGACGTCCTCCTGAGGTGGACGGCGCTTATGCGAATGTAATTTGTTTGTGTTGTTGTTGTTGAAGTGTCTCAAGGCGCCGTTTAGGCAAAACAGTAGGATACAGCGAGAAACTCTACTTGGGATAGCGTCGTTGGACCTTTTTTGTTCAGCTGAAGACCAGAGAGGCTTCATTAACATCTTATCAGAAGTAATGATCCCTCTGGCGGTGAGGGATCATTACGGTGCTGCCTGAACTACGTATCTGAGTCCCGACATAGGTCTTGAGTCCATAAACTTCTGACCTAGAGGCAAAAGCGCTACTGACGGCGACAATTGAGTTGAGGGAATGGAGGGAAACTGGATTTGAATGTAATCTAAAGATCAGACAAGCTGGGGCATTTCTGGTAGATGAAAATGCTTTATCATAAGTTCCTGAAATTCGGTGCTTTGCCCTCCCATAGCAGGAGCCATGATCGATCTCAGAAGATCTGCAGCTCTGTTTTCCATCCACCAGAGATGTATTCCAGCGATCGTCTCATTCACCCTGCGCTCGTACAGCACACAAACAGCAGAGAGCCAAGAGGAGGAGGCGTTGCATACCATCATCACCGACAGCGAGAGCGTACAAGGTAAACTTTCTTCATGTCCAAGTTTGACTACGCCAATGCCCTGCTCCCTGGACTCCCCAACCTTTTCTCTATACAGGCTGCAATCAATTGGAAACTCTGCAACTCTTGCCCTCACCCGTACTATACATCATGAGCCTATCCCATCCTTGCTTGGTTCCACTGGCTCCCTTCAACCAGCGGATTAAATTCAAGATCCGGCACGACGCAATAAACCGAATGGCCTTCTGTTCCATAAATTTCTACCTTCAAATCCCTCCACGGACTTGTCCCACTCAACCGCAGTGTACTCGTTCAACCCTACCGAAGATGCACTCCCTTCACTCAGCAAACACTGGCTTACTTCATGTTCCCCATCCAATGTTCCCATCCAATCCACCCCATCATCTCAGTAGGCAGACTCGCAGCCACTCAGCCCTGCTCTCTGGGACTCCATCCCACAGTCCCTCAGACTCACTCCCTCCCCTCATTCAAAGCCTGCCTCAAAATATATCTGTTTGATTGAGGTCATCTTTTCCTGTCCTCACCTTTGGTTCTCACTCCCTTCGTTCCCACTTCAGGTTTGGGTGCCTAACTAGCAGTGTCAGTGCTTTGAAACAGAATGAACCGAACATTGTGCTGCTGTATTATGTTGCTGCAGATGTGCTTTTGGGAGCTCTGGCTTTGTGATAACCATCTCCTCTTCTGTAGGATCTTCTTCAAGTCATGAATTTCAGGCAGAAACGAAAAAGCTTTTGAATATTGTGGCAAAGTCCCTGTACTCTGAAAAGGAGGTAAGTTGTTATGACAGCTTATTCCCATTTACCCCCCGCCCCAATAAAAGGCAAATGGGAAAAGCCTCGTCAGTACCGTGACTCCAAATTCTATGTCCTGCTCCTCTGAATGTTTGGACACTGCCTCTCACTCTCACTATGTTTTGGGGCCAACAGGATCTGGAAATGAATCCTGGTGAGACCACTCTGCCCTTTGCCTTTAGAAGTTGATAAAATGAGCAGGAGGTGATATTTTCGTGTGGTCTGAGGAGGGGAACCAAGTAGTAATGCAAGCCCCAGTTGTTGGTTGGATGGCTGATCAATTAGATTTGGATGTGAAAATGTCAAAATATTGACCTTAACACTGTGAGCCAAAGCCTTAACACATCATCAGATGGTTGGGATAAGTGCCATACTGCATCGTACCCATACAAGTGAAGGTTTGTTTTTCAGGAGCGTTTCACTGTACCTGCTCATTCATGTTTCCTAGGTGTTTATCCGTGAGCTCATATCCAATGGAAGTGATGCTCTCGAAAAGCTACGTCACAAACTGGTGACCGATGCCCGGGAGCAGCCTCCTCTGGAGTTTCACCTCAGGACCGATGCTGAGAAAGGAACCATAACCTTCCAGGTATGGCAAACCCTTTCACTGTAGCTGTTCACAGTAGCCCCTCAGCCTGGTCTGCCCTGCTTTGTGGTTGGTTATTTGTAGGTTATTTTCCTCGTTATGATGATGTGTGACATTAAAATGATGACATTAAATTCCTTAGGAATTCACAGGCAAATTTAAAGCAAGCTTCCAAAGACAATAGCTATCCTTATAACCAGCACAGCTTTGCAATTGTCAGTGCTCTTGGGGTTAGGATTCCCGCTCTTGATTGCTATCCTGTGACCTCTACTGAAAATGCTTGTGTGGCCACTTCAGGTAAGGACAGATTTTTGGCTGCATTCTGCTGCTCTGATCACGTTGAATACAGTGAGATCCTAACACTTCCCATTTGGTTGAGGTACTAGGGAACCTGGTGTCAGTGGATCCATATCTCTTAGCACTGCCTTAAAAGGGAATTAACGCGAGAAAGAAAAGAACGGTTACATTTAGCCATTTTATGGTCCAACTGCTGCAGCCAGAAGATGGTGCTGTAGATGGAGAATGAAACACTTAATTCTACTGCAATTCAACATGGCTCCATAGCAAGAGCTTTGGCATCTGCTGGCCACTCGGTATATCACACCTCAAAAAAACCATTTCGTCAATATCAACTGCAGTTTCAAAAGTTTGAAATTCCTAGAAACTGTAGAACGGGATCAGCTATGTTTGCTGTTTTTTTTTGAGTGGTAAATGTACACTTTCTTGTCTGTGCATTGCTCACGGAGATCTGTTTGGCTGGTTCAAGTTATATGAATAAAATACACCCAAATGATCCCGACTCCTCCATCTCCCATATCCCTGGACCAATTTTTATTATGCACATTAGTTATGTAATTTCCTCTTGAGTTTGCTGTTACAATCTGCCTCCATTGTCTTTCAGGATAGTCTATTCCACACATTCAAGTTACTGTATATAGTGTTCTGAGACCCTATCCCACCTGAAGAATGCTACATAAATGGTAGCTATTTTTGTACATCCTACACTTACACTGCTCTGTTTAAATCTGAACTGAATGTTCTCTTGTTGAAAAAATTGAAGTATACAAAGCAGCACAAGGGTTAGTTTCTAACTAACACTTCAGTCCAATTGAGGGATAGTTTCTAACTGTTGTTTCCTCCTTCGCAGGACACGGGGATAGGAATGAGTAAAGAGGAACTCATTCAGAATCTGGGGACAATCGCACACTCTGGCTCGAAGGTGGGAAAATCCTGGTTCATTTCTCTTTTTAAATTTTTTTTTCTCTCTTCCTGAAACTGCTAATTTGGGATAGAGTACATTTCCACAGATGATGGGACTTCCTCCCGACATAAAGGACGCTTTATAAATGCAATTTGTTGTTGTGGCTTTGTTTCAATGTGTGAACCTAGATAGTGAGTGTGGGACATTTATTCAGCTGTGTAGAGGGATAATCGGCATTTACACACAAACACTTTCCCACAGAGGTCACTGTGTGGTGATTAGTAGCAGGAACCCAGAGAGCTGAGGCCAACTGCTCCTGTTGAGGTGAGCTACCTCAGCATGGATTCGACCTTCCTGTATGTCTTGCTTTGTCAAGTGAATTCACTCAATGAGTATTCGGGAGAGCTTTTGCTGAAACTTTTTTTGTATTTTTGACCAGGCTTTCCTGGAGGCTTTGCAGAACCAGGTGGAGGCAGGCGGGAAGATCATCGGGCAGTTTGGGGTTGGATTTTACTCTGCATTTACAGTGGCTGATAAAGTGGAAGTGTTCACACAGGCTGCGGAGTCGGGCAGCACCGGTTACCGATGGGCCTCTGACGGGTGAGTCCAGAATTTGTGCAATAGGTACAATCTGATCAGGAGATGAGCAAGAGGCTGGGTAAATATAGGCGATATTCCCAACACCAAGGAGGTTAAGAGGTGACTGAGGTTTATGACATAATAGAAACAGTTGACAAGATAAATAAGGGACGATTCTTCCCTCTGGTGGGGGAATCGGGCAATCTGAAAATTACAGTTAAGCAGATTAAAAGTGAAAACAGGAAACATTCCTTCACACAAAGGACTGTGACAATGTGGAATAAAATGCATTGTCCCAGAAGTAATGTAGGCTCAAAATCAATTGACATGGTTGATTAGATAGTTACTTGGGAAGTGAGGGATTAGAAGAAAAACCGGGGGAAGTGGAATGGAAGATTGAGTTACCTTACAGTAAAGAATTGTGGAATGTGGACAGGGGAAATATAGTGATATGATGTACATCAGTATCCTTACTGAGGAATCCTGTTGGAAATGTTCATATTTTGGAACTGCATTGTTAGTTGAGCACTGTCTGTAGATCTGGGGGTTCCCAGTAACTCTCTTCCATGCTTCCAGCTCAGGGACATTTGAAATCACTGAAGCCACTGGTGTGAGACCGGGCACCAAGATTGTTGTCCATCTGAAGGATGATTGCAAAGAGTTTGCCAATGAGGATCGGGTTAAAGGTGAGAGGTCAGATCATAGCATAGAATCATAGAAATATACAGCATAGGAGGCCATTCGGCCCATCGTATCTGTGTCAGCTCTTTGAAAAGAGCTATCTAAATCAATCCCACTCCCCCGCGCTCTCCCCATAGCTTTGCAAACTTGTCCTCCCCAAATAATTATCTACTTCTCTCTTAATAGTTGTTATCAAATCGGTTTCCACCACCCTTTCAGGCAATGCGTTCCAGATCCGAACAATTTGCTTTCGGAAAAAAATTATTCTCACCTCCCCTCTGTTTCTTTTAACAACTATTTTAAGTCAGTGTCTTGGGTTACCAACCCACCCGACAGTGGAAATTCTTGTTGAACCTATCAATTCCCCTCATAATTTTGAAAACTTCTGTTAAGTCTCCTCTTAACCTTCTCTGCTCCAAGGAGAATAATCCTGGCTTCACCAGCCTCTCCTCATAACTGAAGTCCCTCATTCCTGGTACCATCCTGGTAAATCTCCTTTGCACCCTCTTCAATGCCTTGACATCCTTCCTAAAGTGGTGACCAGAACTGAACACAGTACTCCAGCTGAGGCCTAACTGGTGTTTTATAAAGGTTCATCATAACTTCCTGACTTTTGTATTCTATGCCCCTATTTATAAAGCCTAGTATCCCGTATGCTTTTTAATAGCTTTATCTACCTGTCCTGCCAACTTCAAAGATTTACTTATATGTACCCCCAGGTCTCTCTGTTCCTTCACTCCCTTTAAGATTGTACCATCAGCTTATATCGCCTCTCCTCATTCTTCCTCACAAAATGCATCACTTTGCATTTCTCCACTTTTAACTTCATCTGCCCCGTGTCTGCCCATGTTACCAGTCTGTCTATGTCCCCTTGCAGTCTGCTACTATCCTCCTCACTGTTTACTACCTTTCCTAGAAAGTCGAGAGATTTGCTGTTACTGATTTTATTAAAATTGTTTTAATTTTCTTTACACACATTGATAATTAACAGTGTCTCTTGGAGCTAATAAGGCTGTGACTGACCCCTCAGAGCCATTGCTGTTTTCACTGTGAAAGAACTTGAGAACAGTTTGTTTTTAAAATTCCCTCCTGAAGGTGATGACTCGTGCTGTCATTATGGTGGCTCAATATGGGGGGGGGGGGAGGAGTTGATGGAGCCAGGTCGTGGGAACTTGTTTAATGGGCAGGGTTTGGGGGAGGTGACTGCTCAACAGTTGCTTCAGTCTTTCTGTAAGAGACAATTACACTCAGCACTGGTCTGTGTTTCAGAGGTGGTGACCAAGTACAGCAACTTTGTCAGCTACCCCATCTATATGAACGGCCGTCGACTTAACACACTGCAGGTGAGTGGTTTCCTGTCCTGAGAACAGCAGCGGTGATGGAATAGCAGCCAGGCTGTTACACATAGATATGCATACATGTGTCAAAAAGATGTGCAGCACACGTCCCATTCAACATGCACTGTGACTTCTCAGGCTCTCTGGATGATGGATCCAAAGGAGATCAGCGAGTGGCAGCATGAGGAGTTTTACCGCTATGTAGCAAAGGCTTATGATAAACCACGCTACATCCTCCATTACAAGACCGATGCTCCCTTGAACATCCGCAGTATATTCTACGTTCCAGAAATGGTGAGTAGCACAATGCCAGAGTTGCGGCTTTATGCTGATCCTCTCAGTATTCTGCCACGGGACCACACGATTCGTCACTCGTGTCATGTAGAATCCAATCTTCCTCACACAACATTCACACGAGAGAATCTGGATGCTGATCTGATTCGGGATCCTGGCTGTTTTGTTTGTCCCCTTTCCCTCGCCTGTTGTTTCCTGAGGAGCTGAGACTAATTATAGCACCTCTATTCGCCACCTTAACTATTTCAGCAATGACTAAGGTCAGGAACACAAGACATCTCTGGTCTGTAAGTAAATTTAACAACTGATCCATTAGGGGAGCCCTTCCTCACTTGGTGAGAATGGATTACAGACATTATAGTTGGCAGAGAATTGATGGGGCTAATTTAAATTCAGGGATTCTAGTGAGTTTATAAACATTTGGTTTGGGAGAGCAGGCTTCAGTATGTATATTGTGCTACTGAATGGAATTTCTCTCTCTTGTGGCTGTGCAGAAGCCGAGTATGTTTGATGTGAGCCGAGAAATGGGGTCCAGCGTGGCCCTGTATAGCCGTAAAGTGCTGATCCAAACCAAGTCCAGCGATATCCTGCCCAAGTGGCTGCGATTCTTGCGGGGTGAGTACAGAGCTGTTACCTGTTCTTTGGAGCCAAGTAGGAATAGGTATGATTGTCTTTTTACCTTTATCCTCTTTCCTTCCCCCCGAGGCAGCTAGTTGAGCCCAGACCAGAAATGAAACCTGTGACCCTCCTGCTCTGTATGGTTCATATGCACTTGCAACAATCATAAAGCAAATAACAACTTGTATTTATGTAGAGGGGCAGCATCTCAGAGCAATTAACAGTGGCGGAGCCTCATGCCAAGCCGGGGAGGTGACCCTAAACATCACTTTATATAGTGGTATGTCCCACGGGGCTGTTGCAAGTGGTCTAAACTGTGGTGTGTGAAGATGCCGTTGTGTTCAGACAGAAAGACTGAATGACTCTGTCTTTGTTGCAGGTGTGGTTGACAGTGAAGACATACCTCTAAACCTCAGCAGAGAACTGCTTCAGGAGAGTTCGCTCATCAGGTATTCAATCTGGATACAGCTCATCAAGAGATGCCCGAATGGGAGAGTTGTAGAACAGAACTGTTGATTTCCCAGTTATTTTGTGTAAAACCCAGCAGAGCTCCTGGCTCAGATTCTGGTGGCTCCTGGGATGGAAGCTCACCCTCTGCTCTCTCTCTTTTTCAGGAAGCTTCAAGCTGTTCTCCAGCAGCGATTGATCAAATTTTTCCTTGAACAGAGTAAAAAAGAGCCTGAGAAATACAGCCAGTTCTACGAGGACTTTGGACTGTTCATCCGTGAAGGCATTGTAACCACGGTTGAGCAGGATGTCAAGGTGAGCCCCGGTGATGTACTATCTTATGCAGTATTCTGGCCTCGATAGGATTTAGAACCAGGCAGTGACTTTTAGGATTTCCTAATGTGATTTTATACCCAGAAGAATACTATATCATTGTTATTTGATAGTAATGTGCAGTGGAGAAGAGTTCTCTGTTCCCTGCACTGCTCGATGTCAATTACCGAGCTCCACATTCCATCCCCTGGCAGATGCTGACTTGAGCCAGGCAGTGGTAGAGGAGGTACAGATCAGTTGGTGCTGTCATGAGTGAGCCCGGGACTGAGAAATCTAACAAAATTTATTTGCAACGCTGGAGTTATTAGCAGTATATTGTGATTGGCAGATGCCCCTGGAACACCCTGGAAGTCCTGGGGTAACTAACAGTATGTATCTGGGTGTTCAGGAGGACATTGGTAAGCTGCTGAGGTTCGAGTCGTCCGAGATGCCCCAAGGCCAGGTGACAAGTTTAATGGAGTACGGCAGCCGGATGAAAGCAGGGACACGGAACATATACTACCTGTGTGCCCCAAACCGCCGCCTGGCAGAACACTCACCGTACTTCGAGGCAATGAAGAAAAAGGACATGGAGGTAAGAACGACCAATGAGATGCATCAAATAGACTGGGATGACATAGTGATTGCTTTCCACAAGGGGTCAGTGTTAGGGCTGCTCTGATTTGATGTATTCACAAATGATCTGGATTTAGGAATTGAGGGACCAATATTGTAATTTGCTGATGACACCGAATTCGAGGCGTCACAGATTGTGCTGAGAAATATGAAAGAAGAGAACATAGATTGACTAGTGTTTGCACATTGCTGACATGAGCTGTACAGTGCTGAAAAATATTGAAGTAGAAAGCATAGGGAAAGGATATGGATCTTAAATGATAATATTTAAAATGTAATAGAGAAGCAGAGGGACCTACCTCGGTGTGAAGGTATATGGGTCATCAAAGATGTCAGTGCAAATACATTTTAAAAAAAAGATTAAAAACAGTAAATTGAATCCTTGGGCTTATACCCAGAGGCATAGAATATACAAGGAGGTAATGTTGAAGATATTGGTTTTAGCTGCTATTGGAGTATTGCGTACCTCATTTTAAGAAGGATATAGAACCAATCACCAGTATTGTTATGAAGATGAGACTGGTAATACTCTGTTTCTTTGTTACTGGATTACGCTTTGTCTCTGTTTAGGTGCTGTTTTGCTTTGATCAGTTTGATGAACTGACATTGCTACACTTGCGGGAGTTTGACAAGAAGAAGCTGATCTCTGTGGAGACTGACATCGTGGTGGATCATTACAAGGAGGAGAAATACGAGGACAGCAAGCCAGGTATGGAGTGACAATCGGGGGCTTTTCTTTCTGGGCAGTTTAGTAGGTGCCGACAGCAAGGGGTTCTGTGACTGGCTCTTCCCCAAAGATCACTACCTGGTGCTGTGTGAGTGGAAAGAGGCAATAAATATGGGTGTTTTATTTAGATAAAGTTATAATTGGAGTTAGACTCGGCTCCATTAAGGCCAGTTTTTGGTACTTGCTCTGATTTTTGCCATATCCCATCTACTTTTGCAGCTTCTGAGCGGCTCTCTGAAGCAGACGCAGAGGGTCTCCTGGCTTGGATGAAGAATGCACTTGGGACACGAGTAACCAACATTAAGGTACGAGCCCTTGCAGTGTTCAATAATGCTGGCATGTACAAGCGACCACATCAGATATGAAGACATTCACTGTGAGAGCTGTTTAAAGAGAAATAGCTGCTGTGTCAGTGATCAGGAATCATGGTTGTTGGTTCGCCTTCTCACTTTTCGCCACTCCCACCCCCTCCATTGAGCCAGCTGTTGCCTTGTTGTCCATCCCCCCCACCCCTGCCACCATCTCTGCACAGCCGTTGTCCCAACCTAGTCTCATTATCGCTGAACAGTGTGTCTCAGGTTAAATGATGAGCAGGGTGAGGGGTTAATGTGTGACTTCTGGGTTCCTGTTGTCTTAGTCTTAATTGTAATTTTTTTATGAGTGTTTATAGTTGTATGGTTGGGAGGGGGTCAGAAAGCTTCTAAGGGCAAAGACTGGAATTGAGCCCTGATGCTTTACCGTCTCCTGGATCTCTGGTGGCTGCTCTGGACAGCAGCTGCTCTGTCTCAACCATTGTGTGTAGGACTCTTCTCACTGGATCCATTATTGAAAGGATCTCTCTCTTTTGTCTCAGTTGACACCACGACTGGACACACACCCAGCAATGATCACTGTGCTGGAAATGGGCGCTGCCCGGCACTTCCTACGCACCCAGCAACTGGCCAGGACCAGCGAGGAACGTGCTCAGATTCTGCAACCCACGCTGGAGATTAATGGCAGGTAAGCAGCTACCATCAGGCCAGGTGTCACAGCAAAGACCTAAGGATGAAAATAGATGGTTTCATAGAGGAGTAAACACTGACACAAAGATATGAACTGAATGGCTTCCTCCACAGTGTTATACATTTCTATAGAGCAGATGGGTGTGGGCTGTGAGAGAGCTGTCCACTAGCAATTTTAGTTTGGTACCAAAGCAAGATTGTGTTAAACTAATACATCAGCAACCCGTAACTAGCCTGACAATGTGACATCAAGTACATGATAGCTCACTATTCAGTACGTAATCAAAGCTGAAACAATACAACTGAATAATGTCATTTAGATATTTTGATTGTAGGGCCTATTTAATGAGGTTTTCATTCAATTTTCCATCTAAATTTTTACATTGATCTAATTAATATTAAATTGATTTCTTAAATCGCACAATTAACCAGACTGATCTATAGTGAATGCACAATCACAATTGAAGAAGACGGTCCCCAGGATAAGTCAGTGCCTTCAGTACACTGTGTCTTAAACAGTGTTGAATGTGTTGCAGGCTGTGGGACTGAGAGTTTTGACCGCGCACACATTTCGGGTGTGTTCATTGACCCTCCCCACTCTCTTGTGCTGTTTCAGTCACGCTCTGGTTAAGAAATTGAATGAATTACGTGACAAGAACCCAGAACTGGCTCAGCTGCTGCTCGATCAGGTGAGTGTAAAGATTGTCACATTAACTCCCCACTCCTTTTTGGAGCGTTGTATTATTACCATCCTGGCATCTTCCCTGCAGCCCCACAACCCACTTGATAAAATCACATTAAGAATGTGTGGGCACGCACATACCCAGACAGTGTACACTACTTGCTGTACTGCACAATTCCCCTTTAAGCGTTGCTCAGCAGGACAAGGTTGCAACAGATTTCTCTGTCACTTTCAGATCTACGATAATGCCATGATAGCCGCCGGCCTAAACGACGACCCAAGACCCATGGTGAGCCGACTGAATGACCTCCTGACCAGAGCCCTGGAAAACCATTAGCCGTCGGCAGAGGGTGCGACTTGTAATGTGGAGACCTGACAATGGACAGAGTGTGAGACTAAAACAAATCATACCCATCATTTGGAACTGTTCCTCCAGAATTGACCTGAATATTTGGAACTCCAGGCAACAGTACCACCAAAATAAATGTTATAAATCTATTTCCAACTAAAATTTCCCCAAATGTACCTTTGTTTACTGAGTTTAGTGATGCTAAGACTTGTGTCTCTGGCACCTGTTGGCAGTGATTGGGGAAGAGGTCTGCTCTTTGAGGCTTCAATCCCTTTAATTAATTTATAGTTTGACATTATTAAGTACATCAATTTAAATGCAAACCATTTGGGAGAAGGGAAATGAGTCCTGAATTCATCTATCAAATGAATGGAGTCGATATCCTAAACAGGCTTGTGCGAGTTTGTTGGATCGATGTATCCCATGGGCTTCAATCTTATTAACTGTACAAACACCTGGGTGAATCGAGGCATTCTTGGTGGCTGCAGTTACGGTGTTTAGTTTGATAGGAGTAAAGATGCATCTATTTATCAGTGGGTTTGACAGGAGAATCTACAATTTGGTTCAAAAGCAAGCAACAAATTAAACTAAATTGTCCTAATTTAACTGTTCTGCATATTGAAGCTACAATACAATCAATGCAATACAAATTTATATGGTGCTTTTCATGTTGGGAAGGTGTCACAAGGTGCTTAACTAACCTTGAGGTGACTCCTTCCTGCATTGCTGGGTTTGGTAACACCTTCCTGCGACATTCTGTAATTGTCCAGCAAACCCATGAGAGTTATGACATCATTGAGATAGATTAAGTGAGCATTTTTCGTCATTGTGTTCTATCTCAGCACTGGGGGGAACGACATCACAAGCATGGCTCGTCCCATCAATGCTTTTATGTTTTTCCACTGCCTGCCATGCTGTAATATGCATGTGCTGTGGCAATGCAGTATTGGTGGCACAGGAATTAGGTGAATTATTTCATTCACTGGTTTCCCTTGGTTACAGCTCAGGTGTTAGTCTGTTTTACCTTTTTCGAAAATTTGAAATGAGGTCCCCATTCCTGATTATTCAGTGCTGCGTGTCTGCCCGAAACGTGCTTGTGTGAGATAGGATTAGAGTTTCCTTGAGATTGCGCCCCTCTTCTCCCTCTTGTGCTACTCATGGGGACACACACGAAGACCAGGCAATCTGTTAAGGTAGCAACGGATCGCTGATGTTGGTGTCTTCAGGATGCAATGTGAGAACATTGGGGGAACTATAATCAGACCAAACAAATTATGTTGATGCACATACCTTTGACTGTATGAGACACAATTTCCACTATTGTAGTTAGTCCTTGAGCCGCTGTGAGTGAGAGACGATCTCAGGATGGGTCATCTTCTAGTTGACACATCTGAACTGATGTGAAGATTTAAACGAGGAGGACAGAATGCAAAGTGAGGAGGGGGAGAAACTGGTTAATTAAATGTTTTTCACATTTCACTATTTAGCTATTAGAAAGTCTGCCACATTCAGAAGGAAGCACTGGGCAAGTTCAGGCTGCCTCATAGTGTTAAGGATTTGCCTTGACCTCCATGTCTACCTTGGGTTAATAAGGGAGTTTCCTGGTTTTGCCAGACATGTCTCCTCAAGAATCGTGAACTGCTGCCATCCTACATACTCGGTGCCCGAAATTGGAAAAGTTTGCATTGCCAGCACTGACATCCATTTCCCACACAAACGCATTTCCCAAAGGAAAACCATGGATAACTGCTAAACCTGTGGAAAAGTGGATCTCAAGGGTGAGTTACAGGCTGAAATCCAAGATGAACTTGGGTGGTGTATCCTGAGTGGAGTCTGGAGTGGTTTCACTGTCTGCTGTTTATTTAGCATTTCAGCCTGTTCTCCCTTGTGCAAAGCTGATTGACCATTTCCTGCCTGCTTGACATGTACATTGAATTAAGTGCAAAGTAATCAATGCAAGGTTTGGCAATCACTTGTTTTCATCAAGGAAACAGGATGTCATTACTGGGAAACAGCATGCTTCCCATTTCAGGCATTATAATTAGTCAGCAAGCAGATATTGGCATGTGATTTCTTATTTCTTGAGACTTTGAAATGCTAAGACTAGTCAATTCAGTAATCTGCAATTTTAACTTTTTGCTCTACCTCAAACTGTTCTAATCTTAAACAGAAATAACCCCAATTTTCTCTGATTATTGCAGTATGTCAGGTGATAAGTTCCTGTACCTGACTATGCATTTGTAGAATGAGTGATGGACTAACATGTTGCTCTTTCAATATCCGGTTTACACAACACTGAAGATCTGGTGGACGGTAATTCAATTAACAAGATTGCAATGAATCTAATACACTGAAATATTAATGTGCTGCACCAGGTATTGTCATGGCAACATCAGCAGTGGGTTCGTATGTACTGTCACAATCAGACAGAAGGTGGTAGGAACTAGGCCAGCAAACTGTGAAAATGATTCGGCACAACTCGTCAGAAATGTTTTTGCTTGAGCACAGGTGGTAATAGACTTCCAGAACCTCAAAAGGCTGAACGTCCGGCTTCTGTTCTATGGGGAGAATCAGCAGCGTAACATGTGGGTATTCCAACTGAGCCCTATCCTATCGCACTGCTTTCCAGCAACGGGTTGGATAGTCACGAAGAGCTGAACCCTGTGCGATTTTTTTTCCCCTCCATTGGCAAAGGCCCTGAGGGCATTTGTAATCTGAACAACTGCCCCTGCTGATATCAAATAATTCAATCAGGGTATCGTGGAGTCCTGTAGCTCAGTGGTTAGAGCACTCACTTCACAAGCGAGAGACCTGGGCTCAATTCCAGGCAGGGCGAAATGTTGGGCACGTTTCCTTACTCCACATGCCTCGGTTTACCTAGCAGTAAGTAGGAACCCGGTTGTTAGTCGATCAGCAGATCGCTTTTCTAAGGATAATAATTCTTTCACAAAAATATTATAATCCTTGCATTTGATATAGCGCTTTTCACGTCATATCGACGTCTCAAAGTGCTTCATAGAATAGACTTTAAAGTGAATTGACCGTATATTTGTGGGCGAAACGCAGCAGCCACTTGCGCACAGCAGCGTCCCACAAACAGTCGTGGATTGAAAATGACCAATTTATTACTGTTTTGGAGGGATTATTATTAGGCGTGTGGAGTAAGGAAACTAGCCAAAGGTTTCGCCCTCTGCCTGGAATTGAATCCAGGTGTCTCGCTTGCAAGGCGAGTGCTCTTACCACTGAGCTTCAGGACTCCACGAATAATAATGTGGTCACTAAATCCATGACTGTTTGTCAGACACTGCTGTTCGTAATGGCTGCTGCATTTCACCCACAAATTTACAGTCAATTCCCTTTTTGAAGTATATTCTGTGAAGCGCTTTGAGACATCTAGAAGATGTGAAAAGCACTATATCAAATGCAAGGATTATTATATTGCAAAGCACAGAAATGGGCGATTTTGTCCATCATGTTGGCGGTGTTGGAGCCGTGACCTTCACTCCTGCCTGACACGGTTTCAGGGCCAGCTGGATGACCAAACTATCAATCTGGACCATAACAATCACCATAATGTTTCTAATTCCAGCTGGAAATTTGATTTTGAGCCAAATCACTTCTCAGTGATTGTGGAGAAGAATATTAGCATGAGGTGTGAAAATATCAGACAGACAAGACTTCTACATTCAGCAGGTAGCTGCAGACATCAAACCTCAGAATTTGGCAATGCATTGCAAAGCCACTTCCTCATAGTGAATTGATTAACAGTGTTGTGTTGACACCTACTCATGACTTTCCCTATGAGAACACTGCAGCACAGCAGTGACTCAGTATTGCAGAGCAGCAGTGACTCAGTCAGGTACCATAAAGGGTACCAAGGCCCTGGAGATAGTAAAGCTATGGCCTGCATCATATTCTCTTTGCTGTGTGTTATTCTAAATGTACATTTTTTTCCCCCCCAGTTATATTTCTAATTAGTTTCAGAGAGTGTACTGTTTAGCTTGTGCAGCATTTGAACATGTAGCTCAGTGGATAGAGCACTTGCCTTGCAAGCGAGAGACCTAGGTTGTTCCCAGCAGGGCAAATTTCCTTATTCCACATGCCTCTGTTTACCTAGCAGTAAGGAGGAACCCGGTTGTTAGTCGATTGGTGGATTGCTTTTCCAGGGTAATAAATCATTCCCCCAAAAAATATTTGGTTACTCAATCCACAACTGTCTGCAGCACCCTGCTGTGCACAATTGGCTGCTGCATTTCACCCCCAAAATATAGTCAATTCACTTTACAGCACTTTGAGACACCTCAAAGACATAAGGCACTATATCAAATGCAAGTATTATGTGCAGTGTGCCATCTAATATGCGTGTGTGTGTTCAGCCGGGGGTGGGGTAGCAGGAGAAAAAGACTGGTCTTGGGGGTAGTAATTCTTCCCACTAGTCTCCAGTTAACCCTGCAAACCAAGGTTGTAACATGTTGGTTGATCCTAGCTGAATCAACAGCAGGAAGCTTACCACACAATGTTTACAATGACAAGCTAAGTGGTTTTAACAGGTTAAGTTCCACCAATATCCCCAAAGCACACACTGGGGTTCCTGAACTCTTGCAAATATTTTCCTGGGATTAGGTAGGCAGAGTATGTTCCATGGGGTGGGGGGGGGGAAGAGAGTATGAACTCCATTCCAGACAAGGGAAAATTTCCATGCATTACGTAGAACTCTCAGTAGTTTGGTTTGGATATCTGAAGCATGGTGATGGTTTTCTGAGCAGCTGATCAAATAAAAATCTTAATGTGTGACATACCTGACATGACATAAAAATCTTCATGTGTGACAGGTGGGTGAAAACTGACAATTTGCAGCTGTTTATTTATTGATACGGTTTATTGTTCAGCACCAGTCTTAGATGACTTGTATTGAGGACAAAAAAACATGAAAAATAGGCAAGGAAGCATTTTTCCAAGTAAGAATTTGGTTGCATCTCAAGCATAAAAAGAGAGACTGGCAAGGAGGACACTGGAATAATCAAGCTGGTTGGGTGGGAAAGAAAAAAACAAAAGCATGGTTAAAGAGATCTGTATAGCTAAAGTGATAGATGCTTTGATTGTAAAACTCATGTCAGGGCATCTAAAAAACAGATTTTACTGTAACGTGACAACTATTTTTAGGCAAATGCTGCAGCCAATGTGCACCCAGCAATGCCCCACAAACAGCGATGAACCAAACGATTTTTTGTTCTATTGTTGGCTAGAGCACCAAGAAATTCCCTTACTTTTTCAAGCAGTATCATGGAATCAATGTCCACTTGACCAGACAGACAGGAGCTCAGTTTAATTCTCATCCAATTGACAGCACAAGTACATTGTCCTGACAAACGGCTTCAACCCACAACCTTTGATGCAAAGTCAAGACCTCTACCAGGGGACGCAACACATTCTATTCAGCAAGAAACTTGAGGGGCATTCTAGAATAGTGGAGGAACATTTTTCAGGGCCAGATGGATATCAGTGTTTGCTTCTTGTCAGATAATTCCTTGTTTAAGGATTCTTACAGTTGAAGTGATTTAAATGGCATTTAAGAATGCTAGACTTTCAGGTGAGGAAGAAGGGAATAGGAGGGTGGAGACTCACATGGAGTATAAACACAGCACAGACTGGTTGGGCCAATTGGCCCCTTTCAATGCTGTACATTTGCAAGTCAATTGAATGTTCTTGCGTACAAAAGTAGGCCACTCCAAAAAGTAAGTTGAGGAAATTTTATTTGGAAACATCAGAAATGTGAAACCCAACAGGGTGCACACTTATCCATACATTTGTACTACTGGAAACATTTACATGTGCCTCAAGATGTTAAAAACACAAATAGAATTCACTCCAATACCAGGACACAAGGACTATGATCAGATCCAATCTTTCACCAATTATTACATCCAAGGAGATCTGAGCAAATACAATTACTGACAGTGCAATAGTCTACTTAGATCATGGGGACTCCAGAAAGTTTGCTCCATTATAACAATGTATGAACATTTTAAATCTTTATAAATAAAATATCCAGTGAAAAGAAATGAACATTACAATTTCTAAATTTATATAGAGTGCTCCTCAATGGTAAAATGGATTGGAAATTGCACACAAGTTATTAGGAGCCACTGAACCACCTGGCTCTTAAAACCAGTACAATTGAATATCTAAACACAGGACAGACAATCACTAACATACATTGCGCATTTACAAGAGATTCACTACCAAAGTGATGCAACTGTACACATTCTGGAGTTAAGACCATTAGCATGACAGAGCTAAATTCTATATTTGCAAGATTTATTTTGTGGACAGTATCAGAGCAACAATCAGGCCATACAGCCCCAACACTTCAGCAAAAATGAGGATGAGGATCATCCCAACAAATAACCTTGGCTGCTGTGCTGTTCCTCGTACACCAGCATCACCCACAATTCCAATAGCAAAGCCAGCAGCGAGACCACTCAGACCCACACTCAAACCAGCACCCAGCTGAAGAAAACTCCTGAAATTTGAACAAAAAAACAAAAAAGATTACTTTCTCCAACATACAATATACAATAGAATTTACAAGACAGTATTCTCTGAAGTCCATTGGTGTTCAGGCTCAGGCATATGCTTCATATAATGCAGTTGTCCCCGAGATTACCAAAATGCAGTACAATTCTGGCATAGAGAGGCTGGCTTTTTATTCAAGCAACATCAGCGGCAACCTCAACCTGCAAATGGGATCAGCAATCTTTTTCACAAACCCATTAAACAGTGCAATTAGAAAGGTTACTCTGTACATCTCAATTTCACCCAAATTTGAATATTCTTTTGCTAGTGGCAGAAAGTAAGATAACTCAGCCATCTTAGGAGCATATGAACAGTGTAACTCTGCTATAGACATCTTCCTCATTTTCATTTCCATCTCTACATGCAAGTAGCAAAGGCATGAAATATTTAGACCCCATGGTTAGGTACTCCTGCTTCAAGAATCTTTAGCCTAGTCTACAGGATAAAGCACCAAGACTAAGTAGTAAGTAGCAAAAGGCAATTTTGTACGTGGTTCACCTCAGTTCAGAATTGAGGAACAGACATAGGTAATGCAAAATCACCATTAAAGAGAATGTGAGAAATGGCTTAATGTTATGATCAACTTTTGGCACAGTTAAATACTAAGCTGTTTGTAGCCTTGAAATAAGATCATTCAGAAAGCAAATGTAATTTTGGTGTTAAACTATTACCTGGTGCAGCGCCAACAGCCATGCACATTAGGAGGTCAAACATTGAGTTGGTATCTCACAATGGACTTGGTGCATCCAATCCCTCTCAAGTTGCTTATGCAAGGATTAAGATGGGCTACTCTTTACAGAAGAACACATTTATAAAGGGTTTATTATAATGCAGATTCACCTATAGCACCTTGGGATGTGGTCTGACATTTACTTTGCAAAAACGTCTAATGTGCGTGGCTCATTGTCACAAGCAAAAATGGCCAGGTCAGACACTGCTGCTATTTCCTGTACGCCGCACACCAACCAATACCAACTTTGTGCGTAGTGAATGCAGAAGAGTACTGATTGGTGATAGTGGTTAATATAGCATCACAACTTAAAACCCAATGAATTGGCCGGAAACAAATTGATGCTATTCCAAAACAAGTACTTATTACAGCAGTTCAATTCAGAATTATCGAAAGAGTTGGGAAAATTAGAAACATCTGAACTGCCAACCAGGATACAAAGGACAATTGCTTTGTGACTTGAGAAATCTTTCTCCGCTTCTGAAGGGTGTTCAAACAAACCAGCGGCTGATCCAGTTATAAAACTGGCGGCTTGCATCAGCAGCACACGTTTTTTTTAAAAAAAAGGTCACCAATTCACACTTCAGGTCATTGCTCGTGTGGTGCCTGTGTAAAGCCAAACTTGTACCATACTTTCAGTATACCACAGGTCTACGGTGCAACTGCATTATACCAAAACAAGTTAAGAGGTTGTCTGTTGGGCAAGGCCAGAATCATATTCATCAGATGGCTCTGTGGTAGACAGTAATGCACGTGTATTGAAATTGTAAAAAGAACCTTCAGGTGAACAAAGGCGCAGCCACTCCACAACATGCAATAGGGCCGCCAAGAGTTGTACTCAATGACAGCCAACATCTTGGAAACTTGTACAAGATACCAGAGTGGGTACTGACACCCACAAATCCGAAAGCTTGAGTCAGATCAGAATTGTATTAATAATGCTCATATGAGGGTGCTCAAGATCAAAAAAGACCGCCCTTCAGTGATCCCAAAAATATTTGGGGGTGGGGGAAGATTTACTGCAGGAAGGAGTTGAAAGCATCCAAGTAACCACTCCCCCCCCCCCCCCAATCCAAATAGTAGCAAACCACCACTCTTTAGGCAAGTGAAAAGCTGTCTAATCCCTTGAAACATGCTCTTTTCCAGCCAGGTGGCTCTGCCAGCATACATCACTTTAAACTCAAATCAGAGCTTGAAAAATGCCCATTAATTTGTTAAAATACAACCGCCCTGCTGTAAGGAAGCAGCAATCACTAATTAAAGTTAATTTTTCATCCTAGACTATTTTGGGGGAATGGAGGAAGAAAAGTAGCAAAATTTGCCATTTTCCAGCGAACTGCTCAGGGAATAGGTTGAACAGAATATTCACAAACCTGCAGCTATAATGTAGCTAGTCATATCATACCCACTTCCAGGCCATTGATCGGATTTTGCTTATTCAAGCAGTAGCTTAGCTTTCACAATTTCAGTAAGACAGCATTTTTTTCTTACTGGCAAATTGAACTAATCTAGTTTAATTTACACCTCATAAAACATAAGATACAAGAATTAAATGCTTCACCTCAACATCAGTTGAAGTATTTTTTTAAGAGAACCATCACATGGATAACTGCAACACTGACTCATCCAACACTTCATTCAAATAGGTTTCACATAGATATGTATAGCAATGGAGTTACAGCATTCATTCAACATTTGCATATCAGCATACTGCAATAAAATTAGAGATGGTGGAAGCAAAACACATTGCCCGAAGGACTCATCTGGTGGACTTTAATACCTAGAAAGCTAAAGTTTAAGTGAGCCACTTATAGTGAAGCAAAAACTGTAGAGGAAAAGCAGCCAAATGACTGTTTTCCCAGGAACAATATAAAAAAGGCAGGTACCCATTTACACCCAAGTTTATCAATAAACTGGTTGTGCACGTTTTCAATTCACATGCTTAAACGGCTATCATACTTTACCTTAAGTCCTAATTTTAATTTGTTTTAAGAATATAATCACTTGCCCTTCTGCATTCCTATGCAGTCGTAAGAGCTCACTTGTGTGGGTGGAGCTTAAATATAGAAAAACTCATTTTAAGTGGCGGTTGAATTAGATAGTAGATGCATTCAAGAGGAAACTAGACCTTTGTAATAAACACCTCCAAAAGGATTAGGGGAGATAATTCAAAGGAAACTTTGAATTCCATGGCTTTTGCTCATGTACTAGCCATATTTATAAATGGTGTTATGACTGCAAAGAATATCCAGCACTCAAAGAAAACCAGCACCAAGCAACAAACTTTCAAAAATATCCCAGTTAATGTGAGAATTAAATCAGTTAACACTGATTTAACTCAAATTCAAAATTGACACCAATAATTAAATTGCAGCAAGTTTATATTATTATATTTTGGATAATGGAATAGCCCAAACTCCCAGTTGAATACCTTAACAAAATGGGATATGAACATTCTCAGGAATGCTGTAGCTTTATAGTTCTATAGATTTAGACCAGCATTTTGACATCTCTTAGTACTAGGAAACATCTTAATTCTAGATACCAGCCAACCTGAACCCAAAAAAGCTGTAACCAGCTACTACTAATGTCTCCCATTCCTGTTTTATTTGGAAAGAAAGTTGGTCCATCCTGTATACACCCTATTCCTCGCTTCCCAACTGACACTATACAGGAAGAAAAGGCTTCAGTGCTAGGGAGCGAGGAAAAGAAACCCATGTGGTGACAGGCTGGATTAGATAGTAGTGTTCCCTTAAAGGGAAAATAGCACCTGCTGCATGGTATCTTGGTGAATAAATGCAAGACAGTGCAAATTACCGGAGCTACCTGTGGAATTGAACATCAGCACAAGTCAATGGTTTAAAGGAAAAAACATGGCAAATACCCCAAGTTAATAATCCTTGTATTTGATGTAATGTTTTATCGCGTTAAGAGGTTTCAAAGCACTTGACAGGATATACTGTAAAGCATATTGCCTATTTTGTGGGTGAAACATAGCAGCAAGTTGCACATAGCAATGTCCCACAAACAGCCATTCCTAGTCAGTTGCACATTTTTATAAAGCAAAAATCCTAACTAGTAACTGAGACAAAAAAATTAATTAGCATTGCTGATCATCAGTGCACACCATGCCCAAACTATATATCCAAAATTGTCTGTTAAAATTACTTACTTGAATAATGATATCTTGTCTGTGAGTGAATTGGCAATTAGTACTGCCACCACCAGTCCATAAATAGCAATGATACCTGCCATGACCACAGGAATAATTGACTTCATGATGAGCTCAGGCCTCATGACAGACATGGCAGCAATTCCTGTGCCACTCTTAGCAGTTCCATATGCAGCTCCCAGAGCTGAGGAGAAAGCATTCAAACATCAGAAATTCAATCACAACATCTTTATGTACACTATTCTGGAGCATTAGTATTCTTATAAAAGGTTCTTTTATCCAGAATAATTCAGTTACACATACGAAACATGAAACTGAGCAGCAAATTAAGTAATGGTTACACAATTTAAAACATAAGATTTCTTAGCGAATCTTATAGGTTATGTTTCTGGAAGGGAAATACAAAATGTTGCTTATTAGGCCTGCAGACATTTCTCAAATCTGACATCCAGCTCTCAGGAGCCAAAAGGTTTGACCACCCTGACAAGAGTAATGGGGAGGTTGCGGTTTGCAGGCCATGGTCTGTGACAGAGCACACAACATGCGCTAAATGTCTACTTCATATTCTGAATTTCTAAGATGCAGTTATCCAAAATTCACACCCAACTGTCAGTTTTACTATTGACCTGCTAAAAACTAAAGACGCACAAGTTCCTCAATTACACAATCTGTTACACTGAAAGAAAGCTATGATTTAATTATACAATATGTAACCAAGGCAAACCAGACTAAAGATTAGATTTCCCCATTACTATACTTGACTTGCATTATTAGTCTGGCTCAGGTAGCAGCACTCACACCATTGAATCATAAGATTGCAATATCCATATGAAAAGATCTGTCCTCGCCCATTCTCCAGTGAGGTACTGGTGCGCTGCATTGTCAGAAGTGTCATCTTTCAGATAAGACTATCTTCATGTGGACATAATAAAATGTCATGTCAGTTTAGTTTCTTCAGAACTCTGCAGCTCGTGTACTGTCCCGCACCAGGCTTCGCGACCACATCACTCCCATCCTCGCTCGCCTCCACTGGCTTCCCATCCCCAAGAGGATCGAATTTAAGATCCTCATCCTCGCCTACAAGGCCATTCACGGCCTCGCTCCCTCCTACCTATCCCCTTATTTACCTGCCAGTACCCTCCGTTCCTCTGGCTCCGGTCTGCTCCACATCCCCCGCCCCAACCATTGGTGGCCGGGCTTTCAGCCTCTCAGCCCCGAGGCTCTGGAACTCCATCCCCCAGTGCCTTCGCCGCCTCCTCCCTTTCCTCCTTCAAGGCCGGTCTCAAGATCTTTCTCTTCGACTGTGCCTTCAGCTCCCCTCTCAACTCTACCTCCCTCATCGCTCCCTCCCTTCCCTCCCCTCACCCTGACCATTTCCCCCCTGCTCGGGTCCTGACCCAACTATCCAGCGCCTTGGGACATCCTCCCAAGGTGAAAGGCGCTCTATAAATGAAAAATAAAATAAATGAAATCTTGTTGTTCTACTGTACTGCCCAACAATCAACCATTTTTACTTCATGCTGTAGTGTGGATCCTTGCAGCGGAACAAAATAGCAATTTCCTGTGAAACTCTGCGAGACATTTTGACAGTGCTACAAAAATGCAAGTTTGACAAACCTTGCAGTGTACATTTAATAATTGATCAGGGCTATTCATTTTCATAGCTACAAATTCTAGTATTCAAACACTGAACTTCATTTTTCTTTTTTCAGAATCTAGCTGACAGTAGGCAAGCAATCTGGGTACATACTAAGCAAGTGTGCTTCCCATCGAATAAGATGTGCCTGGCTGACAAGATTCAATCGCCATTTGGGGAGACAATGCATTAATCTATATTCTACCATTCCATGTCAACTGTTAATTCATTACACCATCTATAAATCAGATACCTACAATTTTAGGAGGAAGAAGTCAGCTAACCCCAGCACACATGCAGTTGGAGCGGAAAGTTCCAAGAATCTTAAATCATGTAAATATTCCCAGCATCCTGATTAAAATGGAAGACATGTAGGTAAAAATTGCAAAAACCTCACTCATCAGAATTACAAGCTTTATTTGTTGTACTTCTCTCTGCTTCATTTTTGTTTATTAAGTCAATCTCAATGAATTTCTTGCCTTTTCATATACACGTAAGACAACACCTGTTATCCAGCAAACATCAAGCCAAACTATTTGGGAATTAAAAAGGAAAACACTGATATTGATCAAGTTGACAGAATAATTTAGTCATATGAGTCACCAGTGATACCAAGAATGGAATATCAAGTTGAGTCAGGTCAGTGGCCTCCCAGGATAACCTAAAATGCTTGCCAGTTGTTTCAATTTATTTTATCTCATTTATTTTGGCTCATTTATCAGCCAAAGATCATTGGGTAATAATATCCACTCATCTACACTACATTAGATGAAGTGCATTAAACAGTGCACAATTATGATCTGCTTCCACAAATGTACATCTGCCAATTTATGCCATTTAGGCTGTTTAACATACCGTAATTAACTTCAGAAAGACAGGAAACCAGTAGCAACCAGCTGAATAAGGTCACAGGATAGANTTTTTTTTAACAATTTGGTCTTCACCATAAGAATTTGGCGTAAGTAACCTAAAATATTGTTCAATGCTTGTGAAAAGAACAGTATTTCATCGTAACCAGACTTTAAAAGCAGGCAAATACCATTACTATTAAATGCAAATTAATTTCTCAAACTACTTGCGTCACCCACTTTTATTGTAACATACAAATGGCATTCTGCAATTATTATCCCAACTCAAAAATGAAATAGTTTATATTGCAACATGGGACTTATTCTATTGGCTCAATAATTATCAAATTTACTAAAGAGGATTCTATATAAATCAGCTGCATTAAAACAAAACTAGGTCAGAATATTCTGACAGAATACTGCAGAATGACAGCCAGCTGGGGGTGAGGGGGTAAAAAAAAAAATCACAGGTTGAAAAGAAAAATGATCAATGCTTCATTTGGAAAAATACCAAATCTTAACCCAATTCCTTTATATAATAATTTAGACCTCCCTTGGAATTTACGCCATCTTAAGAAGAAAGCACCATTTCAAAATACACTACAAAAATTGATATGCCGCTGGTTCCACGGTTACCCTAAAGTATGGCTTTCGTCAAATCATTAAGCCTGGGGAGGGGGAAATGGGTGTGTGGAGGAGCGATTAAAACGTCCGGCTGCCGCATTCGATTTCCAAACGGTGAAGGAAATCTGATAAATCCGAATCAACGGTCAGTCGCATTCTCTCCATTTTGAGGGACTCGAATGAGATGTGGCTGCGTTGTGGAAAGCAAAGACTACCTTTGAAAAATCCGTTCTTGAAAATAAAGGCAGTCCACGCATTCGGGGGTGGGGGGGGGGGGGGGGGGGGGTGGGGGGAGGGGAACAGGGGGAGAAAGGGGAGAGGAGGGGGTTGGGGGGGGGGGGAGAGGGAACCTGATCGGCCGAGAACCCATTCTATTGCCTTACTAAATAAATGAACAAATGCCTGCACTACACCAGAGACGGTCAATTTTAGATCACACAACGTCATCCCCATCATATGATCAGCTCGAGACTGCCAGCCCGAAACTTGCCGAACTGCACACACACACACACACAGCCCTCCCCACCCCCTCCCTCCTCCAATATTCCGATCGCCTCTGCGCCACGAAACAGTGTCGGGAGATTCCCAGCTCAAGCCGAAGGCAAAGACGAATCGGATTCGGGGCCGATTGACGGAAACACCCGAAGCGGTATCTCATTCCTCTCACCCCCCCCCACTCCCCCACCCATCACCAACACCACCACCCGCGCGCGCAGCTCTCCAACCCGTCGCGTCGCAGTGGCTGTCCACCTCCGCAGAGGCCGCCATCCACCCGCTGCGGGACAAGTGAGCGATGCCTCGGGCTCTCTCGGGCGGGGGGACGCGGGGAGGAGAGAGAGGGAGGAGGAGGGGGGGGCGGGGGGGAGAGAGAGAGAGAGAAAAAGGGAAGACATCGAAATAAATTATACCCCCACAAAAAAAAAGCCAATCACCTTCACTCGCGGCCATTTTGCCTCATTAAATGTCAAACGTCCTTATAAACGAAAATTGAACCCCCCGCCGCCCGATTAAATGCTTTCGGTTTCTTACCCTGTCGACCCCGGAGGGAAGAGAGGGCGATAGCGAGAGAGAAAGAGACAGTGGTGGCGGGCGGGCGGGTGGGGGTGAGTAAGGGTGAGACATGTCAAGAGCAAACCCCACGGCCAGTCAGGAATTTTTTTTATTATTTTTTTTTAAAAATATATTATTTACCGGCTTCCGTGGCAAAGACAATTCGTTAACCAGAGAGACTTAGAAGAGACTCACCGCTGAAAACCATGGCAGCCGAGGCGCCCATCACCGCGAAAAAGGGCGAGTACTCGGGAGTCTCCGAAGTCGACATCTTGCCCGAGCTGTGAGCTCTGCTTAGGACACGCGTCTAAATAACTACCGGGAACGAACGGCTACGTGCGAAGTGTGCAATGTCGCTCGGTTCCCCTTTTTTTTCCTCTCTCCTTCCTCTCTCTCTATCTCTCTATCTCTTCCCCCCGCTGCTGCTGTCGCTGCTACTGCTGCTGCTTCTACCCGTTTTCCTACTGACGAAATTCACGCCGAGCGGGAGAGGGAGGGAGTGAGGGAGTGAGGGAGGGGCAGTCGGCAACGGCTGCACTCCAGCTGGATCCTGCACACAACTACACACAAAATGGCGGCTCGGAGCGGAGCACGTGACCGCACCCAGTGGCTGGAGGAGGGGGGAAGACTCTACCACCAGCAGCAGCGGCGGCGGTGGACACCGCTCAACCAATTGTCCTTTATTCCCTGTTTCCCCCCCACACCCCCCAACCAACCCCCGTATATTCGCAGCGATGTTGCGTGGATCTCGATCGCCTCTCGACCCCCGGCAGTGGCAGTCGGCTGAGCGTTTGGTGCAGTGGTAAACCCTCCTCGTCCTTGCCCCCTCCCCCCCTACCAACTTGGACTCCGCTGTGGCGGGCGGTCCCCGGGCATCAGCTGCGTCGTCATCAGAGGGAGGAGGAGAGGAGCGGTGGAGGGCGGAGACGCGGGTCCGCCGATGGGCGTTGCAACTCCTGTTAAATGTCAAGCCGCAGAGCTCCAGCCTTTACTGCCTTTTAAAATCTCTCTCTATATCTATATGTATATCTATATCATGTATATGTTGGGCTCAGTCTGCATTTGCTTGAATCCCTTTAAGCTGTCACACTCTCTGTCCGATGGTGCCCCCCACTCCCCCCCCCCCCCACCACCAGGAACCGTGGCAGTTCATTCACATATTTGCCATCTACACGCACGGTATAGGGTTATATAAAATGCACGATTTTGCATTTTATATGATGGGGGATACACACACCCTCGATGCAAGTCGCAGGCGTGACGGGGCGCCTTACAGTGCCCGAAGGCTAAAGGGTGTCATTCAATGCTAAGCTCATTTTTTTATATATAAATATATATATATATAACTCAGTGGACAATCAATCATTAACCTTATGACCTACAAACTACCACTGTGTTGATGGTTTTTTTTTTGGGGGGTGGGGGGTGGTAACTGGGCCTTGGAAATTGATCCTTCAGTGTTTCAAACCTGCAGGCGATTCAATGGTGCGTACACCGTGTCACGGATTGTTAGACCGCAGGGGAACGCTCGTGAATTCCTCTGTATTAGCTGTTTGCAATTAGCAGCTCGGTGTGTAGAGGTAGTCCAACTGAATAATAATAATAATAATAATAATGGCAGTGATGTGCTTCCTGACAAGGAGGGAAGTCAAGAGTGGGGGGAGGGTACCGTGAGGTGCTCTTCTTTGCTTAATTACCAGTTGCAGACGTAGAGGCTTCAGAGTCATAAGGTTGTGAGTTCAAGTGCAATGTCAGAACTTGAACGGACAGTCCAGACTGACATTCAAAGACTGAGTGCTGCATTGTCTAAAGTGTCTTTTTTGGATGAGATGTCAAAGCAAGGTCTCGCCTGCCTGTTCTTCAGGTGGATGCTAGAGATCCGATGGCTACAGTATATTGAAAAATGGTAGTTTCTCCCAATGTCCTGGTCAATAGCCTTCCTTTTTTGACATTGGGAATACTAGAGATGAGGTGACAAAGGAGTGTTTAGGCTGCATTTGGGTGAGGTCGTGATAATGATAGTAATAGAGACGGGCATGTTGTGGAGAAGGAGTAACACAGATTTGGTCAGAGCCCAGATGGAAGGCTTGAAGAAGAATTTGGGGTTGAACAAAACACCAAAGAGATGTTGCCTGCTGCGGTTTACTTGTTATATCTGTTTACATAACTGTCACTATATTTCAAAGTAATTCTTGATTAATTTGAGACGTCTCAACACATTGCAACAACAACAAAATTACACTTGTATAGCGCCTTTCACGGTGGGAGGACTTCCCAAGGCACTGAACAGACAGAGTTACGACCCGAGCTTGGGGTTGAAGTGGGGAGTCCTGCCTGAACACTTTCCTCTTTGACTGTGCTTATGGCCCCCCTCCCACTTCAAATGTAAATATTCTCATGCCAGCAATTTCCATAGTTTGTATATGTAAGTAACTGTCTGTTCAGGTATCCTATGACATTATTCAAAACGAAAATTGTGTTTCTCCAGATGTCCTGGCCAAATCCTCCAGATAAATTCACTTCAAGATTGTTTGCTATATGCAAATTGGCTGCCATGATTTTGCCTGTGAATATACAGTTGGTGTACACTTGACATCAATGTGAAGCTCTTTGAGAAGTTTCAATGTTATAGCAGCTATATCAATTGCAAGGATTCCTATATTATTATCATCCTCTAAGTACTATTTTATTCCATTTCAGCCACCAGTATTACATGTGTCAACCTGGCTCAATTGGCAGCAGTCTTACCTTTTGAGTCAGAAGGTTGTGGGTACAAGTCCTATGTCGGGACTTAGAACCCATATGCTGTTCACAGCCATTCACTCCTTGGCACCTTCCGACATCTTCAACCTCCTCACACCCCAATCCACCACTTGGCGCCTCCACTTGACTGGCACCGGCCTCCTGCTCATCCCTCGCACCCACCGCCCCACCATCGGAGATCGCGCTTTCAGCCACTACGTCCCAAAACTCTGGAACAGAGTCCCTCAATCTCTCTGCCTTGCCCCCTCTCTTTCCTCTTTCAAGTCCCGCCTGAAAACTTTTCACTTTGACCGTGCTTGTGGCCACCGCCCACTTCCCCCGGCTCGGAATCAAGCTCCGTCACTATTAAGCGCTCTAAGATGCTACCCTGCGTGGAGAGCGCTATATAAGTGCAAGTTGTTGTTGCTGATACTACAATGCAGTGCTCGAGTGTGCTGCATTGTCAGACATGCCTTCAGGTGAGACATTAAACCAAGGTCCTGTTCACTTGGGTGTTAAAAATCCCAAAGGTCTTTTTATTCGAAAAGAGAGGGAGTTTCTCCTGATGTCCTGGCCAACAATAAAATAAAATTGGTCATTCACTCCTTGGTTGTTTGTGGGACATTGCTGTATACAAATTCACTGCCACAGTCACACCACTTTACAATATATTTTGTGAAGTGCTTTGAGATAACAACAAAATAACATTTATAGAGCGCCTTTCACTTCGGGAGGACATCCCAAGACGCTGGACAGTCAGGGGCATCTCAAAGACGTGATAAGGCGTTATATCAATTGCAAGGAATATTTATTGTTTATATTATATTATTGTGATCAGCTTGAGTGGGAATGTGACTTGGTGGTTCTTACAAATTCCCAATAAATTTATTCCAGCAATATTCTGGTTGGTCTCTCATCCTCCGATTATGATTGACAAGTTGATTGAATAATAAAACATAAGACAGAAGATTGATCCTCACTGTAGCTTGCAAAATGCTTGGGCATATTCATTGTGAAGAAATCAAGTGAATTCTCTGAGAATGAGATATGAGACTGGAGATTGACAAGGATGTATTGTGAGATCATGGGGAATTCGACTCCCTCAGCCTTCCACTGTAGTTAAATAACAGAAGTTTAAACTACATCTTTAAGTCCCACAATCTTGACACTTTAACACCCTCGAGGACCAAAATTCGTATTGATTTAGCTTTAAGAACGTGATCTTAAAATTTATAATTATGCAGCGTTTTGGAAAATTCTTTTGAATTATTAGAAATCTTGTTTGCTTGTTAATAATCTTTGCATTTGTATCTTTACATCAAAATGTCAACACCTCCACAAGTACGTAACTGCTGTTAAGTGTGGCTAAAACAGCAGTCAATTTGTGCGTTGTGGGTTTCCCAAAGAGCCATAAAGTGGATTTAATTGGAAGATTGAAGAGAAACTACTTTCTCTAGTGCTATAGAGCAGAGTAAGCCTCATGGTTAAAACTAATTAACTTTTCCTTAATTCCATATAGCGAACACACCAAATGGAGCATCAATGGCTTTAGGGTCAGCATTTGGAGGGTGACAGTAATTTCATGGGTTTATTGATTTGGGATGAATTTGCCTTCCAGCTCCAACATAGAGCTGCAGCTCTAATCCAGACCAGGCTGATGCTGATACTGATGCTCGGATACCCTGAATGTTCAGCAGAGACTAAATTAGTGTCAGAAAGACCTTCAAATTGGTGGTGAGCAGAAACCCTTGGCTCATACTTCCTCCACCACATCCAATTTTCTCACTGATTCTCCTGAAGCCACTGCTCCACGGAATCATTAATGTCAGCAGTCTGTGTCACAAAAAACTCAGCTGGTTGAATGTTTTCAAGGCAACCAGGCCAGATGGTGAAAGGGAGACTGTTGAAGTTATGCTTCCGGTTGTGAGGCAGCACTGAGGGATGTTCACAGAGATTTCTATATTCCAGGAACATAGTAACATGAGTAGGCCATTCAGCCCTCTCAAGCCTGTTCTATCATTCAATTCCAATAAACCGCCTTTGCCCCATATCCCGATACCCTTACCTAACAAAAATCTATCTATCTCAGTCTTGAATGGATCCAGCATCCACAGCCTTTTGGGGGAGATAATTCCGGATTTCCACTACCTTTTGCGAGAACAAATGCTTCCTGATTTCATTCCTAAATGGCCTCGTCTAATTTTAAGATTATGCTCCGTTGTTCTGGATTCCCCCAACCCTACCTCTGCTGCTCTCCAGTCAGTGTTACGGTTACATCTTTCTGGGGCAACGCTTTCCCAAGTTTTACAACTGCAGTTCCAGCCTGGATGGCAGTTTTACTTAGTGAACTATTGTCGAAAGGAATTTATAAAACAATATCCCTAGGAATTAGTTCAAGTTCCTCCCATAGCTGTCAACATGATTTGCGAGACAACTGAATTTGCCAATATCTGTTTCCACTATGTCAAAGCCGAATTGCAAAACTTCGGAAAGCCCAGAGATAGACCTATTACAATTATGATTGCAGAAATTCCATTGAAAATGGAAAAGATTTTGAGCTGGTATCAATTACCCATGTACTAAAACATTCTTATCAGCTATTGAAACAATTACTGGGATATTCTATTCTGTTACAAAGTAGAGAAGGGAACACATTGTAGGTGAAATGTGTTCAGTGTCTCACTGGTGTTACCCTTGAAGCTAATGGTTCATTAATTGCCCATGGTG